TACTCATCAAATATGGTAGCAATTTCACCCACAAGAGATGAAGTAGATGAAGTGAATAGGCCGGAAATGATTCATGATTACAGCCAGTTCATGGGAGGTGTTCATCTGTGCGACCAGTTGTTGCACTATTATGGATTGACTCGGAAGTGGTGGAAAAGATTATTTTTTAGACTTTTGGAGCTTTGTATAATCAATTCTTTGGTGCTGTACAAGGCAAATGATCCCAAGTTTGCATATAGCCCACAAAAACTACCACACCCGTCCTGTGATGAACAAATAGGTGGATTGATAATGAAAATGAGACTCAGAACATCAAAAAGCATAACAAAACTTTGTTTCCTATCATTCATCTGAGAAGTTTAGATTCAGGGAGATTCCAATGCTAGTGTCCGCAAAACACTATGATTGCTTCTAAAAGACTGCATTCATTCTTGGAAGTGTAGATTAGATTTATAATGAAAAAATATAAATAACTTGGTATCATCTTATTTGTCATTTTCTATATTACTCAGTTTATGTGGAAAAAATTAATTCAACTCACTGTATGGAAATGTAATTAGCTGTAAATCAACGTAAATTAATGGAAATATATATTATTGCTTAACATTCAATGACGTCATATGTGTCGCTGTCAATCAATTTTTTGTTAGTTGGAAAGGCTGATTCATATGCTTTCTAATGATATATAACTTGTATGGGGTATTTGTAAAATGTTGTAGTAAAATGCATTGAAACCTAGGTAATGTGAGCTGATCGTAATTTACCTCATTTAAATTGGACCCCAAAGGCCCATAACAAGCTCGCAAAACCTTCTACAACATCGGTGCGTAGAACGAAAAACTTTACTGGATAGTTTTCCGGATAGCAGATGCGTTTGAAGTTAGGAACTAAGGAACTCTTAATTTTATGCAGTTTGGAGAATCGCAAGAAGAGCCATTTCCCAGATCAGCTGGTGACGCAGCTGCTCCCGTTATCACCCAACATGTTGTGGATCATACTTTGTCATTGACGGTCCAATTACAGAAGAAAAAAATCGACACCGCGGAATCAATAAAACAGATTAATCTTTTTAACGTAACGAGTGTTTTCCCCGGATATGAAAAGTTCAAGCAAAACATTATAATCATCCTGCCAGAACAGCACGTGATTACTACAGATTAATAATAACCATTCAACTTATTGATCACGTCATCGCGGAGATTGAATATCGCTTTTCTTCCAAAATGTGCAACCTCTACAATGCATGGTTTTTATATACTTTGTTATTTTTTATACGTTTCAATACATGGTTTTTATATACTTTCTTATTTTTTTCTTTTTCATCCGTTTTTATTTTCTTCATTGTTAGGGGATAAATTAGAAGACCGAGTTCAAGAGGTTTGTGACCGTTTATCGCGATGGTATGCCTAACTTTAGGCCTATCAATGCCGAATTACAGTTGTGGGAAACCAGTTGGAAGAAAGGACATGAAAAAGTGGAATATGATAACATTGGAATGAACATATTGCAATGATTGTCACTAAAGTGTCTAAGCGATTACATATCCTGCGGGTTCTGCAGCGAGAAGGAATTCCACCACATGATCTTGTCACAATTTCTTTTCTTATCTTACTATTTAATATATATAATCTTATTATTTAACCTGTTTTGTAAATATGTATTGTGCAACGGTCCCTTGGAAAAACAGCTCCTATTTATGCTGAAGGGCTACCGTTGTTTTTATAAAGAAGATTAAATAACAATAATATCAATAATGTCAAACTCTGCGTTGTGCGTAAAAAATACATCTTAGTCTGGTAATAAAAAATACATCTTAGTCTCTTAAATTACGGATGGGGTCGTATATGACCCCAAGATGCTGTCCCTTTTTTTTTGCCGTTTTTAGCGGGTTTGTGGGTTAATGTGAATTTGGATGCCAGAAATGCAATCTGGGATAGTTTTGCTTTATTTTCATGCAAATTTAGGAAAGATTTGATCAAAATTTTGTGAAATAAACTGCGTTTTTCGTTGCCGAAAATTACACCTTTGCGACATTTGATATGGCTGAAACATTCTACGACAGGGATGATGTTTTAAGGTTAATTTTTGCCGATTCTAATGATGAAATCGTTGATAATAACGAGAAATTAGTTGCCGATGTCGAAGATGAATTTGGTGAAGCAATGGCACTGCATGATATGAGGACAACTGCGCCAGCACATGAGAGAGAACCGTTGCTTCTTCTTGACTTAGAATTGAACGAAGTAAGTGTCACAATTATTTCTCCTTTTTGTCTGTTATTCTTGTGAAATACTGTACATATATTGCTGATAATATGAAGCATATTTTTGTACATTTTATATGTTTGAATAGGCAGCATAATTATTATGTACGAATACACTTTGTTTAGTTTTATGCTCTATCTTTTAGCCTGAACTTCCTGGACATAATAGTGATGTCGAGAGAGATGAATTGCCTGAAGAGATTGTAAGTTGAAATCTTAGTGTTGCACAATTCTTCTCCCTAATTTCTAACCCTTATTGCTCCTTGCTTACATCTCTTATATTTTCCCTCTAGCTTTCACCAGAATCATCCACTGCAGATGATGAACCTGAACCAAGTTCAAAAGGAAGAAAGGCTAGATCCAAGCAAAAGGGCAAGCAGAAAAAAACAAAAGGGAAACCCAGAACCAGTGTGTCTAAAAGAAAGAGTGATGAACTACCCTGGAAAAAGTTTAGAGGAATTGAAGATAACACAGGGTCTTTTATTCCATTTGTTGAAATTCCTGGCCCATCGAGACAAGCCCTGCAATTATCAACACTAATGGATTTATTCAACTTGTTTATTCCACTTGCACTTGTTCAAACATGGGTTGATGAGACTAACAGGTATGCTGCTGAAATAAGAAACAGAAAACCATCCAATATGAAATGGATCAATGTTACTGTTGAAGAACTACTGGCCTATACTGGAATGGTGCTTGCAATGGGCTTAGTAAATCTTCCATCTGTGCTGGATTATTTTGCTACTGAGCCAATATTGTCCCACCCTTGGTTTCCTTCAATACTTAGCAGGGACCGGTTCCTCCTGATTTCAAGATATTTTCATACATCAGATGATGCATAATTTCCAGGAGACAAACTTGGTAAAGTTCGTCCATTTGTTGATCATTTGATCGCTTTATTCCAAAAACACTGGACACCGCACAGAGAAATTAGTATTGATGAACAAATGATAGGCACCAGATGTAGAGTTAGTTTCATTCAATACATGCCAAAGAAACCAGCCAAGTTCGGTGTGAAAAATTGGGTACTTGCAGATTCAATTATGCCTTATGTGTGTAATTTTCAAATTTATACTGGGAAAGATGAGAGAACGCCCGAGACCGGCCTTGCCCATAGAGTGATAATGGACCTTGTCGAACCATATTTGAACAAAGGTCACAGATTGTTCATGGATAATTTTTATAGTTCACCTGCTCTCTATGAACAGCTGTATGAGAAAAAAACATTAGCATGTGGAACAGTTCGACAAGACAGGAAGGGTATGCCACAGGCTCTTTTGACAAAAACCGCACCGACTTACACACGGGGGCAATCAACATTCCTGAAGCACAATAATTTGACAGTTGTGAGATGGAAAGACAAAAGGGATGTTTTTGCACTTTCCACATTTCATGGCAATGCCTGCAACAATGAACTCCCATATAAAACTGAGATGATTGCAACCTACAATCAGTTTATGAATGGTGTTGATCGAGCCGATCAATTACTTTCATACTACTCATTGAACAAGAAGAGTCGTAAATGGTGGAAAAAAGTTTTTTGGAGGTTGCTCGAATTATGTATCACCAATGTGCACCAGATCAGAAAGTTTAAAGATAGTAAAGTTGTTCACAAAGAACTGAGGATTAGTTTGGCTCATTGCCTTTGTCAACCTTTACTTGATTTACGTGTTGGTGGTAGCCCTCGTTCTTCACTTCCAGGACCTGGCCGACCCCCAACAGACCTATCACGATTGAAAGGAAAGCATTTTGCAACTGGTGCAAAGAAAGGAGGGAAAAGAGGAAGGTGCAAAGTTTGTGGAAGTAAAAAGACAAATGAAGGAAAGAGAAAAGATACAAAAACTGCAAATAAGTGTGCACAGTGTGATGTGTTCTTGTGTGAAGGAGTCTGCTTTACTAACTACCACACCAAAGCAAGGATGTAATTTCTTGCTATTTCCTGCTAAAGGTATGCAAATGACTCTTTTAGGCTTTATGAGAATTTATGTAACATAGTTTTTGTAAAAAAACCCATTAGGTTTGAATATAATGTATTTTCAGAAATCCAAGATGGCCGCCATGGATTTTTGCGCACAATTGCATAATTCTATAAATGTCTAGTTTCTAAGAAATTATAAATTAGATAGTGATGAAAATTTGTAGGTACCTTTACTATATCTTCTAGAAGTGATTTGTTGCATTTGTGAAATAAACATGACTTTTCAAGACTTATTGATATAATTCAAATTTATGCAATTGCAATTATTATGCTAATTTTCTAATGAATTGTAATACTCCCCCTCCCCTTAATGCAGCGAAATGACCAAATTTTTTTAAAACTTATTTTTCTGTAATCTCCATCTTGTAGGCTTTCAGAAAATATATAGTTTGCCCTACTTGTGTTATAAACCTACTTATTTCTGGTAAAGCAGTTTTCATACAGATTCATCTCGTTCTAGACCTGGACTTTGGGGTTTTTAACTAAGCCGCTATTATAGAATTTCACCGCTGAATGACCTACTCAGGGCGGAAGTGAGAGGGAAACTGGAGCTAGCGCTGTTGCAATACATTGTGACGTCTAGTTACTTCCATTTTTAGAATCTACATGATTTGACGCAAATTTTTGTACCAAATTCATACATATTCAAAGCGAATTATATTTCGGGATTTTTTTCTAGATTTTGGGGTTTTTTACCTCATTAATTCATTCCGTCGAAGGGATAGAGCATGAATAGAAGCCGTTGAAGGAATAGAAGCCGTTGAAGGGATAGAGCACGAACAAAGTACGCCTTTTCTACAAACTACAGTTCCTTCTTTTAATTACGAAATAGGCAAGTAAGTATTAAATTTTTTTTATGATTGCCCATATTAAAAGTTTAAAATATCTTCGAAGATATGTTCGGAGTTGATAATCACTCTGTTGCTATATTTCAGCTTACTCGTATATACTTTATCAAAAGAGAGGCAGCAAAAGAACGGAGAAACTTATGGCTATGAATCTTCGTTTAGTTATAAATTATGTTAGCCTTACAACGAAAACCAGGGGGGGGAACAAAAAAGGGGAGAAATATGTAATATACGCGGGAACTAATTATTTATACCCACGAATAGTAACGAGTTTTTGCACGTGATTAACACACGGAAACGATAACACTTCACACAATGCACAATGATGCACTGTTTTTGAAAACTATATTTCGGTTATTTCTATATTTCTGTTATGTATTTCCGCCCCTTATTATTGTATTTATCTGCAATACTTGACCTCAAGTGTAATGATAATGCTTTTCCTGGCTGATACAAGCGTCCTTTTTTAATAACACTTCACATTTTAATAAAAGTGTTTATCAAGAGCTTTTAAAAAATTGCTCCTGGATAAACTATGCAACCAGTCGGCTTAGAAACGTCAATTTACGTCCATAGAAACGTCACATTGCAACGCCGTGCACAACGAGCGTGATTAACACTTCCGTTAAACGCTCAACCTGAATAGGCTTAACATGCAGAAAAGGTCGTTGAACAAAACACTTCAAATGTTGAAGATGTTGTACGGCAATCGCTTCGCGTACAAGGCAACTGGAAATCGCCTGCCGGCGATGCAAAGCGCTTTAAAAGTGCAGACAGTATTTTCGAATGACCTCAGTACAGTGGACGATTGTCGTTAACATTTGATGGAAAATAAGGAACTCGATTAAAGACAAAATAGCTGCAATGGTAAAAGCGAAATCGGTAAAAGATTCATCAAATGTCTATTCTGATAAAGCAACTGACAATTCAAATTGGAAGAATCCCTAGTTAAGGAGTGGGACAACAATGAAAGGGGAAAAGTGCATGTGAAAAGAAAAGGAAGGAAAAAGTATAGGAAAACGCACGTAGCTACGTGTTTGTGAGGCAGTTAACACTTTGATGTCATCGAGCGTAAAATTTTGATGTGTTTTTTACTCTTATTAACAAAATTTAGCAATTGCAGTTCTTTAGATAATAATATATATTCATCACCGACAAGCCAATTGTTTTTTATAAAGGCCTAGATTTAATTTAAGTTCTCAGACTCAGTGTGTACTTTTCGACTTCCCCAATTTCCATCGGTCAATATTTTCTTTTGAACACTTTTTGAACTGAAAATTTTATATTCACCTCATTTAAAACTGAGTTGTTGACAGTCTTGTTTTAGCAAACACTAAACCAATAACAAGCGCTGGACGATTTTTAAGTGTTTTTTGGTGTTGTTCCCGGTTGGAAAAACAAAACAAAACCCGAATGTGTAATTAACTACGTCTGAGTCGAAAGCATATCCTAAGCAAACGAGTGACAAAATACATAAGGCAAGACATTACTTACAATACATAACATTACATACAATAAAAACGGAGACAGGTCAGACTTAACATATTACGCAAAAATTATAAGGAGCAGGACACGAATACATGATAAAGTACAAAAGTCAACAAAGAAGAGATAAGACCAGGTTATCTGCACCAGCTGGTGGCCACTATTTGAAACATTTTTAAACCGGACCCGTACTTTGGACATTGTCAAGTGAACTATCACAAGAGAAGCGAAAATCTGGTACCTCAATTTGGTTCCTTCCACAGGTCAATTGCTGTCATTACAGTACCACATATTTGGCAACATCATAGCACCAAGTTTAGCAAAATCGGGTTTTTTCACACCTTGAAAATTACAACACAAAATATAAATAATCATCACAACTCTGTGTATTGATGTCATAGACATCATGATGTGACCATATTTTTAAACTTCATTTTAATCTTGTAATTCACATTTGTTCCTGCACATTAGCTTACCAATCCCCACTCAGAAATTTTATTATTGCTACTTTATTTTTCAATTTAAAATTTGACATTGTTGCTATTTCTTTATGACAAATTGTATAAGGAATTAAGTTTTGTGGCTTCCAACTTACAATTTATTTACCAAATAAGTTCAGAAAAAAAGTATAATGTAGGAATATATAGCACTTTAGTTTCACGCAGTTTTATTATAATGGGTTCAGAAGACAACAGCAACAATTTTGCAGTTAGGGCACTGGTCAAAGAGTTTTATACAACAACCCCAAATTTTGAATTAATATTTAATCATATACAGTAAATACCAAGCAAATTAAGCAAGTCCCCTCCTTACCTTGTCCATTGTTTTACCAATAAGATATCTAGTTGGTCAACTACAGTATACTTGCATGGAACTTGCAAAATCTCCAAGAGTTTCTTGTAGCTTTTATGCATCACTTAAATCACCCAAACCTTGCAGTGGATTCATTAGTGCCATAAGAGTTGTGAAACTCAAACTTTTCTGCCATAAAATGGCATTCGTTTATGAAGTAGAAGTATTGCTAGTAAATGTACAAAAGGCACCTACATAAAAAAATCATGAATATATACAATTAAAGAAAGGAATGAAAGCAAACAAAATTGCAAGAGCTAGATTTTAATGTAACATTCGCAGGTATCATTTAGAGTTTCATAGCCTTGGTTAATATTCCTACATGGTTACCATGCTTCACCAAACTGAATAAGACGACTGAATGAAATGACAAATTAAAAGCATTGTAGCCATGAACTGCATAAAGTAAGGAGCACATACATACCTATTTTACCAAAAGTTAAGGCATGGAGAAGATTATGACAACATAATATTTTTATAGTTCCAAGACATTCTTCCTGAGGACACCTGAAAGAAAGACTATATGTCATCAACAATGCTGACGTAGGCACACTAAAGTGTACCATGAATAAAAGGAAGGCAGTTTTAATCATATTTCTGATGCAGTGTTGTAGCAGGTAGTAAACTTACTATCATGCTTCGGGCAATTGTATATATAATTTATAATTACTGCATATCCCTCACAGACTCTTAGAAGTTAAAGCATTGGATAAAACTAGAATAACCAAGGGGCTTCTATAGTATACAGTACAGGTTCTGCCTCATTTGGCCTGATATGAGCCATACAATTAAAAATGATTAAATTTATAGTGAAAGATTAAAAAGCAGGATTGCAGGTATCATTTAGAGTTTCATAGCCTTGGTTATCATTTCTTTAAATAGTCTTTACTGATGTGCTTCACAAAACTGATTAAATGGCTGTTTACATGAGCCCTACAGGGAGGGCTAGCCCTACCAAGCAAGATCGCTAGCAAACTAGAGGACAGAGAACAGCAAGGGTCCTATCTGATGTTTCCGGCTTTCCTTGTTAATTTTCCCAAGCAATAACAGGGTATATTGTTAAAAAATCATTAGGAAAAGTAAAGATATTTTATTGGAAAAAGTGAAAATAGTTTTTTTGCTAGCCAATTTGTTTTTGGTACCAGAACGTGGCATCCAGGCTCACACCAAGATGTGGGGCTAGAATTTTACAAGTAAACAGAGGTGAGAAACAGCCCTACAGCTAGGGCTCATGTAAACACTGCCCTTATGTCCACTGACTGAACGAAATGACAAATTAAAAACACATAGTAGCCATGAGCTGCATGAAGTAAGGAACACATACATACCTACCTTTGTCAAAGTATGCCACATTTTACTCGTGTTGAATGCAATTCAAACAACAGATAATGAGATGGTAAACCTGCCACGTAAAAAAAGACAAAATTGCATTCGAAAGGATCGAAATGCGATATATATATATCCTCCTCAAATATAAAGACAATACAAATACCAGACAAATCTGAGCTCCAAGTGTCTCAACCACAGAACGTACCTCCCAAATTCTGTCAGGAAGCATGGTTTGTCGTCTAGATTCATAATCATACACCCATCTCACATTATTTTACGATGACTTCTACGTCGAATTTTTCCTCAGGAGTAACAGTAAATCTAATTTGCCTTCCTATAAATAAATGTTATTTCTTCTCGATACACCATGGCCATGACAATTCAACGTAAAGACTAAAGACTTAAGACTCTACAAAAGTTTGAATTGTATAGTCATCTCGAAGCGTTTATCTCAAAGACTTTACCATGCGCAACAGTGGAAATGGCAATGGCTATCAAATTACCGAAATCATGGTTGTGTTTCCAGTTGTTCTTTAAATTCCTCAACTTTCCCAAATATAGTAAAAAGCAAATTCCGAACAAACAAGACATCTTGAGAATCAAAATATAATTCAAACAAGACACAGATTGAGACTGTAAATTTTTGACTTTATTACAAAGTCATCTTCAGACAGAATGAAATACAATACTTTACAACGCATATATATACAACACAGAGAGAGAGCGCACGTGTCAATCCAGCATGTAGGCGGAAGGCCGGTAAACCAAGCAGAGCGAAACATGATAAGGTTGTGAATAAAACTAAATATGTATGCTATATTTACAACAATATGTTAGATAGATTAATTTAAGGAAAGAAAGACCCGACAATTAAAATAGAGAGATTAAGTGAACAGTTGTAGTTCTTTGCTGGCTTTAAGTCCAGTGTTAAGGAAAGGTTTGTTGTGTTTGATTAAGAGTGCTTCAAGAAACGCGAGAATATGATAGTTATTCGATTTAGTTATGTGTAGAATTCTATAGTTATTGAAAACTAAGTTCTCAATAGGAGAAGGGTTATTCAAAGATAATGGTATATCGTTGAGTAGTGAGAACTGGTTTTGTAGTGTGGCTAAGAATTGAGCATGCTCACACTCAGAGAAATGTTGGCCTACTGCACTAGAAGAGAGCCTAGTGGAATGCTCTTTCAAACGTACAGAAAGGCACCTTTGCGTCATGCCAATATAGGTTTTCCCGCAGCCAGGGCAAGCGACTTCGTATACTAAATTGCTACGAGATAAAGAAGGAAGTTTGTCTTTGTTAGAAACAAAATAAGACAACCTTTTAGTGTCGTATAAATAGTGACGAATTTCACCGGTTTGGAAAGAAATCTTTGTATTTTATTGAGACATGATTTAAGTAGAAAATCGCCCCGATTTCCGAGATAAGGTATACGGATCCAGATTTTGGGCAATAGATTATCATCCGCTTCATGAATAACCGTATTGACAACAGGAGTGGAATTTGGAAAATACTTAGTTTTGAGTTTATTTAGCGTAGAGTATATAACATTATTAGGATAACCATTCCAAGACATGAAAGATTTGATGATTTTAATTTGACTATTGAAAAGCTTTTCCGAACTACAAATTTTAAAAGCACGGTGGTAATTAAAGGGATTTCACCCAAGCTGTTTTGCGGTAGAATGGCTCGAAACTAGAAAAAATGCATGTGAGTACTGACCAGTGTGAGTGTCTTTACGATAAACGTCAGTACCATCGACCGTGATTTTTATATCTAAAAAATGTGCGATACCATCGGGAAAAGTGTCAACTGTGAAATTGAGGTTAGGATCGAAACTATTAAACTTTGTTAAAACACCGGAAATATCGGAAGGCTTAATTAAGACAAGTGTATCATCAACATAACGTTTGTAAAATTTTATAGTGTCATCAGCAATTAATTCAGAAACTATTATTATTAATCTCTCAAACTGCGTTAGTAAGATATTAGCTAAGACAGGTCCTAGTGATGAGCCCATAGAAACGCCGTCTTTTTGAACATAAATTTGGTCATCAAATCGTCGATATTTCCGGTGTTTTAACAAAGTTATATAAAATATAGCATACATATTTAGTTTTATTCACAACCTTATCATGTTTCGCTCTGCTTGGTTTACCGGCCTTCCGCCTACATGTATGGTGTTATGGCAGTCACGAATATTGTGAGCTCCGTATTTTTACTTTGTTTTTCGGTCTATTTAATCTATGACCGAACACAAATTAACGAAATTTGTGACTTTACATACACAAGATTCAAATGTAATAAATGGCAGAATTGTTCGTCAGGAAATCAGGGCAAACTGGCCAAACATGTGAGGTTGTGTTTGGCTTTGAACGTCAGTGAATATAGATACGAAAGCCGACTTTGGCGCTTGACTATGGATCCCAGCGAGCTTCAGTACGATAGATTGGCGACAGGCGAACGGTTAGTTTGGCTTAATGTTAAACTGAGCGACAATAATGTTTGTGTTGCTTCAAGATTTTTCTTTAAAAGCAAGAATTTTGTTTGTCGTTTGTGGTCGATAAACAGTATTGAAATTTGCATAAAGCATGTGTTCTTTATTCAACCGCGACGACGTCGAGCGTGTTGTGTTCAAACTGTATTTTATAAAAGGAGATCTCACAATAAGTTCTCCTACTATCCTAACGCAAACGCTACGTTCAACATTCTTCTTACCAGTGGAGATATAGAACTTAATCCTGGTCCAACCACCCAAGAGTGTAATAATAATAATTCACAAAGATATACAATTCCTGTGATTTCTGGAACTCGGCAATCGGGGCCTCGCTTGAATCGTCCTCTTGCAAACTTGAGAACACATAGGCAATTGGTAAATATTCCAACTAATTATCAATTTTCCAACCAGCAACAACACACTGATTCAAGCCAAACTAGCCTATGTTCGAAGGTAAAGAAACATCTGAACATTGCCCATCTCAATATCCAGTCTCTCAATAGACAACATCATGCAGAACTTAGGCACTTGGTCTATTCACAAGACTTTGACATTCTATCCCTTTCAGAGACGTGGTTGAATTCCTCTAACTCTAATGCTAGTATTCGCATCCCAGGTTACAACCTCCATAGACTTGATCGCCTTACAAAAGGAGGGGGTGGAGTTTGTGTATATGCTAGGCATGGACTTAAAGTTACACTGCGTAAAGACCTAAGCAGTATTTCATCAGACAACTTTCACCAATTGTGGATTCAGTGTCAACAACGCAAACTACGATCATTGGTCATTGGAGTGGTATATAGACCACCAGATTGCCCCATATCCTGTTTAAGTAATCATCTATCGCCGATTATGAACTATGTTTTAACACTAAATAAGGACGTAGTACTCCTTGGAGATCTCAACTGTGACATGCTCAAAAATGATCGTCATTCTACAGCTTTGGACGAATTCTGTGCTAATTATAACTTAAAGCAAATCATAGACAAACCGACGCGTGTAACTGAGAATAGCAAAACGTTAATTGATGTCATCATCCTGTCAAATCCTAGTATAGTTAAAGAAAGTGGTATACTTGATTTAACTATAAGTGATCATTATCTTATACAGGTGAACCTTAATTTAAGAAAGCCTAAACAAAGGAAGTCATACATCCAAGTGCGTAGCTATAAAAACTATAATAGCTCACGATTTGCGGAAGATATCGGTAAAGTACCCTGGCATATTTTGGATGTATTTGATAATACTGAAGAGAAAGTAGAAACCTTCAACAACCTATTGTCGTCAGTATTAGACTCTCACGCTCCATTAAGAACTGTTAAAGTTTCTGCAAAACCAATTCCCTTTATGACATCGGAAATCAAAGATTTGATGATCGCGCGTGACCTAAGTCATAGAAAAGCAAGTAGATCTGGTGCTGAAAGGGATTGGTCCGAGTTTAAAGAAAAGAGAAGAATAACAAAGCTACGGCTAAGAGAAGCAGAGATTGCATATATTCAAGAACAAATAAAATCAAGTAAAGGAGATAGCAACTGCATTTGGAAAACTATACGCCAATGTTTGCCATCTGGAGATACTAATAGACCTACATACACCAGAGACGCCACCGTAGTTGTGGAAGAATTCAACGACTTCTTTACAACCGTGGGAATGAAGAGTGCCCAATTGGCTAAAGATATAGCAGAGAAATTTGAATTACCACCCGCTATTGAAACCCAGGCTTCGACTACAGCGACAGTGGACGACAATATGTTTCAACTTAGACAAGTGACAACAGAAGAAGTGAGTGAAATTATCACCATGATGCCCTCCAATAAAGCTCCTGGTAACGATACAGTCCATTTAAAAGTCCTCAAGGACTGTTTATCTTCCATTGTTCAACCGATCACGTCAATAATAAACTCAAGCTTTCTCAAAGGAATATTTCCCAGTCAATGGAAAATATCTGAGATAACCCCTATTCCAAAGAATGATGATTATGAAGAAGCTGAGAATAATCGCCCAATTTCCTTGCTGCCTGTCTTATCTAAAGTTTGCGAGCGAGTAGTCCATAATCAATTTACAAATTACCTTATCCAAAACGAAAGATTCCCAACTAACCAAAGTGGAAACAGAAAACAACATTCAACCGAATCATTGGGCCTTGCAGTAACTGATTACATCTTGGACGCCATGGACAAAAAACAAATAACTGCAATGGTCCTTCTTGATTTTACTAAAGCATTCGACAGTATAAGCCATTCGTTATTGTTGAAGAAATTGCAAAACGTTGGTGTTTCACCGAATGTCTTACGTTGGTTTGCAAGTTATCTTTTTCAACGTAAGCAACAAGTCCGAATCGGCAAAACCCTCTCATCTTCCAGGACCGTGACTCATGGTGTGCCGCAGGGCTCCATTCTGGGACCATTACTGTTTAATTTATATATCTATGACCTTCCCAATGCCTGCACTGGATCTGAGATTGACTCCTTTGTGATGATACGAAACTCTATGCAGCACTTAAAGTTGCTGATCTCGCGGATGGCTTGAACCTCCTTACAAACGATCTTGATAGGGTGGCAGGCTGGTGTTGCTCTAACCAGCTGCTCATTAATCCGGAAAAAACTCAGTTCATATTGTTCGGCACTCGTCAACTACTGCAACAAAGGCCAGTCGACCTTCAACTGTCGTTCCTCGGAAAGACCCTACGTCCAACAAAATGTGTTAAAGATTTGGGAATCAAGCTCGACGAAAATCTTTCCTATGATGAGCATACTAACAAAGTTGTATCGTCATGTAACTTGGCATTAAAGCAGATAAGTAGAGTAAAGCATCTTTTCGACCAAAAAACGTTGGTTCATATAATTCAATCACTGGTTTTCAGTAAACTTTTTTACTGTTCCACAATGTGGTCGAACACGTCCAACAAGAATGTATCAAAACTCCAGCATGTTCAAAACTATGCAGCACGAATTATTACCAAAACTAGAAAGTTTGAACATGTAACACCTGCTTTAAAACTTTTAAAATGGATTCCGGTGAAAGATATGTTGTATTTCCGTGAAGCTGTGATGACATACAAATGTATTAATAATATGACTTCAACTTACTTATGTTCAAAAGTAATGTCCTGTCAACAGAGAAAGCGTCATTACAACTTACGTAACGATGGCGATTTACGCCCGCCAAAGTTTAGGACAACTTCTGGACAACGCACATTTATATATCGTGCATGTAAGATATGGAACACTATCGACGAATCTGTAAAACTTTGCGAAAACATTTCAACTTTTAAAAATAAACTTAAGAACGTGTTAGTTCAAAAACTCATTTTAGCTTAGTTATGTCGTTTTATCACGCTAATTTTATAGATTTATATAGAGACGTATTTTATTAGTATCCCACTTGTATTAAACATCTTAGTACTTGTACTTGTAAATTATCACTGAAAAGCCCTTTTGGGATGTGTTAATAATAAATCACTATCACTATCACTATCACTATCACTATTGACACGTGCGCTCTCTCTCTGTGTTGTATATATATGCGTTGTAAAGTATTGTATTTCATTCTGTCTGAAGATGACTTTGTAATAAAGTCGAAAATTTACAGTCTCAATCTGTGTCTTGTTTGAATTATATTTTGATTCTCAAGATGTCTTGTTTGTTCGGAATTTGCTTTTTACTTTACTTTCTTAAATTGTCGGCTGGTCATGGTTTTTTTTTTCCCAAATATCATCCCCAGGGAAGGGCAGTGAACTGGGGAAGGGTCATTCCCAACCTCCTCCGCAGCGCTCAGGCCGTCAGCTGTCATCAAACTCATCATCCCATCACCCCCAACATTGAGCTCACCGATCTTTCTTTATCCTTTATCCATGATACACATAAGTTAATGTTTAGCGATATTCATTTCGTTTAAACACGACTAAGAGAAGATATTTTTCTATTTCACGCAATATATTGTCAAACCTCAGTTTATATTATATCTTCATTCAACAGTATTAAAATTTTCAAAATTAAAAATGTTTTGAAAACCTGAAAAGCGTTTATAAGGATGTTTACTGTACTTTTAGTCACAGCGATTAGAATTAGCCAAATTGTATGAAAATCATCTCACAAGCATGATCTCTTCGAATCATTTAGAAAGGCCTATTACCAATTTGCCTTCCTTTTCACAAAAATATAATGACAAAATTTGAGAACTTCATAGCGAAATTTGGGAATAATTCAACAAATTTACTGTTTTACTCAAACGGCACAAGTAAATATAACATAGGCTCACATTAAAAAGCAATATAATTATTACATTAAATACTTGTTAGGAGTTTAATAGACATATATTCGTGTGTTAAAAAGGATTTTATCCTGTGCATCCCTTAAAATACCATGCAAAGTAGCAGAATTTTAACATTATAAAAAACATTTCAGGAACTTATGTAATACGTGTTAAGATATGTCGTCTTCATAATTATACGTCTTTATATATGCATATAAAAACAGATTAATTTTCATTAGAGCTTCGAAAATGTTTCATCTTCGTGAAGCAAAGAAATTTAATAAATGCATGGTGTTGGTGCAACTGGATGGTTACTCGTTTACATAGTAACCATCCATTACCAGATGTGATTTGTATGCAGGAGTAGTGATAGAGACAGGTACGACTTCCATATCTTTTCCAAACTCCTCTGCACTTGCCTCACTGCCGAAGGAGTTACAAACGCTAAAGAAAATGCATAAATTATTATAATTTTTTATAGTGATAATTTTCGCGCGAAGTGACATTTTAAGCCGGTTTTCCACTTAGCGGAATTTTTCGCACGGAATTTTTCGCTTAATTGTAACTGGTGAGGGGAATCCGCTACAGTCGAATTCTCACATTAGGGACCATTAGCTTGACGTTTACGGCAAATGCTAAAGCGCTAACAAAGTTTGTGTTTTAAATCCACTATCTTTAAGTGTGCGGCAATTTCGCTAAATTGGCAAACGTTCTACATAAAACTTGCGATGTTCGTTCAGCAGTAATGTAAAAAATCAATAGGCTATTTCCGATGTATTTAGAAAAGCAGCAAATTCAGCTTCGCCGTATATGTTACACTTTCGCCGTATAAATTTTAATGCTTGGACGGCTGATGGTGTTATACGGCGAACGTGAAACACATACAGCAAAGCTGAAGTAGCTGCTTTTCTATAAATACATGAGAAACAGTAGCGTAGCCAGCCTGACCAATTGCCCCGTTATGCTAATATTTTAGTGTTCATTGACTGTGAAAACAATAAATTTCTAAAGGAATGAATAATTCGAAATTTACATAATAACTCGAAATTTACATAGCGGGACAAAATCGCCAGGCTGGCTACGCCACTGATGAGAAATAGTCTTTTTGCTTTCTTACCCTACTGCTGAACATCACAAGTTTTATGTAGAACGTTTGTAATTTAGCGAAATTGCCGCACACTTAAAGATAGTGGAGTTAAAACACAAACTTTGTTAGCGGTTTGGCGTTTGCCGTAAACGTCAAACTAAAGGCCTCTAATTAAAAAGATTGTCAGACGAAAAACTTCGAAAACCGACTTTACTTTTGTTTCAGAGCTCTCAACTGCAACCATCTGGAACAAATCGCTCAAATAAGGAAGAATAAGTTCGCTATGCGCGAAAAAATCGAAGCTGGCTTTCCACTGGGCCGAATTTTACGCTCGTAGCAGAATTTTTTTTTGTTTTTCTCATATTAGTTCCGTTATAGGCAACGAAAAGTTCCACTCCGCGCGCAAAATAGCACCTGCTGCATGGAAAACTCCCCTTAAAACCTCAGGTTGGCTACCCCACTGCATGGTATGCATATACGCATGTCAGCCATGTCTTACCTGAACACCGCTATCACAGTGATGATTAAGGTTGTCACAAAACACAAGGTAAGCCATACAATGATTGCCACAAGCAGTGTCTTGACAACGTTAACATCGTCTTTACTAACTATAATATAGATACAGTAAAAATATTACAAATATAGTTAATCATCCGATGTACAGTTCCAGATAAAGTTATAGTTCGAGGGATGTTTGATAATTTTACCAAAGTATATACACAAGGCGCGCCAAGCCATTGAGTCTAAATTTGGTTAAATTTTAAAACAAAACGAGTACTGTTAATCCCTACTTATACCAGCTACATTGCATGATTATTTGTTGATAATTGTTCGCTTTTTAAGGTAAGATCGAAATGTTTGGACCATGATTGTCAATAGAAACAATTGTTTCTTGTTAAAAATTTAATACAGTCAAAATAGATAACTGTACTCCTTTCAACCAATATGCATTCTGTAATTATTGGGCTGATAATAACAGTCATATAATATTCATAATAATGATTTAGTTTAACCAAAATATTTCATTGAATTATTTAAACTATATAATTTCTAGGATAACTATAGGATCTGATGCCCGAAGGGAATATAGTTTGAATATTCTACGACTAGAACTGAATTCAAAGTGAAATCTACTTACCACCTTTTTTCGCAGCTAAATGAAACAAAAAAGTTTAATAAATGAATCAGTTGGATATCAGATTAAAGGTAATGCCATTATGTTCCTAGATAATTATGTAGTAATTCATCGCAATTTATATTTTAATTATCTGAAATTTGATATCTGAATGACGCTTTATGTTCAATCTGACAACACGAAAATCAAATTGCAAACGAATAGAAATCTATGCGCTATACCGAGTGATATGACAAAAGCCAGCCTTGCAAGAAATAGCCATTGCATAGTGTAAAATCTCCTACAGCGAAATTTGGATCACCATTATTGATATTTATACGTGTTTATAGTGACAACTTACCAATACAACCAGTCCCATCGTCGACAGGTTCAAATCCCTCATGACACACACAGTTATAGCTGGTGTTTGTGTTGACGCATTTCGAGTTTTCCCAACAAACAGTCTCTTGGGCACATTCATTGTAATCTAAAACAAGTGGTATAATCCGTAAAACAAGACGGAAATATAATGAAAAACTACAGGGTGTATAAGGCCTCTGGGGATTGTTAAGGCTGCACTTTTTTATATACTCTTTATAGTTTGGTACAATATCGAAAACATAGCAGAAAACTATAGCGGGGAAACATTCATCATAGTTTTAATCCAAAACATGGCATGGAAACTATATAGTGAAGGGACAGTACATTTTAATATAGAACAAAGCAGATTTGATATCTATAATATTCCTGCTCAATATACAATGTATAAGTAAAGCGATATGAATATTGATATATAGAGCGAAAGAGATTGTTTCGATTGAGTACATGGGTTTATGAAGAGAAAATGAGAAAACTGTATGCGTGCAAAAAACTCTTGGCCGCGCGCCATAACTGCATGGGCAAGCATTTTAGGTTCTATCAGCAACAGAGCAAGTGCATGAAACTAATTTGAATAACATGAATCACGTCTTTCGCTACTGAAGATATAGTCATCCAATTTATTTAGCTACCACCACCCCCATTATACATTGAGAAGAAATTAAACTAATATCGATAAAAAGTGCGAGTATTTCGTTCTTAGAAAGTTTAAAAACCATCAATTATAAAGCTTTAATTTTCTCAGATATTATATATTAGAAGACACGTTACTTGGCATGCCAAATAATGCTGTATGCAAATCATCCGCAAACAGGCATCATTATACTGTCATCATTACATCATCACTGTCTTCAGCTATCATTTCCTTGTTTATTGATAGTAGGAACTGCAGTTGTATACCTGTAAATTTGAACAATTCTGCTAATTCCATTTGCAATTGAGTAATATTGGTGCTGTCACTGATTTTAAAGTCGTTACCAAGATACGCGCCACTCTCTGAGAACGTTACTGCCCTGGATATTTCATTTTGAATATTTTCACTACTCAATCCTGTCGCGCTGCTAAATCCTGCGACGTAGTCGACACCAACGGATCCGTTGCTGTAACAATAACGACTCTGAATTAGAATTTAATGTCCGCATATTCTGCACACTAGATTAAAATAATCAAATTTTAGCATAATTATAGGCAAACTTACGCCTGTATTCTAAAAGCTCACTCACACTCAAACTTATTGAGTAGGAGATCTTAATCTTCTCATAAAGTTTCAACAGCGGTATTTCCTGCCGAGTAAGGGCTTGATTTTCAGTGATTTACGTTGTATCTTTCATCTATTCAGAAAAAACTTTCTCATTCATCAGCATTAACGAAATTTATATGTCACACTCAATGAGTATGAGTGTGAGTGAGCTTTTTGAATACAGGCGTTAAGGTGCATTGAAAATTCTGGCCTCTGATTGGTCGAGCGTCCTCGGACTACTACGCGAAATAATAAGGAAAGCGGATTTTTAAAAATAGAAGCGAGTGGTTTTTCATGACAAAGCGACAGATGAAGAAACAAGTCATTTTAACGATAATACCTAATAGCACGAAAGCAGTCAATTGACCTAAAAACGACAATGAAGAACGTTGCTTACAGTCGTGCCAATTAATGGAAGCGTTCTGAAAAATGTTGACCAGTTCATTTCCTAACTTGAAGGAACACATCTAAACAATTTCTCAACACATTAAAAAATTTCTTTAAAATGTTCCTAACTTCCTGTTTCATTGACCAATCAAATTTTATATTTTATTTTTGAGCAATCTGATTAGTCAATGAAACATGGAGGAAGTTAGGAACTTTTTAAGGAATTTTTTAGTGAAGTTTAAGGAAGTGTTCCTTCAAGTTAGGGAATGAACTGGTCAACATTTTTCAGAAGCTTCTATTGGCACGACTGTAACTTTATTTTGTAAAACACTGTTTCATTCGAATTGCCGAAAAATTGTCGAAATATTAATTTACGTTAACTTTGTAAAAAATGTATTTTCACAGATTCGTTCCTTCAAAAATTCGATCACCTTTGTAACCATACTACAAAAATTATTCAACTCAGCAAACATCACCGAAGAAAAACCTCGACTAATATTCAGTTATATTTACTTCGCCATCGGCGAGTAATTGTTAAACACCCGAAAAAATAATATCAACGTGAGCTATATTTGTATATGATAATACGTGTTTCGCAACAAAGCTGGTTTGGTTTTGTTTTAAAATCGGCCTGCCAGAGGGAAAAATGTGAACGCAACATAAATGACCAATTGTTGTCAATAGAGATACGATATAAATTTGTTGCGATAATTTTTCTGGATGAATTAAGAGCTTTCAACTCATCAATGTATCTATGGTATTAAAATACAATGACGTCGACTTACAATAATCGTATAATGGTGATTGCTTTAAACGTAGATGCCAATGTCTCTGTTTTTTTGAAAAGATTTTCCAACTAAATTTAAAATATATAAGTATATAACTAGAGGTTTGCACGATGTTATATTGTGTTTGTCTAAACTGAGTGGTGGCACTAACAACAAAACATGTTATAATTAAAATTTGGTTAAATTAAAGGTTTTAAATTTTTTGAGGCTCAATTTTGAGTCGCTTCAAGCACTTTTGTTAACTATATAGATATATTAAGTCACCTACATAATTATATAGCTATGCATATTAAATTTATAAAGATAATATTTTAGTTCAAAATGCAAACAAATTAAACCGTTTGTGGATGCCTGTGCATGTAAAAAAATATATCGACAGGCACCTACCCCATTACTTATTTCCTCAGTAAATTTGAAATACTCAAAGCTTGCTTGGTTACCGTGGGCAACGAGAAATTGACGATTCTGTATCCGCAATTGACCTTGGATAGACGCCACAATATCTGAAGAAAAAAAAATTCGAAAGTCAGTTGGGTCTTTGAGTTGTAGCGGCTTTCCTAAAGGCCCTGTTACACGGCGCAATTTTTCTTTCAACTTGCAATGCAATTCTACCTCTAAAAGATGCAATTAGTGAAGAGTCTTGCGGAAGAAAAGTGCATGAAGTGTAATAAACACAAAAGTTTCGTTGTTGCCAAGTGTACGTTTCTCAAAAGTAGAATTGCATTGCAAGTTGCAAGATAGATTGCGTGTAACGGGACCATTTAAGTTTAAGGAAGTTATTGAAAAATATATTATTTTTTTATATGAATTATATAAGCAACGTTCTGGCTTTAAAATAGGGGTATTCGCATAATTTCCTACAGCAGTTTCATGCCTTTTAGCGCCCAATATTTTCTTGGGCAAATCGATCGTTTTCAGACAATTTCCGTCGGAGGAAGTCAGTAGCCTGTGATGGACGTTTTTCCGTGAAAAATTAATAAGGGAAGAAATTTATAAATAATTTTAGGAAAATCACCTGCTAATGAATTTTAGACGTCCAAAATAAACGGCAAGTTTAAAAAACACAACTCCATCGTCGTTATTATACTCGTAATTAAGACCCTTTATTAATCCTACATCGAGTGAATACATTTCGTCTCACCTAATCGCAATACCATCCTAAATACGCACTACACTCGCTCTGGTCAGCTATACCTCGATCTGTAGCCCGCGATATATAAAAACGCATTAAAATGTATATGTATTTTCTTAGCCTGGTGATTTTACACAGGTCTCACTGCAAAATTCTGTTTCGCTTTCTCTTCTCCTAAAAGTCTTTAAGTCTAAACGCATATATACTTTACATACCAACACATTGTCCATCGCTAAGCAGTTGTCTTGGAATGATGCAGCTACAGCTGTGTCCACCAGGATAGTTGGTACATCTTTGACCTGTTCCTCTACATGCTCCCGGTGGCATATTACACTCATCTATATCTACGAGGTAAAAAAAAATATGGATTTACAGAATAGTACAGAAACAATGTAAAATATGTACTTTATTTCACTAATAAAACTCAATAATATCAGAAAGATCAATTTTTTATAATTTTTGAAATTTCATTAAAAATGTTTAATTACTCTATATAATTCTAAACTACTTTATTATAATTGTAAATTCTTTGATAAGATGCGCTGTATACAGGAACCGTTCATTTGATCCGCTTTTAAAAGCACATGTGTGCACAAGACAACGCTTGAAGGATCTTTGCGAAGGATATCATTTGTAAAGATTTCGAAAATTTAGCACTTTAAAAGCCTGTTCACACGATCCAATTTTGTCGGATCCAATTCACTTCTGGCGTATGGAATGTTATTTGTAATGCAGTACTGCATTCGCTTAAGTTGATTTGTTGCCTATTATAAATTTCGAGTTAAAAATTCCGACTGTAAAACATCCATCAGAGAAGAATTGGATCCGACAGAATTGGATCGTCAATAGAATTGGATCTTCAATAATACAGCCTATGAAGCCAATATTCTGGCTAATTTAACTCTCTTGTGAACGGTCGATTTTCAATGCCATTGAAAGGCCTGGAAATGGAAGCGTAGAAAAGTTCTAGAAATCTCTCCATTATGGAAGTTTATTTTTCTTTCCGAAGAGACGTGATCCTTACTCCTTCAGGGTTAATAATTATCATAACATCTAGAAAAAGATACCTGCACAGGCTCTGCCTTTTCGTTGATATCCTTTTTTGCAGGTACATTCATATCCACCTTCATTATTGGTACAAGTCTCGTTTACATCGCAAGGATTAGTTTGACATTCATTGATATCTGCAATCACCAAATATATAAAATATTTACATGGATTATCTCGGGTTTCTCCGACAAAATGGCGAGTAATGTGGCTGCCATATAGTTATTTAATTGATTGCAAGTTCAGACAGTAAATTCATCGAGTGAATATAAGTTTGGCACGTTCTTTTTGTAAGACACTGCAGTTCGAATTGAAAATGTAAGCATTTCGTCTTTATCATTCGGTTAAAATATTATATTTCCATTATACCCCATGTGGCAAGTGCATTCATGGGAACCTCGAATGTCAATTGGCATTTAATAGATCACAGGAATTTGATTGGCATTCATCGATATCTACATGCACATATTAATTGTCAGTGTAATAATATCTATAGATAATTGAGTGATGCATGTTTCTGCCACAAAGCGGCTGAATTAACTAACAATAGATTTTTTATCAGTATAAAAATTAATGGTTCGTGATATGGTAAATGTTTATTTTACACTACAAGTCAAACCTGGTAAGCTAATTGTAAGTTTCAGGCAATACAAACCTCAAGTGGATTGAAACATTCTGTTTTTAGGTCTTTTCGCTTATTATTACATTGTCATTTTTAAAAAAATTATTGTTAGCTATATGTAGTTTCCAATCTACCTGTACAACTGGTACCGTTCCCTTCATAGCCTTTGTAGCAAGCACATTCATATCCACCATCGGTATTGATACAATTCGCATTTGCATCACATGGATTTGACTGGCATTCATTGATATCTACAGAGATGCAACATAGTTACATTTTAAAATTAAATACTTGTTTACATTAAAGTTTTCTCATATAAATGGTTTTGTCACTAAAATCATTCACTTTTCCAACGTGTACCTGTACAACTGATGCCACTGCTTTTATACCCCATGTTGCAGGTGCATTCATACGAACCATCATTATTTGTACAATTTGCATTTACGTCGCAGGGATTTGATTCGCATTCATTGATATCTAATAGAAAATAAAATAGAGTTGAATACGTTTTCTCGTCTTGTGAGCTATTGTGAATGAAATCTTTGGATTTGTTGAGATGTAACGTTTTTCTGCTTGGTGATAAAATAGGAAGTTCTTCATTGAATATAAAGGCTCTGTCACACTGTTGCGTATGATAGGAACGTATGAGTCGCGTATAAAGATCATTTCATTCATTTTTATACGCACGAAAAAGTCCGTAAAAATAGGATATTTTGCATAAAATTAACTTATTAAACGTATGAGTATCGTATGAGTAGCCTGTCGCTGGCGTATGCCAGCGTATGAATAGCTTACGAGAAGCGTTTTGAATGCGCATGTCAAGCATACCACTGGCGTTAATTCACAGACTTTAATCGTATATAAGCGGCAGTATTTTCACACGGCTCCATTCGAGAAAATGTCAAACCTACAGTGAAAAAAGAAGACACCGTGGCAAATAAGAAGACATCATCTACCCGCGGACGAGGAAAAGGAGAGAGGACTCCACAATCAGCCGTTGCCAAAGCTGACGAACAACGTGTTTGTGCACCTGCAGGTGTAGTTGAACCACCTGATGATGATGCACTTATTCCTGAGACATCTTTAAATAATGCGCGACATGTTCCTGAGCTCTCAAAGTCCCCAACACAACCTTCCCAAGACTCCCATAATTCATCGGCTTTATCATCTGAAACCATTGATGACTTCACCTCCTTCTGGCAGGCTGATAGCAAGGAGAGAAATAAGAGGAAGAGGGCGAAGAAAAACCCCTACAACCTCAGCGCCACAGAAGAGGAGCTGATGCTGGAGTTTATCATGGACAATCCTGTGCTGTGGAATGTGAAGATGACAGATTATAGGCGGAAAGACAAGAAAGAGAAGATCTGGGAAGAGCAAGCGCATCAGATGAACAAGACTGTTGACATCCTCAAGGGCTGGTTCAGATCGTTGCGCGACACCCATACGCGCCTTGACAAGAAGAAAAACGGGGATAGTGCTCCAAACCTGACTGAGAGAGAACAGCGGATCCTCTCAAAGTTTGCCTTCCTGAAGACTGTCACTCGCCACCGACCGGAGCCCATGCAGAGTGTAAGTATACAGCCATATTACCTTAGCAACATGATGACCAAGTAATTTGAGACAATTTCCACATGATATTTTTGGTCTTTCTAGGTGAAGGAAACCATCCAGCTTCACAGAGGAGATCTTAATGCTGCCGAGAGCGCCTGCGCTGATATGCAGGATGTCTTAGATTAAGTCACTCCAATACCATCATCTACCGCTGGAAGGTCCCACAAGCGACCTCAGGACACAGAGAGTGACGTCTTTGAGACTCTACAGAAGAGAGTTGCTGAGTCTGGCACCATCCTCAAAGACATCTACAAAGCCAAACAACAGCCCATTAGAGCACGAAGTGTCTTTGCAAATTATGTTAAAGAGAGCCTTTTGACTATGTCCAAGTACAAGAAGGCAAGGTCCTCCATCAATAGGTTATTGTCTGAACTCATGGATGAGGACAGCGATGATGAATTTCTAAGTGCAATGGCGGCTCCATCTATCAAAGTGAACCAACAAGGGATCCCTTCTCAACCACCCCACGATTTGCACCCCACTACAAGCATTCCCTTCTGTTCATTTAGAGCATCAGCACCATCCTTCTCTGAGCATTTCAGAAACCTAAACATGCCTATAAACATGCCTCTGGCATCGTTGGTGAGAGGCTCTCAGCCCATGGAGTACATGCAGCAGTTTCACCAGCGGTTATTTCAGTATCCACATCATCACAAGACTACCACTAAACAACAGCAGATGATTCCTCCTTCCCAACAACTTGCTCAGCAACCGTTTCAGCAAACTCAGAAACAATGCACTCCTACCTCTGGCCCGGTTCGTGCCTCTTTGGCTTCTGCAACAGAGTTAATAACGGAAACGTCTAGCCCAACGCCGCACAGTCCAAGCTCAGCCTTTGAGCAAAGTCACCCGAACATTACTAGTCTTTCAGGATTTCGAGACATCATGGAATCTACTGATGATATTGGATTTCAGGATGAGGTTCTCAACCTTCGACCACCAACGTGAAAGAAGTATTGACTATTTTGTTACTGTAGTAACTCTCAGATAATCGACATGTCAAAATTAAATTCTCATTTTTTGTTTCTCATAATTTCATAATACACACTGCATTTACACCCTTGTCTAAAGGACAACATTGTATATATTCTAAAATCTTGCAGTATTAATGTTGGAGTGACTATATAATTAACATGTGTTTCGACATCTACAAAAAGTTTTGTTGTGGTTTAGTTTCGTTTACAATAATTTGATCTAAATCATTCTGTCTTGCCATGGAACTGCACCTGCCTCTGAGTTGACCCAGTGCTTCAACAGATTCCTTAGCCCCTTTCCTTTGTTGGTGGATGTGTTTCTCCCAACAACTGTATGTGTGTCGAGCAAATTTCTGTCTTGTCTCCATGATCCTGGAATGAAGTTGTTGTTCATGTTCTCTGCATGGTCTAGATGCTGGTTCTGTAATTCAGGGTAGCGTATCCTCATGAGATTGTGCAGGACAATACAAGCTTTAACGATGAGCTTCACTGTAGGAGGGTGATGCTGCATTGTAGTTAACAGAACCTGAAAACGATTCGTCAGGATGCCGAAAGCGATTTCAACTACTCTTCTGGCGCGGGAAATCCTGTAGTTAAATATCCTCTCTTCATGGTGTAGACCACGGCGGCTGTATGGCTTCATCATTGTCTCTCGGAGGGCAAAGGCATCGTCACCTACAAAGAAGTAGGGGACACTCTGATAGTCATTTGGTAAAGCATCGGGGACGGGGAATCCTATAGTTCCGTCTTCTGTTAATTCTTTGATTTCAGAGTTGTTGTAGATCTGTCGTCCGATGATGACCCTTTACCATCGAGGTCTGCCCAGATGAATTTATAATCTGCGTCTACAAGGCCCATGAGTACAACAGAGTAGAATCCCTTGTAGTTGAAATATTGGGATCCACTTTTTGGTGGACACTTGCAGGTAATGTGCTTTCCATCTATAGCACCACATGTATGGGGGAAGTTCCACCTCTTGAGGAACTTATCAGATATGGCACGCCATCCCTCTGGCGTGGTAGGGCAGGTCATTACTTCGGACATGTATTCGTCGATGATGGCTTGGCAAACCTCTCTGACAATAAGTGACTGGGTGTTGTGGGGGACCCTCCATCCGTACTTCATGGCTGAATACGTGCTCCCAGAGGCAAGGTGTCGCAAAGTCAAAGAGAGCTTCAGCCCAGGCTCCAGGGGTCGCCTATACCAGGTATGTTTCTTGGTGATCCTGGGACTCACTCTTGCCAGAAGCTCATCAAACATCTCGGGGACCATCCGCATAAAGTTCTTGAAACATCGCGTATCCTCGCTTCGGAGTTCCACCAGAAGTTGGTCGTAAATACCAAACTGCCTTCGCCTTCCGATCCATGATCTCATCCATACCTCACGTCTTTTTCTTTTTCTCCTTTTCCTTCTGTTATTTTCTATGTGACGAATCGTCAAAGCTATGAGATCAAACTGGTATTCAAGAACAGCTAACTCCATCCTTTATCCTCCTCGAAGGACAAGATGATATGAAGGCATCCAACATAAATATATTTATACACAATAAATGACATGCTATAATATTACCCTTTCTCGTAACGTTTGCAATACGCTGAGGATACGACGACCAGGCGTTAACTATACGCTAATTGTACGGTAAATGCGTTACTTAATTGTCAGTCATACGCTAAGCCCTCTATAGACGTTAAACATATGTCACACATAAGTTAGACCTTCGTTACTGATGCGCTATCAACACGTTAGTTGTACGGCACACTTACTCATTTGCGTATGATTAGCGTACTCAACCTATTAGTACAGTACATTTAGCGTCCTTCTGCCGTATTCAGCGTATGACTAGCTTATCTTTACCGTATAAACCATACGTCCAAACACGCACAAGATTTTTAAGCATGCTTAAAAAAAATTTTCTTCCTCGGCGTATACCAGCGTATGTGACCGTGCTTGGAACGTGTATAACTTACGCACGACGTACCACCAACATATTTCAGCGTATTCCGGCGTATGCGTGATATTTATCATACGCTGCCATACGCTAATGTGATACGCAACAGTGTGACAGGGCCTTAACTGAGGCTTAATAAAACGAAATTGTAAATTTCATAAACCAAAAAAAAAGCAATCCCGTTGGTTGACTTCTCTGAAGAAACTGAGAGAAATTTAATGTGTTTATTAGAATAATTATAAACAAAGTGACAATGTTTATTGGTATTTTCAGGCAGAGCAATCTTTAAGTCGGTTCCCAAGCATTTTTCATTTTTTTATAATCTTATCATTAATACGTAATACGATTTTTAAAATCATAATTGCTTTCATTGTGTACCTGTACAGCTTGCACCGTCACCTTCATATCCGCTGTGGCAAGAACATTCATATCCACCGCCAATATTGGTGCAATTTGCATTTATGTCACAAGGATTTGATTGGCATTCATTGATATCTAGAAACATATCACACAGTGAGGTATTTAAAGAAATATACCGTAAAATTTTTCAGCGATAGGGAATTATTAGCGCCTGTGCGTGCACAAGCCTATAGTTTTCAAAGTATGAACTTTTACAAAATTGAATACTCGAAGAAAGAGCTGAAGTAGTACCAAGAAAATCGTCAGAAACATAAGCGTACGCTTTCGTAAAATTGAACACTTGAAGAAAGAGTGGTCGCAAAAACTTCCTCTGAAACATAGCTCTGTTTTAAAGACAGTTTAAACTGTAGAGATTTCGAAAATTTGGCTTCTCAATATAGGAAAGCCTATTACATTTTGGCTAATGTACCTGTTGTATATAGAATATCAAATTTCAATATCATTCAAAAGCCTAAAATTAGAAATGTAGAAAATCTCTACCATTCTATCCAATATAGAAATTGATTTTACTTTACTTTTTCAAATGAAATAAAACTTCAAGCGGTCAGTTGTTGAAAGCCACGTTATTGCTAACCCAGGGTCAAATTTTAATCCACCGCTGTTTTACAATACTGTAGTTACGGTTCGGTTGCATCTACACCGCGGTTCTGTTGCGGTTCGGTTGCGGTCAACCGATAGAAACCGCAAACGACTGCTAGAAGAAAGATACGATCGCGGTTGCCGTTCGCTTCCGTGCTTATGCATCGCCATTCGTCTCAAAACTGTACAAAATATGACTTTTACACTGAACCAGAAAATACTCACGGAAACAAGCGATGAAAAAAAATAAAGTGAAACGTAAATCAGCTTTTGAACTACAGGCCCCAGGGTAATCATAACAGCTTCAAAAATATACTGCAAAGTTGTGCCATTGCCTTCATATCCCTTTTTGCAGGTACATTCATATGAACTATCAGTATTGGTACAATTTGCGTTTCCATCGCAAGGATTTGATTGACATTCATTGATATCTACAATAAATAAATGTATGAAACAGTTACATGGGCTGTCTCGGGTTTTTCCGAAGTAATGGCAAGTAATAAATTGAAAGACATGTAAAAGATTGAGACAATTTGACGTGATGTATGACACAGAATTCTTGGCGAGAATTGAAGTTTAGCGAGTTTTTTGAATCTTTTCTTCCAAGAGTGTAATATTGAGTATGATATTAAGGCGGTGCATCATAATTATTCCAAACGAAGTGCTTCATCATAGCATTTCAAAGGTTTGAATTATATTTAAGTTTGAAAAGTGTACCTTGACAGCCAACGCCAATTTTTTCATACCCCATGTGGCAAGTGCATTCATAGGAACCACGAATGTTGGTACAATTGGCATTTACATCACAAGGATTTGATTGGCATTCATTGATATCTACAAATATTCGAAACATTTGAATTATGTTAAATTAATTATCAGTCTAATAATATCTAGATTTTTCTGGTTCACAGCGGCTAATATGATAATAAATATTTTTCAGTAAAATCAAATAGATCTGTAACAAATCAGATGGTTTGTGACATGGTATATGCGCATTTGACACTTCTAAGCAAGACCAACCTGTTCATCTGGTTGTAAATGTTAGGCAAGACAATTGGACCACTCTGTTTTTAGGTCTTTTAGTTTTAACCTTTCCGCTAATTAATATTGTCATTATTACTATGATAGTTTCCAATGTATACCTGCACAATTGGTACCGTTCCCCTCATAGCCTTTGTAGCAAGCACATTCATATCCACCATCGGTATTGTTGCAATTTGCATTTAAATGACAGGGATTTGATTGGCATTCATTGATGTCTAAAAACATGCAACACAGTTACAATTTAAAAATTCATTAAATACTTATTGACATTGATGTGTTTTTATATAATTAATTTTGTCACTAATATCATTCATTGTTTCCAACGTGTACCTGCACAACTGATGCCATTGCTTTCATACCCCATGTGACAGGTGCATTCATACGAACCATCATTGTTTGTACAATTTGCATTTACGTCGCAGGGATTTGATCCGCATTCATTGATATCTAATAGAAAATGAAACACAGTTGAATTGGTTTTCTCCTGTTCATGTCAAATATTCAGGAATAAAGTTATTGCTGAGATGTAACGTTTTACCACTTGGTGGTGAAATGGAACTGATTTCTCTGATTAGATAATTTATTTGGACTTATTGGTTGATTGCAAGATTTTGAAGAAATTCAGGGAAATTTTTTGTACTTATCAGTTATCAAGGAATGAGCACAGTGACGTTCTTTAAACCAAAGTTACAGTATTTTGCACACAAGTGTGCATGTTTATTGCTATTTTCATGCAGGAAGGGAAACTTTTAATTCAATTGAAACATTTCGTTCCAAAGTATTTTTTATTTTTCCAACTTTAGTTCATGGTCACTAAAATTGTAATTGCTTCTAATGTCTACCTGTACAGCTGGTGCCGTTCCCTTCGTATCCACTGCGGCAGGAACATTCATATCCACCATCGATATTGGTACAATTTGCGTTAACATCGCACGGATTTGACATGCATTCATTGATATCTAGAAATATATAACAGAGTTTCATATTGTAAAACCTTAATTTTCAATACAATATCAATAAAAGGCCTGGAAATAGAAACGTAGTAAAGCTCTAATAAATATCAGTTTACTAAACATCATAACAGCTACAAGAAAATACCTGCGCAAGTTGTGCCATTGCCTTCATATCCCTTATTGCAGGTACATTCATATGCACCATCAGTATTGGTACAATTTGCGTTTACATCGCAAGGATCAGATTGACATTCATTGATATCTACAATTAACAAATGTGTGAACCAGTCACATTAGCTGTCTCGAGTTTTTCCGAAATAACGATTGAGACAATTTTACGTGGTGATTAACACAGAATTCTTAGCGAAAATTGAAGTTTAGCGAGTTCTTTGAATCTTTTTTCCAAAGAGTATAATATTAATGCTTCATCATAGTATTTCAAATATTTGAATTATTTTTATGCTTGAAAAGTGTACCTTGACAGCCAACGCCAATTTTTTCATACCCCATGTGGCAAGTGCATTCATAGGCACAAATCACGATATTTTGCGAGAACCGAGTTCAATAATTGTTTTATCATTCACCACTCAATTTTCAATTCATTCACCACTTAATTTTCAATTTTGAGCTCGTTTTATCGGACAGTTCGGCAAAACGAGTTGCCATTGTTTATAAAATTGACATTAATGCGCATACTCAGAGTATTATTTGCAGCTGAGTATTATTTGCACGCAGTTAACTGAAGGTAAATTAACCAATCAAAATTGAGAATACTATAAAGTGAATGATAATAAAAATTAAATAAGTTAGGTTTCAAGTTGTTTTAAAAGCAAAGTTTTATAACCATAAGATTGGTTTTGGTATAATAAAGTTTCGTCCCCCCAAAATTTTTACTGTCTTTAAACAATAAACATGACCTGAAGAACCGCTTTTATATCGTTGAATGGATGTAGGGTGCAAGGTGGCATTTTGTCAGTGGTAGGGGATTGAAACTACGAGTTCAAAATTTTAGCAGCTCTCCTCGAGCTAGTGGGGAAAGTAAAACTTACCCTAAATAGGAATTGTTTTATTTTTTTAAATTTTGCTGACGCGATGCCACAAACTGAGGCATATACTCTAACCTTTGCAATTAGTTCCTTCTCCTAAAAAGCCAGATTTACAGGTACAGTCAAAGGAGCCATGATTATTTTCGCATGTGCATTACTGTGGCAATTGTGATTCTTTTCAACACATTCATCAACATCTATAAGAAGTTAAATCATTAGACCACCTATGTTTAGACGTATAAGACAGAAATGTCGTTCAAGACATTCATAAAATGTTAAACTAACCAATACAATAAGTCCCATTCCCTCTGTATCCAGATTTGCAAGCACATTCGAAAGAGCCATCGATATTAATGCATTTAGCGTTTTCATGACAATTGTGAGTCTTGTTTCTGGCATTCATCAACATCTGGAAAGTTTCAATGAATATTGCTAATAATTATGTACCTACTATGTATTTAAATATTCGAAACAGAGAATATTTTATTAGAAATAACATTTTGAGCCACTGAAAAAATATGCTTTCACACAGAGGCTGCTGGAAATGGTAGAATTATCACCTACCTATACAAGCAGTGCCATTCTTTACAAATCCCTGGTTACAGGCACAGTAATAACTTGTGTTGTGTTAACACATGTTGCGTTGTTTTCACAATCAACCGTATGAACACCATTTTCAGGATTGCATTCGTCGTAATCTTCGAAGAAAAATATTGACAGAATTTTTACTCACATGATTATTTTAACTTGAATACCCAAAGAGTAATAAAAATATGAAATTTTCTGATCATCATGTTATTTACTGGTAGCGAGGTGCGCAAAGAAAAATATTTCCTAAGTTTCAGAAAGCTGCACAAGGCCACTGCATGGCTATGGAACGATTTTGAGACCGAGGGTAAATAATTTTACTAGGTATCGTTATAAAAGGCAAAGTTGACAAAAAACCCTCTTAAAGAAGATTCTCGATCTAAAATACTAAGATTTAATCAAAGTTATACCAAACAGCGATTAAAAAAAAACACTATCCGGTGGATATAGAACTATCCGGCTTTCATACAGCCGACGCAAGGTCCATATTTACGGATTTCAAATAAAAACTTGGCAAACAACTTATTAGTGCATAGATTCCAACGCCAGTAAGATTTCGACATCTAATTATAATGCAAAACCATGCACCCGTTGCCGGCTATAGACCATGCAGGAGAGCCTAAAGTATACGATTCCAGCTGCGGTAACTTGCAAAAAACTATTACGATTTCATGTTTAGAAATCATATTATCTTTTTCTTGCAGATACACACAGCATTCGTTATTTACCATGGACGGTTAAAAGGTTTGCCAACTTTGTCATATTTGTTTCTTCGCTGATTTTGAAGTCATTGCCAAGAAATGTGCCATTATTGGTGACATTTATTGAACTGGCTAACTCTTCCTGAACATTCTCATTGTTTATCCCTTTTGTATCGTTAAATATCGCCACGTAATCGAATCCAATTGATCCTGGGCTAAATTCGTAAATGGTATACGTAAGAACAAAATAATAATTATGATGTAACAACGCACTGTATGGTTTCCTATATTCAGAATAAGGAGACGTTTTGCTTTAGCTAATCAGCAAGTTTGTGCAAATTTTTAAAAAACCAACCAGAGTGCATAGAATTAATTTTCAGTAGCTCCGATAAAAAAGGTGCATGATCCACTATTTTACAGTCTGATTGGATTTGCCTGAAAAATGTAAGCTGATGCAGAAACCTCAAAAATTATTCATAATATAGACCTTTTCCATAATGACGACAAACCAATCAAATTTCGTGTAACAGCACACTTTCGGCGTTTCACGTCATTATGGAAAAGGTTTGTTACATGCATTAACTTTGGCCGGTATTGTGGTGTAAAATGAAATATATTTTAGCCCGCTGATAAGGCAATCAAAAGAATGACTAGAGTGTTTACCTATTGCATTTTTTTATACAAAAATTACCCTTAAAGTTAATAATTATAATGGTAATACAGTTGATATTCTTGGGAATATATGTGTTTTTGGTCTAAAAACACAATTATGCCTGCGAACATCAACTCTATTGTTATATTAGTGAAGGTATAAAGTTTGTAACGGTCACTTACAATAGTCGTAAAATGTTGATTGACTGAAACGTAAAGCGTAGTCTTGGTGTGCTTCTGTAGAGAGTAGTCAGCTAAATTAATAAAAGAGTTGTCAGCTAATTTTTTTAAGATCTATTCATTTAAATGTTAAATAATTGTGAAAGTTGAATAATTTATTATGAATAAGATCAACGCAATTGCACTGAAGTTCAATAAAGTGTATTTGTACTCTTTTTTGATTACAGAAAATAGTTATATAATACCTATTAAAGCGAGTTACGTCGTTGTAACTATATGTATGATTATTCCTAAATTAATTGCACTATAATTTGTTCTTTTACCATTATTTATCAACAGATTACAACAACGAACCTGGAATGTTAATGTCGTAGTAAAGGTTATGTAATCTGAGCTTTGTGTGTCATCGAAGGCTGGAACGTATGGTTGATTTATGATCAACAATCGACCTTGGACAGAGACTTCATTACCTGAGTAAAACGACAGATTTCAAGGATGTAAGAAAAGTTGATTAGGTCTACGATAACAGAAAGGAATTTCGTTTTGGACCAATCAGTGCGCGGCTGTATAAAACTTCTAAATACATTTTGCATAAATTCTAGAGGTTTAAAGTGTCTTAATTTCGAATTATACACACTTCACTTTCAAGCCAGGAACAGTTGATGGAAAAATGAATCAACTGTAGCTCCCATTGAGGACCTATGGTTGACTCAATTTTTCATCAACTGATCCTGACTTGAATTTGAAGTGTGCATAATTCCACTCGAAATTGAAACCTTTAGAATGTACCTACATCGAGTGAAGTGCCAAAAATCATAATCGATTTACATTTTGCATAGTTAAATTCTAGTTAACTCAGAAATAAACGACTCTCATTGGCCAATCCTGTTCTTAACCCAAAGTTAAAAGTTATCTAATTCTTTATACAACTGGCCCCAGGTAATTGCAATATTCAAATTTGGAGGTATATACTTGATTTTTACCTTCCGGGGAGTCGGAAATTCCGGTCTAGAAAGCAAATGGTACAAGCCCGGAATTTCTGATTCCGGTCTAAGGGTAAATTGCTAGCACACTAGTTGCATACAATACGCGGGTTACGCTCACACGAAACAAAACGAATTCTTCACTAAATGTAATGGTTTTTGCAGTGAAGTAATATATTCGTTTTTTAACACTGTGAGAATAGTGATAAATACTCTTGCGTTAATATACATGCGTTTTGCTGCAAATTTTGCATATCGTTTGTTCCTAAAGCGAGTGTACATTGATTTTTTAAAACTTTCACTACGTCAAAACCTGAATTCATTTTATATTAAGTAAAATCATGCGATAAAACCCATTTGGAAGTTAGTGAAATTTTAAAATAATGAAAAATACATGGCGAGAAATTTTGGACACGCACGCGCGGTAGATACACAGACTTCGGGAGATTCGAAACAATATGGCCACGCGAAATCACACGGTTTTATTAGGGTTATATTAAAAATGTGGCCTTACCTCTAAACTTTTTAAAAATGTGAAAATGTTCTATCTGATTCTGTTTTTAGACGTAAAACTTGATATTTTGATATCATGGATGATATTTAGATGTTAATACCTCTTGCGGTTTTGCAGGAAATAGCCAACGGCTATTAAAGTATAGAAAAACACCATTTATAGCGTCGAAAGTTGTTTTGACCGTTGAACTTGTAAGATTTTCGCGCGATCGGGCCACGATAACCAAAATGTTCTATCGGTTTTCTAAACTCCGAGCGATGATTTTGAACACCCATCAGTGCAAAAATGTGAAGAATATATATCTCTTGCGGTTTTTAGCTCCAAAATGAGCAAATTTCAACGTTATATTTTCATCAAAACTGACCTTTTTCCCCAAAAAACTCTTCAAAAAATAACTGAAATCATTTTTCATCGTCCATATTTGCTAGGCAACCAAGCCTTGACTTGTTGCCATGGTTTTAAGGCATATTCGAACTTTTTTTGTCGCATTTTAGGGTATTTAGAATGTGATATATCGTGTGTATTTCACTTGTGATTCGTTAGAATAAATTAGAACAATTTATTCGTTAGAATAAATTAGAACCCCCCTGTGCGTGTCCAAAATTTCTCGCCATGATGTTTTTTTCTCTGTCGTGTGACGTGCTTCTCTATGTAAATTTTGGGTTGTTGTTTTTCATCTCGTCTGTGAAGTTGAATCTATTTTTTGTTTAAACGTTCATTTTTTGAAAAAATAATTCTAGTACTGTAAATAATCTAGAGTTAGAGAGATAATACTAATAGCCGAAGTTTTCAACAGTGTATAACCGTTAACATACCAATACATTCACCACGAATAAGTTGTTGCTGAGGATTTGTACAGTAACAGTTGTATGTTCCTAGATGGTTGGTACATGATTGACCTTGGCCAGTGCATTTCTGAGGTGACTCTGTACATTCATCTATATCCTCTGCAGAAATACAACATATTATATATTATTAACAAAAAATTGCATGAATATGCTCAAGGCTTTGGCACTATTTCTCCCCTTGACTGTTCGTACATATCTGCATACTACCATATTATACATAATGAAACATTGTGTACTTACAAGCTAGTATAAAGTAAAACATCTTATTCAATAAGGGGATTGAAGTCATATTGAGGCCTTTCGTCTACTAGCTAGTAAACTGGCATGCTAAAATGAACAGTTAGTAAATGTGGTGGTGTTGTGTGATCCTAACACGTACAAAAGCTTTTTGTTTTCATATTACACCAAGTACGCATATATCGCTAGAAGCTAGAATCCGTCTTTTGCTCGACTGATTTCTTTGGAGAGCTATGAATCTATGAATATGTGAATATATATGTATACCGCCTCAATTAAGTGCTGTAGCTACGGCTCTACACTATGCTCAACTCAAGTTTAATATTGCATTGGGCAAGCTAGGGACGCGTTTGATATCATCACAAATTTAATCGACAGTATCCAGGAAAAGATCTAACTCATTAATTGCGTGAAAATTCACTGTACAATTGCGTGACCACAATTAATTAAATAGCAAGTTAGCTTAAGGAGCAGGACGTTGATAAAATCCTCTTCACAGAAATTTTATATTAAGATTTAAAGAAGGACAGTTCTCCTCTTACCACAGTAAATTAATTATTGATACAGCAAGCAAGAAACAGAAATATGCAAATAGTGAGACTAACCGCAAAGCTGTCCATTTCCTGTATATCCAGCATTGCAAACACACTTATAACTTCCGATGGTATTTTGACAAACAGCGTCTGACGAGCAATCATTATCGCCATTACATTCATCAATGTCTTAAAGAGAAAAGAGTCACGCCATACATATCTAAAAGAACGAAACTAAATGCGATAATTGAGGGAGGGTGCGGGTAGTGAATATCAAGAATATCATCTGTCGTTTTTTCGACGAAATAAGAAGGCGTAGCCGGGATGGATAAGGCTACTGGTTACGCTGTGACATTTTAAAACATTTCTCACGGTTAACAGTGGCTTGCAAATATAGCTGTAATAAGGGGGGATATATATTCTTATATTCAAGTTAACAGACTGTAAAGATAAATAGATTTGAGAAGGAATTGGTTACCCACAACACGAATACAATTAATTTTATGATATGCCCCCCGCCCCAATTATCGACGCTGTCAACTGATTTCTTTTCTTGTATATAAACAAGGAAGAGATTCGCATAGAACATATCGGCACATTTGTTCACATTTTTCAAACTAAGCATTGAATATTTATGCATTCTGATCGGGTTATTGAAAATGTAAACAAACTGCTGATTGGACTAAAACGAAATTTCAATGTTTACCTGTACAGCTAGTGCCATTGCCTTCATAGCCCTCGTGGCAGTTACATTCATACGAACCACCTACATTGGTACAATTTGCATTTACGTCACAAGGATTTGTTTCGCATTCATTGATATCTACAAAAAGATGAAATAGTTGAATTAGTTATCTTTATTGGTTAATATTTATGTATTGTCTCAGGGGCGGATACATGCAGCATTTTCGCTGACTGCATGATGCGATGTTTTGAACCATACTGCACCACCTCCTGGGGGGTATATACTTCCGCATATTCGTTTTTACCAATGTCAATAAAATATACCATATTCCGGTACATTCGACTTTACCAGGTATATCCGACCTTACTACAATGCCACATTCCGGTATATTTGATCTTCACTATTTTTATCGTGTTTACTAAAGTCTTTTTCAAATTTCGTATTTATTTTTTTGCCCTTATGATGTTTTGACTGCTGTGAGTCTGGGTACACCCTTCATTTAAACAAAAAATACAAATTCGGTAACCCTTAACTTAGCTAATTGCATGCATGTTTCTTTTATATGATGTACCTGTACAGCTGGTGCCATTGCCTTCATATCCCTCGTGACAGTGACATTCATACCACCCATCAATATGGGTGCAATTTGCATTTACATCGCAAGGATTTTCTTTGCATTCTTTGACATCTTAAAAAAACATAGGACATTATTACTTTAGCTTTTAGTAAGGTAACGATTCTTCCTTTTTTCTGCTATCCAGCTGAAATAACTCGTAAATAAAGTACTTTCGGCACTATTACTAGAGTGGTATGTAAGTATATTTCATAATTAAAGGCATAATTTATCCCAAAGCTGTACCTGTACAATTTATGCCGTTTCCTTCATAGCCCTCATGGCAGGTACATTCATACGAACCATCTACGTTTGTACAATTTGCATTTACATCACAAGGATTTGTTTCGCATTCATTCTTATCTACAAAAAGTTGAAAAAATTATAAGCTAATATAATTGCACGTAGCCTCTTTAGATTTCAGTGCAAATAACAAAACGAGTTGTAGATATATAAATATCTTGTTGGTAACCCTAAACGTGGCTAATTGTTTATATTATGTACCTGTACAGCTGGTGCCATTGCCTTCATATCCCTCGTGACAGTTACACTCATACCATCCATTAATAGTGGTGCAATTTGCATTTACATCGCAAGGATTGTCTTCGCACTCATTGACGTCTTCAAAAAATGTAAGACAGTTAAAATTATTATTTTAGCTTTTAGTCAGGTAACGTTTTTTTCTATTTTTCTGCTTGCAAACTGAAATAACAAGTAGCTTCATCAAATCCTGGCGGCCCCATTACATTGGTAGTTTTGTATATTAAATAATTAATAGCATATAATTATTATATCCCAAACTGTACCTGTACAATTTTTGCCGTTTCCTTCATAGCCCTTGTGGCAGGTACATTCATACGAACCATCAACATTGGTACAATTTGCGTTTACATCACAAGGATTAGTTTCGCATTCAGTGATATCTAAGATGAAAATTAATAGTTTGGTTATTTAGACTATTCATAGGCTAATAATTCTGTACTGTCTCTATACATTTCACTATCTCAACGCAAATAACAAATTGGGTTGTTAAATTTTCGCTTGTTAAAACTGAACTTGCGCGTTTTGCGAATCGAGTAGAAATTTATGTTCTATATAATCATATATAACAAGTACGACACCAGGAAATGGTGAATTATCGACAGAAAGCACGAATTGGTTAAATTCTATTTTTAAAAAGGTAAATTTTTACTTGTCTCCTGTGATTCAAGCAGCTTTGGGACTATTTTTTCACATCTCATTGAAAACTGGTTGACTATTTTCAAAGTACAATTTTTTCTTCCACTCATTTGAAGGCACATAGAATTGGTGGTAGTAGTGTCATTTTAAAAATGGAATATAAACGATAATTAAATTACACACTGTCGGTAGATTGAGCATTTTAGATCAGTTTAGTATATTGACACAGACTGCCGGTAGATTGCAAGCGCAACTAGTATAAAATTATTAAATATTGTGAATGCTGATTTTTACGCCACAATCTAAAATTGCTCGTAAATCCCTTATAGAAAGCGAATAAGAAAATGAAATCTTGCCTTACAACGGTAATGTGAAGTGTTCTTGACAGAGTCTTAGAGTTGAAGAAATAGTAGTGTCGAGGTTCATCCCAGCAGCGTTAGGGCTGACTGATATATGGTTAGCATAGCGCTATATTTAAGTGCATAATATCATGTCACAAACTGTACCTGTACAATTTTTGCCGTTTCCTTCATAGCCCTCATGGCAAGTACATTCAAACGAGCCATCTACATTTGTACAATTTGCATTTTCATCACAAGGATTTGTTTCGCATTCATTGATATCTACAAAAGGATGAAATAGTTAAATTTATTTCGTTATTTAGTTTACACTATTTTAAAATTGGCTAATAATTCTGTATTTCCCTCTTTAGATTTCAGCGCAGATAACAAATGGGGTTGTTTAAATTTCACTCGTTAAAACCGAAATTAGACGTTTTGCGAGTTGGGTAGAAATTTAAATTCTTATGTCTGGTAGAAGAATCCCAAATTGACGTAAGGGACGGCGGATGAGTGCAGCATTTTCGCTGATGAGGCGATATATTTTGAATCATACTACAGCACCTCTATAAGTGGTGTGCAACTATTCTCGAGACTTGTAAGACAAAGAGATTTTCGTCATGTTGGATGACATTTGAATTGCAAAAAGGTAAAATTCTCTGTCAAAATCATCTAACATGGCAAAGATAACGTCACACGAGAACCACCTATAAATTAACTGATTATTGACTGAGCGTGAGGTCTGTACTTGATGAAGTTCTTTTTTGGAGGCGCTAATGTAGCTGTGAATACTACTTAAAATCGACCTACACGTGCCCAAATATTTTTGTAGAGTTAACTCTGTCTCTCACATGCATTTTAAAGTGAATATCATATGATATACCTGTACAGCTGGTGCCATTGCCTTCATATCCCTCGTGACAGTTACATTCATACCAACCATTGACAGTTGTGCAATTTGCATTTACATGGCAAGGATTTTCCTCGCACTCATTGACGTCTTCAAAAAACATAAGACAGTTAAAACTATTATTTTAGCTTTTAGTCGGGGAACGATTCTTTCTTTTTTTCGTCTGCAAATTGAAATAACAAGTTGTTTCATCAGATCTTTGAGGCACCATTATTACAGTGGTATCTTCATTAGTTATATACCTTGAAAGAGGGGTATATCCACCTAAAAACTACCCGGAGGGACATTTCATCCCGAGAGATAATTCTTGGTCGAATACTCCAAGTTTTAGGTCTATAACTAATATATTATACCGAGCCCCGTATGGCAACCCCAATTTTTTCATAAAAATACCAAATACCATGATCATTAAAAATACCACGAGCATGTGGTATAAAAGCTAGGTGTTCTGTGATTGGACAAGTTTGATGTGAGGTATAATATATTTATTTGTTATATAGGTGCGGTGTATTTTAAATTCAATTGGTTTATTCGAATAATTATATTGTTTGTACGAGGTTTAATCGTTGGCTGCATGCGAAGGCTTGTTTATTATAATCATTTTTAAGCCATGCATGCACATAGGCTTTGTTGATTGTAAAGTGTTTATATGAAATGAAATTGTTGTGTAAAATGTATGTTTTTGTTCCTGTATAACAAAGAATTTAATGTAGACTCTGTAAGAAAATAATGAGTTTTGTTTTCCCTCGAGTCTCAGTCTCCCTCGAGTCTCAGTTTTGTTTTCCCTCGAGTCTCAAAACTCACTATTTCCCTCTGTAGCGTACCTTAAGTGTATAATATTTTATAATATAAGGGCATAATAATTTATATCCCCTAACCTGTACCTGTACAATTCATCCCGTTTCCTTCATGGCCCTTGTGGCAGATACATTTATACGAACCATCTACATTTGTACAATTTGCATTTTCATCACAAGGATTTGTTTTGCATTCATTGATATCTAAAAAAAGGTGAACTAGTTAACTTGGTTGTATAAATGATTGCTAACTTGGGCTAATATTTCTGTATTGTCTCTTTGCATTTTAGCGCAAATAACAAATTGAGTTTTTAAATTTTCTGGTATAAAAATAGCAATTTGACGTCGGATAAATGCACCATTTGGATGATTATGCGATTACTATTGCAGTATATGTATTTATATTATCGTATATAGCGTATAAAATATCATATTTTTACGTGCGTTTAAATACGATTTTTCTCAGGGGCGTATATATAATATTTGCTTGGAGAAATTTTATGTCTGTCATCTTGCTTTCTTTTTTCATTTTTGGGAACTCTGCCAAAGAGGTGAAGGAAATCTTCTCTGAAGAGATAAAACTTTAGCTGTTGGCCAATAATTGAATAGATTAGACAATTTACGGGGTGCTGTCATAAGACATACTCAAACGTTTCAAAAAGTCAGCTGGCGAGGCAAGTCAAACTGTCCCCGAAAGGCAACATGTGTGGAAATAGTACAAAGATTACTCGCACAAGATGACAGACATAAAACTCTATATAACACTAATGTTCATAAGTTTATAATAAAAATTGTTATGTCCCAAAGCTCTACCTGTACAATTTTTGCCGTTTCCTTCATAGCCCTCATGGCAGGTACATTCATACGAACCATCTACATTTGTACAATTCGCATTTTCATCGCAAGGATATTTTTCGCATTCATTGATATCTACAAAAAGAGTAATAGTTAAATTTGTTTATTTAGGTTAATAATAAACTAATAATTTTGTATTGTCTCTTTATTGCGTAGAAATTTAGGTTCTATTGTTTGGTATAAAATTCGTAATTTGATATCAGGGGCGGATAAATGCAGCATTTGCTGACTGATGCGAAAATTCTTCTCAGCCAATCACTGAGCTCCATTTCACCGGAAGTGACGCTTCCCATATAATATCAGGTATAATGATCCTTACTGAAGTCGATTATACTATATCAGACCTTCACTATTTTTTATCGTATTTTATTCACTATACATTTCCACAAGTCTTATTTTTTGCTATTTTCGTATTTATTTTTTTGCTTTTGTGATTTTTTGACTGATGCGAATCTGGATAAGCTGGTGATTGATGTATAACTATCGATGTGGTTTAGTTAAATGCATCTTTGATGTACCTGTACAGCTGGTGCCATTGTCTTCATATCCCTCGTGACAGTTACATTCATACCATCCATTATTATTGGTGCAATTTGCATTCACATCGCAAGGATTTTCTTCGCATTCATTGACGTCTTCAAAAATATAAGACAGTTAAAATTACTATTATGTAACAATTCTTTCTTTTTTTCTGCTGGAACTGATTCTTTCTTTTTTTCTGCTGGAACTGAGACAATAAGTTGTGTTATAAAATACTTTCGGCATCATTATTACATGCACTAGTACAGTATACTGTATAATAATTATGTAACTATATTTAATAATTAGGCGCATAATATGTCCCGAACAGTACCTGTACAATTTTTGCCGTTTCCTTCATAGCCCTCATGGCAGGTACATTCATACGAACCATCTACATTTTTACAATTTGCATTTGCATCGCAAGGATTTGTTTCGCATTCGTCGATATCTGCAAAAAGGTGATAGGTAATACTTGCCCGACGAACTGGGGCAAGCGAAGATATATCTTCGTCTTGTAGTTCGTCTTTGTGTAAACACGAGCAAAGAGACGTATCACCCGTCAACACGAATTATCCGCATAGTTCCCCTATTTAGAAGAATTTGAATGGGTAGCTCGTCTTAACGCATCATACGGGGAGGGTACGAAACACAAACATTTCAGCATAAAACGGCTCTTGCGCCCTCCTTTTAACACATGAATAATTACCCAATTCCCGTACACTTTCTTAACCCGCGATTCTATTTCGTTTAACGTCTTATAATTATGTAGTTCATCCAGATAGTTCGTCGGGCCGCGCGTGCATGTTTGTGCATGTCTGTTAAACGGATCATCCGTCCACAGTATCAATCGGACCAATAACATGCTAATATAATTCCGCGGTCAATTTAGCTTTCAGCACCAATAACAAATTGATTTGCTTAACTTTTTATCTTTGATATCAGGGGGCAGATGCAGCATTTTGACAATGACTGATGCGATATTTTGAACCATAATGCAGCACTTCTAGGGGGTATAACTATATATTCATATTATTCGATCTTACCAATGTCGAATACACCGAATTCCGCTATATGCGACCTTATATGAAAGTCGAATATACCGGTCATGCATGCATATAGAGGTATATTCGACCTTGCAAATTAAGATATATTCGATCTTACTGAAGTCAAATATACCACATTCCAGTTTATTCGACCTTACGGCAATATACCACATTCCGGTATATTCCACCTTCACTTTCTTTATCGTGTTTTACTCAGCACCTTTCTAAAGCCTAGTAAACCAGAGAGCAGCGTGGCAGCGTAGCGTGGCAGCGTAGCGTGGCAGCGTAGCGTGGCAGCGTCTTCAAACCACTTAGCATCAAATGTGGTATAACAACTGCTTAAAATAGACGAAACACTTCTCGACGTTTCGACCTGAGGGACTTCGTCAGAAGAGTCAGTACGAAGGCTTTCAGGTTGAAACGTCGAGAAGTGCTTTGCCTCTTGCTTGTTATAAGGAAATTGCTATACCACATTTGATATCAAGCTTCCTATAGACTAGTCTTATTTTTGGCCAATGCCCTGATGATGTATAAATATCTACTTGGTATCCCTAAACGTGGCCAATTGCATGCTTTTATGATGTACCTGTACAGTTGGTGCCATTGCCTTCATATCCCTCGTGACAGTTACATTCATACCATCCATTAATAGTAGTGCAATTTGCATTTACATCGCAAGGATTATCTTCGCACTCATTGACGTCTTCAAAAAACATAAGACAGTTAAAATTATTATTAATTTTTAGCTTTTAGTCAAGTAACTATTCTTTCTGCATGTTTTTCTGCTGGCGAATTGAAATAACAAGTCGTTTCAGCAACATTACAGTGGTATATGTATATTTAATAATTAATAGCATATATATCCCAATGCAAAGCTCTACGGCCTCTACCTGTACAATTTTTGCCGTTTCCTTCATAGCCCTTGTGACAGGTACATTCATACGAACCATCTACATTTGTACAATTTGCATTTACATCACAAGGATTAGTTTCGCATTCATTAATATCTACAAAATGATGAAATAGTTGATTAGGTTATTTAGGCGGCTTATAGGCTAATAATTATTTACTTTTTCTTCACAATTCAGTGCAAAAAACTCCTGATACGCTCCTGATGGATGTATAAAATTAATATCGATTCGGTAACCCTAAACGTGGCTAATTGCATGCTTTTATGATGTACCTGTACAGCTGGTGCCATTGCCTTCATATCCCTCGTGACAGTTACATTCATACCATCCATTAACAGTGGTGCAATTTGCATTTACATCGCAAGGATTGTCTTCGCACTCATTGACATCTTTAAGACAGTTAAAATTATTATTTTGGCTTTTAGTCAGGTAACGATTCTTTCTATTTTTTCTTACGGGAAACTGGAATTAAAAGTTGTTTCACAAAATACTTCCGCACCGGTACATTCACTAGAGTAGTATATACATTTCATAGTTTAAGCTACAATAATAATTATATCTCTAAGCTCTACCTGTACAATTTTTGCCGTTTCCTGCATGACCTTCGTGGCAGGTACATTCATAAGAACCATCTACATTTGTACAATTTGCATTTACATCACAAGGATTTGTTTCGCATTCATCGATATCTACAAACAGATCGAACAGTTAAATTGATTATTTCATCTATTAACAATCTGTAATATTTCTGTACTTTTTTTTAGATTTCAGTGCAAATAACAATATTGAGTTGTTTAATTTTCACTTGTTAAAACTGAACTTAGACGTGTTAAGAATTGAGTAGAATTTTAACTTCTTGTGTCTAATATAATAATAGCAATTGCTTTGATGTCAGGGGCTGCAACCTCTAGGGCTATATATTTCTGCCATTCCATCTTATTGGGGTCAAATATACCATATAACAAAATAATTATACCAAATATACCACATAAGAGTTAATTAGACCTCTCCAGGGTGGAATATGCCACATTTCATTTTATTTCACGATCACTATTATTTTTTATGGTGTTTGTCTTGGTACCTTTCCAAAAACTAGTCTTATTTTGGTCAATTTTCTATTTTTTTTTTCGCGTTTGTGATTGGTCACTCATGCGAATCAGGATCCGCTCCTGATGGATGTATAAATATCTATTTGGTAACCCTAAACGTGGCTAATTGCATGCCTTTATGATGTACCTGTACAGCTGGTGCCATTGCCTTCATATCCTTCGTGACAGTTACATTCATACCATCCATTAACAGTGGTGCAATTTGCATTTACATCGCAAGGATTGTCTTCGCACTCATTGACATCTTTAAGACAGTTAAAATTATTATTTTGGCTTTTAGTCAGGTGACGATTCTTTCTTTTTTTTTCTTATGAGAAAATGGAATTAAAAGTTGTTTCACAAAATACTTCCGCACCGGTACAATTTGCTAGAGTATTATATACATTTCATAGTTTAAGCTACAATAATAATTATATCTCTAAGCCCTACCTGTACAATTTTTGCCGTTTCCTGCATGACCTTCGTGGCAGGTACATTCATACGAACCATCTACATTTGTACAATTTGCATTTACATCACAAGGATTAGTTTTGCATTCATCCATATCTACAAAATGATAAAACATTTAAATTAATTATTTCAGCTATTATTTGGCTGTAACGATTCTGTACTTTTTCTTTCGATTTCAGTGCAAATAACAAATTGAGTTGTTTAGTTTTCACTTGTTACAACTGAACTGAGACGTGTTGCGAATTGAGTAGAATTTTAACTTCTTTTGTCTCGTATAATAATAGCATTTACTTTGATGTCAGGGACTGCAACCTCTAGGGCCATATATTTCGGCATATTCGATGTGATTGAGGTCAAATATACCATATAACAAAATAATTATACCAAATATACCTTATTGGAGTTTATTAGACCTTTCCAGGGAAGAATATACCACATTTCGTTTTATTCGACCTCCACTAATATTTTTTGTCGTGTTTTACTGGGTACCTTTTTAAAGATTAGTCTTATTTTTGGCTAATTTTATATTTATTTTTCCGTTTGTGATTTGTTCAAAGACGCGAATCAGGATCCGCTCCTGATGTATGTATAAAATAATATCCATTCGGTAACCCTAAACACAGCTAATTGTACCCTTTTATGATGTACCTGTACAGCTGGTGCCATTGCCTTCATATCCTTCGTGACAGTTACATTCATACCATCCATTAATAGTAGTGCAATTTGCATTCACATGGCAAGGATTGTCTTCGCATTCATTCACATCTAAGACAATAAATTGATTATTTTTGCTTTCAGGAAGGCAACGACTATTTTCTTTCTTATAGCAAACAGAAAATAACAAGTTGTTTCATAAAATACCTTCAGCACCATTACTATAGTGGTACTTATTTATGATATCATAATTTAGGCCACAATAATAATTATGTCTCTAAGCTCTACCTGTACAATTTATGCCGTTTCCTTCATAGCCCTCGTGGCAGGTACATTCATACGAACCATCTACATGGGTACAATTTGCATTTATATCACAAGGATTTGTTTGACATTCATTGATATCTACAAAAAAACAGACAAGTTTGTTGACTTCGTTTTTTAGGATATGGTTAGGATTTAGGATTTCATCAAATAATGGCATTGGGCTAAAAGCATGTAAATTACATATATAATTATACACAGTGCCTTGCTCTTCCAGCTCGGTCTGTTCAAAGACCTCGGTCGGATATTTCTCGTTCAAGACCTCGCGCTCGGTTAATAACAATACTAATCGGTTAATACTCTCCTTCAATTAATATTAATTACAAAAATAGAAATAATAAATTCCAGTAATTAAATTATCTCTAAGCCATACCATTGCAAACAGAGAATAACAGATTCTGAACCAAGGACGAGAATTCATTAAAGTTGTGCAACAAGAAAACATGATCATCTACAGGAGGAGAAGCCATTGTTTTCAGTTCCAAAACATCAATTCCTGAGCCAATTCCAATGGAAAATATGATGACGCCAATGTTTTTCAGTTGTTGGGCAGGTTGAGAAACATTTCCACTGCTTTGACCATCAGTAAAAACTATCAAAACTTTCTTTACTCCTAAAGTGTTTTAATAAGATGTAAAAATTTTGCGCGAATTCGTTTTGTTAGAGACGTTTCAAAATGGCCGCCAAACAGGTTTTAATGAATGTATGTTGTTCCTTCTTTTTTTTTTCATTAGAAATTTACTATTGTATAGATGTTTTTTAAAAGTGTATAGATGCTTTATTGATAAAAGGTAAATCGATCAATAAAAAAATTTTAATGGATAGATTAAACACTGTTTAGCTGCATTTTGAAACGTCTCTGTTGCCACAACAACGTTAATCTGGCACAAATTCTAAAAATGAGATATAAATATGTTGCCGATTAGATATACGCAATATTGGCTAATGGCTAAATATTTAGACGTTTAATTTCTGAAATGTATTTCAAGCAACTGTATCGATGCCCTTTAAGTTAAGACAGAAAGTGCGGAACCATATTTCCCCACTACATATGTATGTCAATAATCATTACCGTTCATTATTCAAGATTACACCTTTATAGGTCGTGTTACACCATGCAACTTTCCTGACGTTCGGCGATATTTAGATTTAGCATGAGAACCTGAACGTATATGGACATGCCACGCGATTTACTCGACATGTTCACGTCGTCTTTGACGTTCACGTCCTCATGCTAAATCTCCCTATTGCCAGAAATGCAGGCCGGTAAGCGGTGAAGTGTGTGGTCTCATGTTGTTCACATTCAAGTTCATTATTATATAAATAGCTTTTAAAATTGAATGTGAATAAAGCTGTAGTCTTTACGAACCAGCTGTGGGGTGAAATTTGCCGATGCCTGCCAACAACAGGCAGAATTTGGAGCTGTAAGGTACCTAATACTACGGTCGGAGTATACATGCACTTTCTTATACAATTTCAATCGTAAAAACATTCTTTCTCGAGAACATTCTTGGGCATCTCGACTTGTCCTCAAATTATCAGTAGGTTAAAGATCGATAAAATTGATGATGGACGTGGACAAACAAGACTTCTCAATTCAACACAATTGTGGGTTACATAAAAAGAAAATTTTAATAATCCCCATGCACCCATTTCTTATACAAGATTGCATGTTGGATTTTTAAATTACCGCTAGTCACGCATGCTTGGTGTCCATATTATCCTGCATGTCTGGGCCTAAATTGTTGTATTTAATAGAGATTTTCATACCTGAAACTTGGGAGCCATTAAACATTTCTTCATAAGCTTTGATCAATGCTTGAGCCGTGTTAGTACCTCCTTTACTGTACGGAATGCTGTCTATTGTTAAGTGAAGATCTTGTCTGGAGACAAACGTTCGAGAAAATGGAAAGTGCACAGTGGAAAGTGTCGCGTAAGACATGACTGCCACTCTTGTGTTGTTTGGCGTAATGTTGAAATAATCAGTAATATCTTTTATAAAAGATTTTGTTTTATTAAAATTAGATGACCCGATACTACCAGAGCTGTCCAGCATAAACCCAAGGTCAATTCTTTTCGGACAGGTTGTGATGTTTTGACCTTTAAAACGAAAGTAACAAAATAAATGCCAAAATAATATCATAATTCGAGAAACGATGAGTTATGTCTAGGACCACCTTGAAATATACTCTGAAATTACGGATAATCAAATTCTAATCGACTGCTAATTAATGACAATGCCGCACATGTAATCCCTTCTCCTAAACAGCCAAAGTTTTAAACAATGTTAAAGGAACAATATACTCTATAAATTGTAAATCCTACAACGGTGATACTATATGACAAGAATCGAATCATATTAATTTTAATTAATGATATATAATAAATGAGTACATGTCACTCCATCCCCCAAGTAGCCAGAGTTGCAAAGACAGTTAAAGGAACCCTTTGTATTAATACAGGATGCATGACTATCGCAGTTGTCAGTATCAAGTTCACATTCGTTTATATCTGGAAGATAATTACAAAAAATAATTAAAAACTTGGAGACAACCAGATTTTATACGATACTCTGTTCTAGTTTATTAGTATGCACGATGTAGCCATATTTTGTCTATTTTTTAACATATATCATTAGTTTGAATGACTGCTTTTTCAGATATGTCTTGTTAAGATGCTGTACGTACCACCTTAAATATACATTTTATTAATATTATTCTTCATGACTACCATTTCTATTAACAATAGAAATAACCACGTTCACGAATAAAATTCTGCACAAGGCATAATATTTCCCATTAAAACTTATTTATGTTAAACATTTACGTTCTGTTAATGATACTTATACTAGTATTATATGTTTCACAGTAGATTGGCTAGCTCCTTAAAACTTTCATAATTATTTCGACCATCTAACGTCCACCGTCGATGACATTGAATTTGGACAAGTTTGGATTCAGTATAAACAAACGCAGATAAAATTCCTAATATCCGAGTGGAATGAGTACCCTCGCGGATTATCATAATGAAACTAATAAGCGATAAAGATATACATACCTATGCATTCCTCTCCCACCCCAGTATAACCGATGATACACTGACCGCAATAAAACGACCCGTTGGTGTTTATACACGATTTTCCAATACTGCAATTGTGAATTCCAAGTTCACATTCATTGACATCTGAAAGAAAATGTTTCGAGAATAAATCCTTTAAGTCAAAATTTCTACGTCACCTTTATATTTTTAACTGCCCCTAAGAATATCATGAAACGGTGACATTTTTCCTCAGTAATTTTAATCTCTTTATGTAAAGATAGGATGGCAGTATATGTAATTTTTTAACTATATATTTTAGCTAAATTCTCTATGTTAATTTCTATTGGTCTCCATTGCAACCGTACTTCGGTGTTTGTTCATAATTAACCAAAGATCAGTTATAGACGTCCAACATGATTTGCCGAAAGTGTCGCTGAATTCAAAAGCCTTCCACGATCGACGAACATTAGAACTCGGAATACGGTTTCAATTGTTGTTGCAACATAAGAATATTGTAATTTCATTTTCTTTTAAGGTTGAGAGGATTTCTTGCATCATCAAATAAAGGAAGAAATAAAGTCCGTTTCGCGAGTATTTTTTTGCAAACTAAGCAATATTCCAGGCGTCCCGACAGTTTGAATATTACTGTTAATATCATTTTTGTAAGCTTATTTTGGAGGGTTAAAAACAGTTTCTTGTCTAAAGTATATGATTTAATGTATCCGTCATCTGACGAGGGTGATAGATCCTCAGATTATCGTTAGAATTACGTTATTCCCGTTAATTTTTGCTTACCAAATAGGGTTGAATAGTTGAAGGTGAATCCGTGTATTGTTTGAAAATTATCCAGACGAAAACTGATGAACAATTTAAGCCCAGTTGATTGCAGATTTATTGGAAATAATTGTAGACCACAAAACCTCCCTAATCTTGGCGCACTGGCTGAATCGCCGTCATACACGTCCAAATAGTCCAGAAGACAACCAGAAGAATATGGCAGCTAAAACGGATGTGAAATACAAATTATTGTTCAATGAAACGCTGTAATTGTGTACATGCAGTAGCTACATAAATATTTTAGCTGAAACTGCTCAGGTTTATCGGTTGGACAAATAACTTAATGGCTATAACCGCTTCGGTCTTCGCTGGAAGCTTAATTGGGGTGGGTGGTTGGTGAATTCGTACATTGATGTTCGTACAACCGTAGAGGCAATAGCCAACAAGACAGGCATAACACGATCGTTTATACAAATATACACCCCCCCCCTTCAATTTAGCTTCTACCGACGGCCCTGCTGATAACGACTCAGAGCACGGGTATTACCGCTGTCTGAGGATCGTCCTGTCAAAAGGCCTCGATTCGATTTAAATATTTCTTAAGCTGTTCACTGTTTTCAACTAAAGTACGTGTGTGTGTGTAAAGTCGTCCTTTATAGGACGAATGATATTTACAATTTTTTTCATTATTTTGAATGCTTGAATAATTAAACATTTAAAGTTAAAAAAATACATAGGACAATAAAATATTACACTAGACTAGACAGACATTAACCGCATTTCTGTCAATTTCAATGTTTATTTGTTTATTATCCCGATCCGGGGTGGGGCGCGGTTCGAGTATACTAATTTCACCCGGATATATGACAGCACATAGCGGAATCCGAAGTCGCCCATATTCTATGTCATGGTCCTTGAACGTCCAATTGACGTTCAATTCGTCTTAGGTCTGGCTAACTCGAGAAGTATTTTGCTTGCTGTGCATGTTTGGCCCCTAACCAGAGTTTCGCTTTTTACCCCAAAATTCTCTGGTTGGCCCCACCTGTGAGATAATTCGCCAATAAAACACTGCATTGTATATAATGAAATGAATCATTATTGGTTGACAAGATCCGATTATCATAAGCCCTGTTTACATTGCTCTTAACATTACCACGGCACTGCTAAAATTGGTGATTTTGTATGTATCTCTCCAGTACTATTAAATCTCGCTACTATTTCATATCAATCGTAGTGTCCTACGACAAAGGAAATGAAGCACATAATAATTTAAGAGAATGGAAAGTGTAACTTACCATGAAGAATAAAGATTTCAATTGAATATTTCTTCCATTTGTGCTAGTGATAGTCCAACTGCAGTGCATGTTGTAAGGGTATTGAAGAAGGTACGGTGGATTCTGGAGTGAACCAGGAGGATATAGATGACTTTCTCCGCATAAGTCTACAAAAATATATAATATTTTATTAAACATGAAAATTCATCGCTTTTGTAAAAATCAAATCTTTGACAAGGAAAATAATTATTCTTTTTTGGGTTTGTTTTTCGAGCATTTCTAAAAATCCTTCACTTCCCATTGTGTCATTGTGTCGGTGTGCAGTGGGACGATTTTTCATCGTGTCTGTCTGTCATATGTATCAGCCTGTCATTGCGCGAGTGTGTCATTGTGCCATTGTGTCAGAGTATCATTGTGTCGGAATTAGGAAATCAATGTGTCATTGTGTTATTGTGTTATTGTGTTAATGTGTCGTTGAGACAGTGTGCATGTCAGAGTGAAATTGTGTCAGTTTGCCATTTTGTCATTCTGTCAATGTTACATTGTGCCAGTGTGTGAGTCTGGGTTTTCACAAATTATTTGCGTCTGACTATCCTCATGGAAAAAGAAAGAAACAAATAACCTTTGAAAAAATTACAAAAAAATATTTTTCTAAAACAGATCAATCCCTCCCTCGTGCTTGCCAATTGCAAGAAAATTTCCTTCCATTGTGGAAACCTTGATGTGTCGTTTGGTCAATGTGTGTGTCGGTATTAATGTTTTTCGGATTACACTTATTTTGTTAATTGCAGAAATTTACACAGAACGGACTTTATATTTTCTTTTTTTGAAGATATATTTTCGCAATTTAGATCTTACCAAATGTGGTTGTATAGTTCAAAGCAAATCCTTGTTTTGTGACAGAGAAATCCGTATGAAATACCATGAACAATTTTGGTCCAGATGATACCAGGCTTCTTGGTAATTGGTTTCCACAGAATCTGCCTAGTCTCGTCGCAGTAGCTGAATCTCCGTCATAAACGTCCAAATAGTCATATACACAACTGGAAGCACTTTCCAGCTAAAACGTGATGTGATTTGGGTTAATCAGTTGTCAATTTTGCGTTTTTCCGATAATTAATTTCAAACTGTTTATCGATTAAAACTATATTATCCTATTTACCCAGGGTGTCTCAGCAAGAGCGGAAAGTTTCATGAATAATTGCCATTCATGGCAATTAAAGTAAATTTGCTGCAACAAAAATGCTCGTGTGCGTGGAATAATTGCGTTATTTTTGTCACTCGTGACACATTTTGTTGATATCAAACGTGTTTGATATTTTCATCAAACGTGTTTGATATTTTCTGCAACGAGTAACAAAGTTTCCCAGCAGGCGGTCAATGAACGAGAGGTTGTTTTGAGAGTAAAACACGCATGGGTGTCATGACACAAACTGTCGCCTTTAGGCCTACGTTAAAACATCTTACATCGACGTCACATTTTTGTCGCGTGCTGGCGTGCATGGGATGCATATCAAACAATATATAATGAGATGATTATGATGCTTAATGAGGTTTATCATCTCATTATCTATTGTTTGGATTGATTCGACGGTACCAAAATGCCAAGTATAACCTGGGCCGCCTTACTAGCATTCAGAACAGTTTGACTGTCGTTCATTGACCACACACGAGGAAATTTTGTTCAAAATTAATAAAGATACTTTTATTAGGTAAGAGATTATGAAAAAAGTTTGATTGAGCAGGAAAGGAGGAACGATACGCTACCCAAAGTATCAGTTATTTCGAATTTGCCGTAATGATGCAGTTGTTCGGTATAAATTAAAAAACCGTTATGTTGTTTAGAAAGGGCATAAACCGCTATAAAACCCTACCCCGATAAAACGGTTTAATATGGCTTTTCGATTGCGTAAATATGAATTTTGTCCAAAAAAATGAAAATGACTATTAAAATTTGTGTTACTACTTTTAAGACTCTGCACTGGCAACAAAAGTATTTTTTTCTCAAAAAAAATCGAACATCTGGACCTTTTTCCGTCCTCCGGAGGATATAATGCTCTGCGTGTCTTCAAAGGATGTTAATATGAAAGGCTTACCCAGTTCGTAAAACTCACACAATTACAGTAAGCTACAGATTTTCTAAACTGATGTTAGTTTCTCCCATTGTTTAGGGAACAGTCGGTGCATGATGCCTGTTAAGTTCTGCCTTGAGGAGTTGAGGTTTACGTCGCCGAACGACTATTAATGGAATTCTTCTCGAATCTGATGTCAAAACTATGTTATCTCCTGATGCGAATCAACAAATAAACCTCATTACAGTAGTTTTATTTTCACTATTAAACGAAGGAATTTTTCACTACACTTGCTATTATTGGAGAAGATAATAAGGTAGTTCTTCACCAGAAAAGTAACTAATCTTCTCGTAAATCTATTTTTACGGAATCGATATTTCAAAACAATGTAACCTACCGAGAAAAATGAAAACTGCAGTAAAATATTTCTACCATTGGTGCTAGAAATAGTCCAACTGCAATCCATGTTGTTAGGGTATGAAAGAGGATAAAGAGGACTTGTGAGAGTTCCTGGAGGATACAGTTGACGTCTTCCACATGGATCTGGAAAGATTATTCATACGAACATATCGAAATATAAAGCGAAGTGGAATTTATCGTTAAAACTTGAATTAGCCTAAGGGCGAGTTATACGAAGGCTGGATAGCGCTATTCCCAGGCAGGGGCAGCGGAAGATCGTGAGGTGGGAAGGCGGCAATTATTGGTAAATCATGCGGTTTCGTATGAAATTATTTGTCTTTTCGGTCTCCCAATATGAATATATGAATATATATTCGTCCCACACTTAACGATCTACGACACCACGTTTCTAACTCTACTGGACAATTGTTGACTTTTTCAAGCAGCGCAAAAATTGTTGAAAAGTAATAGAATTTTAGGTATTAACCTAACCAAATAATTTAGATGGATTGAAAAAACCTGCTATTCGGTGAATAACACCACTTCTTGGCCTTTAACATAAGACTTTCGGAATGCAAAATGGAAACGCAATTCCAAAGGCCTGTTTTACTCAATTACAATTACTAATGAGTTCTGTTACCTGGCGCTGATGTCGTAAAGGGTGGCCTGTAGGTCGCTGTGAAGAAACAAATTAGAATAATTAATTTTCTTCATCAATTTATTTTCTTTGATATTATGTACTATTTAAATTTGTTGCCAATGGAAATTATGGAAATTTTTTAGTCTAGTGACAATCATGCACCTCTGAAAATATTGGCTTCGTATATAGTAAAACTTTATGTATAGTAACTTAATGCACAATCGACAATCGTTTTGTTACTAATTACTATTAATAATATAAACGTCAAATACCAATTTCAAAATAAAAAAATATTCATTTAGACAAATATGTTAGCGATAACAAATTTATTGAAGAACGACGTTTCGAAGTCATCTTGACCTCATTTTCAAGTTCAAATGATTGCAGAAAACGGTTGATTTAATTATGAATAGCGTTTGCAAATTGCGCAAGCAAACTAATTTGTCATTATGTGACAGTTAAACGTTCTGAGGCCTCTAATTATATAATTAGTATAATTTTAACATGCAAATTGTCTGACAAAACAACAAACAAACAAACAACAACAAAAAAAACAACATCACAATGAACAAGTATGCTAACAGAAATTGTCCCGAGCCGGTGCGAAGCACCGGGCGAGGGTACTAATTCCGCCCGGAGATTTTAATTACGCCCGGGAATGCAAATGCGAAATGAAAGTTGTCCGCCATTATGTCATGGCGTTGGGCGTTTTTGTAAGTTATGCGCATGCGTGAGTATAAGACGAGTTAAAACTGGTAACTAGAAAACGTTTACAAACGTGCGAGGTGAAGGCTATTTCAGATATGTCAGAGCACCTCGTCACCAGGCCTCCAACTCATACGCGGCCACAATATTTGAAAAGTATTTATTTTTAAAGGTGAATTTGTTTAAAAAGTAATTGAAATTTCGGGCTAAGAATTGTAGTATTTAAAACTATTCGTAGCACAATTTATATTATATAATATGATTATATTATAGTCGAATTTGATAGCTCGAGAGTCGACTTTATAATTCTACCAAGATATAGGATTTTACTTTACGACTTCGATCATTCAGCAGAAACGAGTATCAGAATTTCAGTGATGGAAATATTGTTTATAGCTTTAAATATTGTTTATTTTTTAAAGTTTATTGCGTCAGGCGAGGGGACTTTGCATGCAATGTATTTCTAGTTAGTTAAATAGTTTCGAGCATATCGAGTCCGATTGTTTGTTCAAACTAGGCTTAAGCTCTTTGATAAATAGCATTTCATAGAGTAGGCATTCAAATTTTCCCCGACATTTTCTCAACACTTTGAAGCTTTTCTCGATGTTCTTTGTGTCCTCGCCGTGCTGTTCTGTCACATGTTCTCCGATAACTGACGACTTGTGTTCATCAATGCGTTGGTGTAAGTGTAACCGACATAATCTGCGTCGCACAGATCACATTTAAAACTAGAAATACATGCATGCAGCAACCCCTCGGCTTGGTTAAATGAAATTAGTTAAGCATAGGGATGGTGACATGATAGTTGGAAAATTTTGTGTGGGTTGAGGTGTTTGGAGGGTACTTGGTATTGTCGGTATGTGAGAAGAGAAGTATAGAAATATATTTCTTGAAGCGGAAGCACTGTAGTCATAGCAACTCTCAAGCAACATTGCAACGGCCGTATATTTTCAAAGAATCAAAGTTTACCCTCATATTTTTGTGGAAAAAAGGCAAAAATACGACACGATTCTAACCATTTCCTGGAAGTTAAGTTACTCATCTAAATTATTTTAATTATTAATTACCATGAAATATAACATCAGACGTCTCATACGACTTCCGAAGTTTTATGTTTACGTCTCGACTGGTTTTTGCACGCGAATATTATGAAAAAACTGAGTTTATAAATGAAATTATAATGTCGTCTATCACATAACACATTCCGATTTGTAGTGAAATACTAAAGTTGTGTTTACCACTAAAGAATGACTTTTTATACCTGTGCCGGGTCTTATTTTGAAATATTTTCATTATACTTGAAATATTTTCATTACGACTGCATTATACACGGTGAATTCGGTCGAAAATTTAGTCTTGTTTTTTTTGGTTAAACCGTAAAAAGTCCTGACCTCATTCGAGTTTCCCACTAATGTAATTAAAATATATATATATATATATATATATATATATATATATATATATATATATATATATATATATATATATATATATATATATATATATATATATATATATAGAAAAAGGTTGCTTGTCAACTAGAGAGATATTATTCGAACATAACCACTGCTTTGTATTTTTTAATATCACTTTATTCACAAACGTTTTCGCTCTCTTAGCTCTTCAGGTGATAAATGATAACAGTGGTTATTTTGTTTTTGCATAACTGTCATTTCGCAAAATTTTGAAGAAACTTAAATATATTTTCATATTACTTATATTTTCATAAATATGGAATATATATATATATATATATATATATATATATATATATATATATATATATATATATATATATATATTCCATATTTATGAAAATATAAGTAATATGAAAATATATTTAAGTTTCTTCAAAATTTTGCGAAATGACAGTTATGCACGTTTAAAAATACAAATATTTGTCTCGACCAATCAAAAGCTTAGTAGTTTACACTGGCGCATGCGCATAACGTGGAAGACCGTCCATGGCGTGAGGTCCATTGCATAATGGCGGACAACTTTGATTTCGCCTTTGCACATCCTGGGTGTAAATATCCGAGCGGAATTAGTACCCTCGCACGGTGCTCCGCACCGGCTCGGGGATGATAAACAACGCATTGCTGATTCACAAGAGACGAGACGACCGACGAAAGAATCACCAAACCAGATGTTGTGCGTGTTTTACTGCCGTTTAAAGACCAGAAATCGGCAGACTCGGTGAGACGGCAACTTCGTAATCTTGGCAAGACCATCGGTAAACAAATACACTCAGTCTACACAAGCAGGAAATTTTCCAGCTGCAGAAACAAAGCCGCCTCTTGTGAATCAGCAATGCGTTGTTTATCATTTTAAATGTGATCTGTGCGACGCAGATTATGTCGGTTACACTTGCCGACACTTACACCAACGCATTGATGAACACAAGTCGTCAGTTATCGGAGAACATATGACAGAACAGCACGGCGAGGACACAAAGAACATCGAGAAAAGCTTCAAAGTGTTGAGAAAATGTCGGGGAAAATTTGAATGCCTACTCTATGAAATGCTATTTATCAAAGAGCTTAAGCCTAGTTTGAACAAACAATCGGACTCGATTTGCTCGAAACTATTTAACTAACAATTTCTGTTAGCATACTTGTTCATTGTGATGTTGTTTTTTGTTGTTGTTGTTTGTTTGTTTGTTGTTATGTCAGACAATTTGCATGTTAAAATTATACTAATTATATAATTAGAGGCCTAAGAACGTTTAACTGTCACATAATGACAAATTAGTTTGCTTGCGCAATTTGTAAACGCTATTCATAATTAAGTCGACCGTTTTCTGCAATCATTTGAACTTGAAAATGAGGTCAAGATGACTTTGAAACGTCGTTCTTCAATAAATTTGTTATCGCTAACATATTTGTCTAAATCTATATCAAAATGTTTATTGATAAAAAAATATTCATGCTTGAAATACCCATGTTATATTGAAGCTCATTTATACCCATGCATCAGCAATTATTTCGTAACACACATTTTAATGTAAAACTGTACCATTGCACGTCGATGAAGCCATTTTTTGCGTTAAATTGGAAAGTTCACTGAAGTTGCCCAGCAGGAAAACATGATCTTCTGCTGGAGCGGAAGCCATTGTTTCCAGTTCGGATACATCAACTCCTGAACAAACTCCAACAGAGAATATGATGACTCCAATGTTTTTGAGTTGTTGTGAGGGCTGGTAAACACTTCCGACACTTTGGCCAGCAGTAAGTACTATCAAAATTTGCTTTGCACCTAAAGATTACGCATTGTGCATGTGAGGAGATGGATATTTTTTCAGCCTTTGAACTTAGAAGATTAATTATAATCTAATGAGGTTTCAGGAAATGAGAGCACTTCTTGACTATATGATTTTAAACTTTTCTAATGTATGCTGAAGAGTAGTAATTAGTTACAGAACCTCTGGCATTGGGGGTGGGACTCAGGTTGGGATTGGGCACTTTGTAGTTTTGCATATCGAGTTGTCAGATGTTGATTGAGATGCGGATTTTCGGGGTCCATGCAGATTCTATGGTGATCTATATGTACCACGTTATACCACGTAAGTCACTACTTTAAAAAAACTGGAACTAAATTGCTGTTCATTTGGAAAAAGAATAGAAATTAGAAATTCTGCATATTTATCTTATGAAAATCCATAGAAGAAAAAGACAATAATTGGATCAATAAAACAAAATAAAACTGCTAGAATATTTGACGAACATTGCCAAACGAGTCTTCAAATTCCGATTCTAAACTCTAAACGAATGATTATCCATCTTTAAGCTTTAGTATTTCCAACAATCTCGTTCCCCGAGCCTGCGATTCCTCTAGCGAGAAAACAAAGGCTCTGGGATAATCGAAATCAGCAATGATTTTGATTGGTCGTTCATCGGCCGTTTTAATTTTGAAATAGAAAAAACCATTACAAACCGAAAGCCAGGATTTCTGCATTCCGGTTTTGATTATCCCTGAGCCTTTGTTTTCTCGCCAGAGGAATCGCACGCTCGGGGGACGAGATTGTATTTCCAAAGCAAACAACTTAATCTAACAAAATTACCTGAAATTCGGGCACCATTTGCTGCATGAAACATATGAACGTACGCTATACGTAATGCCAAATCTGTTCTAGTGATAAATCCGCCGGCGAACGAAACGCTATCTATTGCTGAATGAAGATCCCTTCTGGTTTGAAATACTCGAGAAAATCGAATATCAAATGTTATCGATGACGCATATGACATCACTGAAACTCTCGTGCCATTTTGTGACACATTAAAGCGATCCGTAAGATCTTTTACGAAAGACTTCATCTTCGTGTAAAAGATTCCGCGGGTATGCCAAGAACTGTCCAACAAAAATCCAAGATCGATCGTTTTGTTGCAGGTTTCTACTTCTCTACCTGAAGCATGATAAGAACAGCAATGGGCAATGTGAATTGTAATCCTCATGACGAACTGGAAATTTGAAATTTTACAGGCAAGGTTGAAAAGTTTTGGTCAATCTCAAAAGTACTCAATTTCATATTACGTATTGTTACCGACAAAGGGGTGCGACAAAGTAATTCAGTGAGTTCTACGGCTTAACAGGGCCTCTCTTAAAGCTTCAAGGGAGAGGGTCATTACCAAAAGAGGACCTCTTCCTGGCGTAACGAAGTATGAATGTTGATCGTGGTCGAAGGAGGTATTTTTGAAAATTTTTGAAATTAGTTGCCTGATTTTAAAATAATATGCAAAATAATATGTATTTGAATCTAGTCTACATGTTAAAAGAGGCTCTGTATGACTAGATCTCAAATTGAAGTACACAAGCCAACTTTACATGCTATTCCATCTCCGCTAAAGCCAAAGTTGCAAGAGCAGTCAAATGTCCCATTGGTATTGTGGCATGATGCTTGAGTATGACAGTTATCAATTCCAAGTTCACATTCATTGATATCTAAAAGAGTACAATACAATATAAAAACGTACGTATTTTGAGCGTTGAAATCTATATTTTATCAAGCAAACAGAGGAAATTACATTGTATGGGATTTTGAATTATGCTCGTCATTTTCTTTGCACAGTATTACCAAAATAAAATTAATTAATATAGAGATGTATACCTGTGCAGGTTACGCCATTTCCCGTATAACGGTTTTTACAAATGCAGTAAAACGACTCATTAGTATTGACACATGATGCTCCAATTGTACTGCAGTTGTGTGTTCCAAGTTTACATTCATTTACATCTAAAATGTAATATTTTCGTAGATTTAACTGTGACGAAGCTCGCCGAAGTGAATCAATTCATTATTACTATTACTGCAAGTCAACATGAGAACGTATTTTTTTACTACTGTTAAAATAGTTGTGATAAAATTTGTATAGCTACCTTTTTAGAGGCAAAATAAATTTTCACAGCAGTGTTTAACTATATATCAATGATAATTATATAGCAATTTACGTTTCTATATTAGAATTACCTCGAATAATTGTCGTGGTGTTATCTACAAGTAAGAAAAATATAATGTATTTTACTTTATAGCTTTTTCAAAATCCTCTATTCTGAATGGTTGAAGAGCGACCAGTGAAACCCAGATCCGGACAATGGTCCGGATATTCTGTATCTGGTCCAGTATCCTGGAGGTCTTCGATACAAATCAGCCGCGTTCAGCTTTCTCAATAGACTGCTCAACGCACCTTAATTGAACTGATTTTTAATCTTTAATCTTAGACCCGGTTCAAAGCATCGAATTTTATATAATTCATCGTCTAGGAAATAATTCAAATTAAGGTCCACCCAAATTGTTTTGTTTTGACTTTTAGACATCTATATCAACGTCGCTTTATTCGACCGACCCAGCAAATTCAGTGTTTCATAAATTGCATAAAGTAGGCCATGAATCAATATAGCACCTAATGGAATACCATTACACTATTTTGGCATAAGTAATTGAACCATTTGCGTAAGAGATTCATGGCGGCCATTTTAAATGGCAACCAGGTTGCGCTCAGATCATTGAACTATATACACAAACTGGAACAATAAGCCAGTGCTTTTACTTTTTCTCAGTTATGAGATGAAATACTTGACGCCTAACGTTGAGCCGTATATGAATTTAACTATCAAAAACTTTCGTGTGTAGAAATTTCGAGATTTTAGCTTAAGGGAAATATCTTAAAATTATTTCAAAATTTCCGGGTTTTTTACAGGTTGGTAATTGTTTTTCTTTTTTTTAAATATTTCATTTGTACTTTAAGTCTTGAAAATTCCACACCAAATATAACTTTTCAATAGCTTTAATTTGACACGCAACCCAACATCTGGCGTCAAATATTTTGGCTTCAAGCTAACACAGGGATGTTGTGACGAGCTATCGCTCCAGTTGAATAGAGTTCACTGGTTCAGACTCCTCCGGCACTGGTGCCGTCAGTTTTTCTGGCGCCTTAGTTGAATACGACGCTTCTAAATGAGTAGTTTGAGCACGATTCCCAAGGGAACAAGGGAACTCAACAAGGGAACTATGCTCAGCACGTTTTTTGAACCAGTTTTGGCTGTGGGAACCGGGGCTGGGCACTCAGTAACTCAGTTTGCATCCTTAGTTACCCATCAGGAAAATTGATCGTAAAGTCATCACGTTATGTTTTAGTATAAATAATGAATTAGTAAACCTTGTCGTCTCAATCCATCAAACAATTAAGAAACATACCAACTTAACATACCATAATGACATCAAAGCTTACCATTGCACGTGGATATTGTAAGTTTTTGCCCCAAGATCGAGAATTCACTAAAATTACGCAACAGAAAGACATGTTCATCTACAGGAGCGGACGGCATTGTTTCGAATTCCGAAATATTCATTGCTGATCCAACTCCAAAGGAAAATATGACGACGCCAGTGTTCTTGAGTTGCTGGGCGGCATCGTAAATATTTTCATCGATTTGTCCACCAGTAAAAACTATCAAAATTTTCTTAACACCTGAATAAAATTATCATAGATCAGAAGACAAGAAACTTTTTCAAAGTGGAACAATATATTGTCTGAAATTTTGCATCAATCAAGCAAAACTAATATAAAAAAGGGTGCAATCCCATAATTGCATAAGTACTAAGACTAAACGCGGCGAAATTTTTCAGGGCATATTTGCTAAAGTACGTTCTTATCTTAATAATTATCTCGTTTTCCAATCGCGTTTTCGTATCTCGCTTTCCAAAAAATATTTCTAAATCATGTGTAAGATATTTTGTGACGATGAATGCTAATGATAAAACACCTTTCGAGGAAAACAAGATATCTCGAGTAATTTACGCACCTATAGAACCATTACTGTCCCTGAACATTTCTGTATAAGCTTTGATCAATGCTTGAGCGGTGTTAGTACCTCCTCCACTGTATGGAATGCTGTCTATTGTTGAGTGAAGATCTTGTCGGGAGACAAACGTTCGAGAAAATGGAAAGTGCAGAGTGGAAAATGTCGCATAAGACATAACAGAAAATCTTGTGTTGTTTGGCGAAATTTTGAAATAATGGCTAAGATGTTTTAAAAAAGATTTTGTTTCATTAAAATTAGATATTCCGATTCTACCAGAACTGTCCAACATAAATCCAAGGTCAATTCTTTTCGTGCAAGTTGTAATGTTTTGACCTAAAACGAAAGTATAATTGTAACAGCTTATTTATGGTAAGCGTCCCTTCCGGCGCCATATATAATAAACATTTTATTAACCTTGATCTTTACCGAGAAACATTGCACCTCCGTTATTTTGTACAAAAAGATTCCGGCCTGATATTTCTGGGTAAAGGCCTCGCGCTCGGTTAATAAGAAGCTATTACGATAATTTAATCTCATCAAGCTAACGCGAAATATTGATATTTAAATAATAATAGCTACAGTACATGTCACTCCATCTCCAACGTAACCGAAGTTGCAAAGACAGTGGAAGGAACCATTGGTATTAATACAGGATGCATGATTATCGCAGTTGTCAGTTCCTTGTTCACATTCATTCACTTCTGGAAAGATATAATTGGATGAAATTTCGGGTTTTAGAAGTTGCAAGTCATATTAGGATATCCTGACTAAATTCAGGTTTATCATGGTTCTATATAGTTAATTATTTCAATACTGTCATATCATTGTTCCTACTGTCGGTGGACTGGATTATTAGGATAATATTAGGAGCTTATGACGTTTTTTTTGCCAGCGTTTTTTTGCCATGTTTCATTTAAGAGACAGCTTTCCAGCAAATTTGAGTTTGTTGCTGTCTTTTTCGTAACAATCTTATTCTACATGTATCATTGTTGTAGCCGGGAGTTTTATTTAAATTTATCTAAACTGTGAAAGAAAAAGCACATCACTTGGCGAGCCTCATTTATCTCATCATTTTAAGAAAAAATTCAAAACAAAGCAGGCAGCTACTGCATGATAATGTTGTACCTTTACACGTTTGTCCAACCTTTCTATAGCCCACGGCGCAAACACAGTAAAACGATCCATTGGTATTAACACAGGATTCGCCGACGCTGCAGTTGTCAATTCCCACTTCGCATTCGTTGATATCTGAAAGATTATACGTTTTGAAAATAATTCATAACGGGGGTTTGTGTCAAAACAGTGGCATTCGTCATAGTTACACCGAAACGTCGCATCAAGTAACAGAGAGTGATTTTGACTTTTTTATTTTCATTAATTTCAAAGCGAGTTGCATAAAAATGTGGGTTAGGGTGGTGGTGCTGCTTTCTGAGCATGGCTCATCTTGGGAGCTGGAAAACATCAATTTTATTCTCTCTCACTCCGTTCAGTTTAAAGGAAGAAAATTCAAATCTAATTAACACAACAAACAAGATGGAGGTGACTGAACAGAAGTAAATGCTCACTATTAAATCAAAATTTGGATGTACAGAGGCCGATTGTTCGAAAGGTGGATAAATCGCTATCGGATATGCAACACGAATTTGCGTTGGACGAGGCTTCAATAACCTTATCCAATGGATAAATAACGATATCCACTGGATAAATTTATCCAAGGTCCGGAGGTACTATAGGGAATAAATTCGAAGAAAAAATAAATGCATTATTCCCATTACCGTGTTTCAACCAATCCCAAGGAAACTCCTAAAGGTCGGAGCACGCTAAGCGACAATCGCTGCACCACGTCACCGCAACAAATCGCTTCGTGTACATTTGTGCGGCAAATGCGACGTGTTGCAGCGATTTGTCGTCTAGTGTGTACTAGCCTAAAGCCGGTTTTCCACTAGCGATATTTTTCGCGCGAGGCGACATTTTACTTTTGTTTCAGAGCAACCATCTGGAACAAATTGTTCAAAGTACAAAGGAATAAAGTCACTTCACGCGAAGAATATCGCTAGTGGAAAACCAGCTTTAAGGGAGTTTTCCATTGCAATCGCTTTGCCCGCGCGGGCGAAGCGCGCTTTGTCTTTCAGACCGGTCACGGTCGCATGGGCACATTAATTTTTCGAAAGCCGTTGATGGAAAACCGGCTTAAGGCAGGGTGGTAAGGGGTGGAAGGGTGGTACACACTAGGCGACAAATCCCTGCAACACGACGCATTTGCCACCTAAAAGTACACATTAGCCAATCAAATGGTAAAAATAGTGTTTTCATAGGCGAAGTGATGCAAGATCAAGGAATCATTTAGCTAGATAGTAAATAAAATCACCAATATGTGAGGTGGAAAGTTCAAGTAAATCACTTGTTAAATTTTTTTCAGTAATTAAAAGAACTGGATCATTTCATAATAATGCGTCCAATACGGGATGCATCTAATCGCGAATTCATAATGATCATGAATGCATATTGCTGAATATTGCTAATATATGAACAATTCACTCAATTACTTTGACAAAGGGCAATGTGTACTATATAATATTGCATATTGCACATCGGTTTTGCAAATTATGTACAGATTAGCATATGTTCACAAGCAAATTATTAAGCACAACTGAATATAAGCTACGTTAAGACCATCAGTGCAGGTCAACTATTGGGACAGTGTGTCATTGTGTATTGCTTTCCGACTGACCCTAATTTTCTTACAAGCAGAAAATAGAACGAACTTTTATGATTTTCAATATCATCCTGCAGATATACTTTTGAAACTTATTTCTTACCTAATTGGGTTGAATAGTTCAGAACAAATCCCGGTGCTGACACAATAAAATCCGAGTGAAACACAATGAAAAGTTTGAGTCCAGATGATACGAGACTTCTTGGTAATTGACTTCCACAGAATCTATCCAGTCTCGTCGCGGCCGCTGAGGCTCCGTCATAAACATCCAAATAGTCATATCTGCAACTGGAATGACTTTCCAGCTAAAACGTGATGTAATTTGTGTAAATCAGTTGTCAATTTTGCATTATGCGAAATTCATTTCAAACTTTTTATAGGTTAAAACTATATTATCCTATGCAGGGTGTCCCAGTGAAAGCGGAAAGTTTCATGAATAATTGTCACTTGTGGCAATTAGAGCTAATTTGCCGCAAAAAAATTCTCGTGTGAGGCGAATAATTGCGGGTTTTTTGTCATTCGTGACATAATTTATTTGGTTGATATCAAACATGTTGGATATTTTCTGGCACCCATAACAAGGTTTCCAATGTGCCTGCAATGAACGATAAATTGTTTTAAAAGTAAGTAAAACACGCATGCAAACTGTCGCCTTTAGGCCTAGTTTAAACTTCGCACTTTTGTCGCGTGGGATGCATATCAAACAATATATAATGAGATGATTATGAAGCTTAATGAGGTTTATCATCTCATTATCTATTGTTTGGATTGATTCGACGGTATCAAAATGCCAAGTATAACCTGGGCCTTCATAGCATTCAGAACAACTTGACTGTCGTTCATTGACCGCGCACTGGCAAATTTTGTGCAAAATTAATAAAGATACCTTTAATTTATTAGGTAAGAAATTATGAAAAAAGTTCATGATTGAGCAGGAAAGGAGGAACGATACCCTACCCAAAGTGTCAGTTATTTCGCATTTGCCGTAATTATGTAGCTGTTCGGTATAAATTAAAAAACCGTTATGTTGTTTAGAAAGGGCATAAGCCGCTATGAAAACTCTAACCCGATACATTAGTTGCATTAAGTATTGAAGAATTCTTTCCTCGTAAGATCGCAGAAAAGTGTCAGTTATTTCGCATTTGCCCTAATATGCAGTTGTTCGGTATAAATTAAAAAACCGTTACGTTGTTTAGACGAATTAAACGAAGGCATTTTTTACTTCACTGGCTATTATTGGAGAAGAAAATAAGGTAGTCCATCACAAGAAAAGTAACTAATCTTCTCGTAAATCTATTTTTAGAGGATGGATATTTTAAAACAATGTAACCTACCGAGAAAAATGAAAACTGCAGTAAAATATTTCTACCATTGGTGCTAGAAATAGTCCAACTGCAATCCATGTTGTTAGGGTATGAAAGGGGATAACGAGGACTTGTGAGAGTTCCTGGAGGATACAGTTGACGTCTTCCACATGGATCTGGAAAGATTATTCATTTGAATATATCGAAATATAAAGCGAAGTGGAATTTATTGTTAAAACTTGAATTAGCTTAGGCCTAATGGCGAGTTGGATGAACGTTGGATAGCGCTATTAACAGGCAGGGACTGCAGAAGATCGTGAGGTGGGGGAGGCGGCAATTATTGGAAATCATGCAGTCTCTTATGAAATTATTTGTCTTTACGGTCTCCCAACATGAAAATATGAATATTTATTCGTCCCACGCTTAACGATCTTCGGTGTCTACTCAACAGGACAAATGTTTACTTTTTCAAGCAGCGCAAAAATGGTTCAAAAGTAGCAGAATTTAGGTATTAACCTAACCGAATAATTTAGATCGATTGAAAAACCTGCCATTCGGTAAATAACACTATTCTTTGACCTTCGTTCAACCGGCCCCTGGGCAGTGATTTTCGACAAGACGCTCATTGGGACAGCTAATTCTATATGCGTCTAGTTAACATAAAACATTCGGACGGGCCTCAATGCAAAAATGGAAACAGAATGCCAAAGGCCTGTTTTATTCAATTAACAATTACTAATGAGTACTGTTACCTGGCGCTGTTGTCGTAAAAGGTGGCCTGTAGGTCGCTGTGAAGAAACAAATTAGAATAATTAATTTTCTTCATCAATTTATTTCTTTGATATGATACATACCATTTAATTATAGTTGCCAATGGAAATTATGGAATTTTTGTGAGTTCAGTGACAAAAAATATTCATAAATACTCATGTTATATTGAAGCTTATATATGCCCACGTATCAGCAATTATTTCATAACACACATTTCAATTTAAACTATACCATTGCACGTCGATGATGCCATTTTTTGTGTCAAATTCGAAAGTTGACTAAAGTTGCCCAGCAGGAAAACATGATCTTCTACTGGAGCGGAAGCCATTGTTTCCAGTTCGGATACATCAACTCCGGAACCAACTCCAACAGAGAATATGATGACTCCAATGTTTTTGAGTTGCTGTGAGGGCTGGTAAACACTATCCGACACTTTGACTGGCAGTAAGTACTATCAAAATTTGCTTTGCACCTAAAGATCCCGTATTGTTCATGTGAGGAGATGGATATTTTTTCAGCGTTTGGACTAATTAATCTAATGAGAAGGTTTCAGGAAATGAGAGCACTTCTTGACTATATGATTTTAAACTTTTCTAATATATGCTAAAGAGTAGTAATTAATTACAGAACCTCAGCATTGGGGTGGGGCTCATATTGGGATTGGACACTTTGTAGTTTCGCATATCGAGTGTTCATAATTATGTTGATTGAGATGATTTTGGCGCCTGAGAATATTCTGTAGGTGCATCTCCAGCGTTATGCATGCAAAATCCATAAAAAAAATAGACAATAATTAGGTCTCAAATATTAGTGAAACTGCTACAATATTAATTTTGACGAACGTTGCGAATGAGTCTTCAAATTCTGACTCTAAACTCTAAAGGAATGATTATCCATCTTTAAGCTTTAGTATTTCCAAAGCAAACAACTTAATCTAACAAAATTACCTGAAATTCGGGCACCATTTCTGGCATGGAACATATGAAGTATGCTATATGCAATGCATAAGCTGTGTAAGTGCTAAATCCACCGGCGGACGAAACACTGTCTATTGCTGAATGAAGATCTCTTCTGGTTTCAAATACTCGGGAAAATGGAATATCAAGTTTTTTTCCGTGACGCAAATGAAATCACTGAAACTCTCGTCCCATTTTGTGACACATTAAAGCGATCCGTAAGATCTTTGACGAAAGATTTTATTTTCGTAAAATTACTTCCATTGGTACGCCAAGAACTGTCCAACAAAAATCCAAGATCGACGTTTTGTTGCAGGTTTCAACTTCTCTACCTGAAACATGATAAAGAACAGGAATGGGAACGTGAATAGTAACGGTCATTTACAGGTAAGGCGAAATAGTTTTGGTCAATCCCCAAAGTACCCAATTTTTTATTACGTATTCTAATCGACAAGAGAGAGTGACGAGTAAATCAGTTTGCTCAATGACAAGATCCTTCGTTTTTCCAAGGAAAATACCATTAAAAAAATAAATGCCATGACAAAACAATATCATAATTCGAGTTATGACTAGGAACACCTTGAAATATATCTAAGTGTACGGTTAATCAAATTCTAATCAACTTCTAAATAATGACAATGCCGTACATGTCATTCCATTTCCTAAGCAGCCAAGTTATAAACAATATAAATAGTGGTGATGCATTGCGACAAATAAATTCAAAATTTTATAAAATACGACAAGAATCTAATCATCGTTAATAAATGAAAAATAAATCCATACATGTCACTCCATCTCCAACGTAACCAAAGTTGCAAAAACAATTAAAGGAACCATTGGTGTTAATACACGATGCATGACTATCGCAGTTGTCAGTATAAAGTTCACATTCGTTTATATCTGAAAGATAATTACAAAAAAATAGTAAAAACTTAGCGGCAGATTTCATAGGAAACTCAGTTTAATAGAATGCACGATACAGCCATGTTTCGTCTTCTTTTTTTAACAATATCACGACGTTGAATCACTGATTTATACCACCTTAATTATTTATATATATTTTGCAATATCTTTATATCTTATTAATATTATTCATGACCACCATTTCTATCAACTAGAAATAACTGAAACGTTTGTTCCCCAACATAAACTCCGCATGAGGCACTATATATTTTCCATTAAAACTTATTTATGTTAAACATTTCGTTCTGTTAACACGACCTAAACTCTTTTTCAGTAGATTGGCTAGCTCCTTAAACTAATCAGAAAACTTTTAATTACCAGTTTTTACTGGTTCATAATCATTTCGCCCAATGCATCCAACGTCTACCGTTCATGACATAGAATTTGGACAACTTTGGATTCAGTATACACAAACCCATTAGTATTACGAAACTAATAAGCGATAAAGATATACATACCTGTGCATTCTTCTCCCATCCCAGTATAACCGATGATACACTGACCGCAATAAAACGACCCGTTGGTATTTATACACGATTTTCCAATACTGCAATTGTGAATTCCAAGTTCACATTCATTGACATCTGAAAGAAAATGTTTGTAGAATAAATCCTTTTTGTCAAAAATTCTACTTCACCGTTATACTTAACAGCTCCTAAGAATATCATGAACCGGTGACATTATTTTTTTAATCATTGATCTCGTTATGTAAAGATAGGATGGCAATATAACTTTAACTATATATTTAGGCTACATTCTCTATGTTAACTTCTATTGGTCTCCATTGCAACCGTGTTTGGTGTTTGTTCATAATTAACCACCGATCAGTTATAGACGTCCAACATGATTTGCCGAAAGGGTCGCTGAAGTCAAGACCCTTCCCCGATCGACGAACATTAGAACTGTGGGTACGGTCTCAATTGTTGTTGCAAGCTCATAAGAATTTCTTTGCTAGACTAATACAACAGAATTTCTTCGTGTAATAATCAGATTATTAGTATAACGTTAGACGTCAGAAAAAATGGACATCTAAGAATATTGTAAATTCGTTTTCTTTTAAGGTTGAATGGAATCCTTGCATCATGAAATGAAGAATGAGATAAAGTCCGTTTCGTGCGTATTTTTTGCAAACTAACCAGTATTCCAGGCTTTCCGACACTTTGAATATTACTATTAATATCATTTTTGTAAGCTTATTTTGTGAGGTTAAAAACAGTTTCTTGTCTAATGTATCTGGTCTACTGTCAGTATTCCGTTATCTGATGATTGCTGATGAGTTCTTCATGGCTGATGAGTTATTTTACTTACCAAATAGGGTTGAATAATTGAAGGCGAAACCGTGTATTCTTTGAAAATTATCTACACGAACACGGATGAACAATTTAAGTCCAGTTGATTGCAGTTTTATTGGATATAATTGTAGACCACAAAACATCCCTAATCTTGGCGCACTTTCTGAATCGCCATCATACACGTCCAAATAATCCAGAAGACAACCAGAGGAATATGGCAGCTAAAACAGTGGTGAAATATAAATCATTATTAAACGAAACATTGGAATTGTGTACAGGGGCGGATCTAGGATTTTTCGCACGTTAGTCAAAATATCGGATGTAAAAACGGGGAGGTGGTTTAATTGCCCCCCCCCCGAAATAATGACATTTCAAAAATTATTTTAAAACTTTATTAGAACTTTAAAAATGTAAACGTTTAAATGTTTATTGAGCCAGTTTTAATAGCAGAAACACGTGAGTCGAAATAACAGGGAATAATAGGAAATTACACCTATGGGCATGGAATAAAAACATGAATGCGGTCATTTTGTAAGACCATAGTAAGACTGACTGAATAATATTGATAACTGTTACAGCATAAGCTAGTATTGCTCCAAGCTATGCTACATGCCAAAAAAATATATTAGTATGTGCTGAAAGCCGCTTACACTTTACAGTAAATATCACAGTTGGGCAATATTGTTTATAATGCGCTATAATTCATAATTGCCATATTGGTTTGGTGGGTAATCATGATTACGTTGTACTTTTTGATACAAACATGCATTACATGATTTCACAAATATATAAATCTTCTTTACGCGCCTAGATCTAGTATTATGCATTGGCTATTTGTTAGACGTAAATTTATACAGTAAATCTTGGTTGATACTTGATACAAATAAACAATACAATAACCGACCTTATGACCGAACGACGACGGGCGAATGCAAATATATGCTAATACAGAACCACGCTCAAATATACAGTTAACATAGCAAATTATAGGACTATAGTTTATACGAACTTATAGGAGTATTGTTTATATGAACATCGACATGAATCTTTACATTATCTCTGTAGATTTCTCACTTTGACGAGCACACGAGGTAACGGAATTATCCATATTACTCGGCAAGACGACAACTGAAAGCTATTCGATATTTTCGCTATTTGTAGCGTGAACTTCCTAACAAAGATCTGTATCGGGCCTTGCAGGAACCTCAAATCATGACGATGAAATGCCATTTTGTAAAATAAATATACGAATTCGTATAAATGGCGAGATCGAGCAGTAGAATCCAACAGATTTTTAAAAATATCCGCTGTCAAACATCCAGAAATTTTCAATATTCCTTATTTACTTGAGAAGGATATATTTTTTCCTTTAAGTCAAATAAAGCAAACCAATAAGAAATCAATATTTTTCTTTCACCAGCCAATCGGAAAGCTTAAATTTGGCGAATGAGTCAGACCCCCGCAAAGATAAGGCAAGCCAATGAAGAACCAGTATTAGCCCTCCACCAGCCAATCGGAAACGCTTAAATTGCGCAGATGAGTCAGACCCCCGCAAAGATGAGTCAAACTCATTCTAAGCCAATCAAATGCCTAGAATCAGAAGTCGATAAGGCAAAATTCAAGCGGGTATCCGCTATTGTGACTCCTTTTCCGAGGGCTCAAAAGTCAGTGACCAGCAACTGCATGAAGCTTAATAATTTTAACTGGAATGTTAATTTATCAAATGACTATTTTCGTTGACTGAAGTTTAAATATTTCGACCTGGACTTGTGTATTTTTTGACTTAGTCGCGTGACTCATCTGACAACCCCTAGATCCGCCCCTGATTGTGTACATGCAGTAGTTACATAAATATTTCATCTATTTCTAAGGTTTATCGGTTGCCGACAAACAGCTGAATGGCTATAACCGCCTCGGTCTTCGCTCGAAGCTTAATCGGGGATGGGTGGTTGTTGAATTCATATATTGATGTTTGTACAACCGTAGAAACAATAGCCAACAAGACAGGCATGATATAAAAATCACATATACGAATATGCACCCCCCCCCAATTTAGCTTCTAGCAACAGCCCTGACAACCACTCCGTATAATTTTTATTGTACTCTCCAATTAGAGCACCGGTATTACCGCTGTCGGAGGCCTCGATTCGATTCAAATATCTGTTAAAGTGTTTACTGTTTTCAACCAAAGCAAGCGTGCGTGTCAAGTCACCCATTAGGGCGAATTGCGTTTATAATTTTTTCATTATTTTGAATGCTTGAATAATTGAACTTTTAGAGTCACAAAAATTAATATGCATAGGACAATAAAATATTACACAACCCTAGACAGGTATTTACCGTATTTCTGTCAATTTCAATGTTTATTTCTTTATTATACCCGATCCGGCGTGGGGCGCCGTGCGAGTATACTAATTGCACCCGGATATATGACAGAAAATAGCGGAATCCAAAATCGCCCATATTCTAAGTAAGGACCTTCAATTCGCCTTAGGTCTGGCTAACTTAACAGAATTTTTGTTTGCTGTGCATTTTGCGCCGCCAACCAGAGTTATGCTTCTTAGTCTTGCCCCTAAAATTCTCTGGGCGGCCCAGCTGTTGAGATAATTCGCTAATAAAACACTGCATATTATATAATCAAGTGTAACATTAATTATTGTTGGTAAGATCCGATTATGATAAGCCGTGTTAACATTGCTCCTATTCATTAGCACGGCACTGCTTAAATTGGTGATTTTGTGTGTATTTAACCAGAACTATTTGCCAATCAGTACAAGTAAATTTACTGCTCAACACGACCTCTGTGTTGAATTTCTTCCATTAAATCTGGCTAGAATGTTATATCAATCGTAGGTATGTACTATACGACTAAGGAAATTAAACACTAATTTAAGGGAATGGAAAGTGTAACTTACCCTGAAGAATGAAGATTGCAATTGAATATTTCTCCCATTTGTGCTAGTGACAGTCCAATTGCAGTGCATGTTGTACGGGTATTGGGGGACGAAGGATGGATTCTGGAGTGAACCAGGAGGATATAGATGACTTTCTCCGCATATGTCTACAAAAATGTATGTGTATATTTCTTCAAAAATTATGCTTTTTTAGGGCTTGCTTTTCCAACAATTCTAAAATACTTCCACTTCCCATAGTGTCATTGTTTTAGTATGCAGGTGACAATTTGCCATGGTGTCAGTGTGCCATTGGGTCATTGTGCGAGTGTGATTAGGCCATTGTGTCAAAGTGACAGTGTGTGAGTGTGTCAATGTGTCAATGTGTGATTGAGTCAGAGTCCCATTGTCTTATTGTTTGATTGTGGCATGGCAGAGTAATAGAGTGACTGTTGTGTCGTTGTGCCGTTGTGCCATTGTGCCATTGTGCCGTTGTGCCGTTGTGCCGTTGTACCATTGTGTCAAAGTGACAGTGTGTGAGAGTGTCATTGTGTCAATGCGTGATAGAGTCATTAATGGTGATTGAGTCACAGTGGTGTAAGTGTTTCATTGTGTGATTGAGTCAGAGTCTCGTTGTTTTACTGTGTCAGAGTAATAGAGTGGCAGCGTGTCATTGCATGTGTCGTTGTGCCGTTATGCGGTTGTGCCCTTCCTAGCATTGTGGCAACCTTGGTGTGTAGTTTCGCCGTTTTGTGTCGGTATTAATGTTTTTCGGATCACACTTATTTTGTATTTTGCAGAAATTCATGCAGAACAGATCTTTCATCTTTTTTTGAAGATATATTTTTGCAAATTAGATCTTACAGATAAAGCTGGAAGATAAAGCTGGAGGATTTTGAAAGGAAAATCAAAATGTCTGTTAAATTTGGGTTAGTACTTTTAAGACTTGCACTGACAAACATTTTTTTCTCAAAAATAAATCTAACATCTTGACGTTTTCCCGTCTTCTCGAGGATATAATGCTATCTTGCTATCTATAAGGCTATCTATATAATGCGTGTCTTCAAAGGATGTTGTTATGAAAGGCTTACCCAGTTTGTAAAACTTAGTCACACAATTACCGTAAGCTACAGATTTCATTTTTGGCCAATCAGCGCATTTGTTTACGTTTTAGCTCTAAGCCAATCAGATCGCGTGAATCGCGATTTTACAACAAATCCATAGCTGAACATAGGGGGTCACTTTCAAGCTTCTCTGCAAGCGGATTTTTAATATTTTATAATGAAATTGAAATATGTTATTCTTATAACGTTTTATAAATAAATTATTATATATTATATATTATAACGTTTTATAAATAAATTATTATAGTATTAAATTATACTTAAATCCTATTACTTACAACGGCCGACTTGCGTGTCTGACAAGGCAATGTAGGTAGCTATTATATAGCATAATATATCCTAAGGTAGGCAACTTCAATCACAATATTCACATGGACACATGCAAACAATCCGAAAATACTTCAATTTATCCCTAAAACTAAGCTAAAATAACAAAAAATTTAATAATTAGAGTAAGTTATGGAAGCGAGAAAAATGCGAAAATCCGATGCTAGACCCGCGCTGTTGACTTTTGAGAACGTTTGAAAATGACGAATTTGTTATCTCATTGGCTGTTTTTTGTTCTCGCTGTTGTGACAGCCAATCAGATTAAAAACTCGTCATTTTCAAACGTTATTAAAAAGTCAACAGCGCGGGTCCAGCATCGGCCAAATCGGCCCATTAAAAAAATGAGTAAAATATCAAAAACGTTTCGCATTTTTCTCGCTTCCATAACTTATTTTCATTATCAAAATATAGTCAGTGTATAGTAAAACTATCGTAAATTTCATTTCTTTTGTTATTTTAGCTTAGTTTTAGGGATAAATTGACGTATTTTCGGATTGTTTGCATGTGTCCATGTGAATATTGTGATTGAAGTTGCCTACCTTAGGATATATTATGCTATATAATAGCTACCTACATTGCCTTGTCAGACACGCAAGTCGGCCGTTAGGGGATTTAAGTATATTAGCATGTAAATAAATGACATATGTGTGAATTTAATCAAAGTGTACATTTTTAAATCAAATAAAACCATTCGCCATTGGGCTGCCCATGATTATTTAAGCTTTTGCACGGCAAAGCTTGAAGCTGGATAACTTCGTAATAACGCTAAAAAACAAAAATCGCCGCGAGGAATTCGTGGAAAAACCTTATAAGAATAACATATTTCAATCTCATTTTAAAATATTAAAAATCCGCTTGCAAGAGAAGCTTGAAAGTGAACCCCTATGTTCAGCTATGGATTTGTTGTAAAATCACGATTCACGCGATCTCATTGGCTTAGAGCTAAAACGTAAACAAATGCGCTGATTGGCCCAAAACAAAATTCCCCTTGTCTCGTAACATAGATATCGCCAAAAGTTGACGAATTTTTGAACTAACCCGGCTGAATACAAAACGTTCAGCAAAAGATACCTAAACAATATATACGTGCCCACCAACAGCTAAATTATAAAGAACATGAGTTACCTCATTTTAATTAGAATTAAGTTCTAATAAAGACGACAAGCAGAAAAAAAACCTCGAAAAAGCAACAAAATAAACACGGAAATGGTAATTCAACGTAGTTTTTTTTTTCTTAAAAAAAATCGTAACGTCATGACAACTATGCAATGGATCGTATTTTAAACATTAAATTATATTTCGAGACACTCGACTTCAATTTAACAATGCACTGTCTTTATTTTCCACTTCTTTTAAACTTAAATACAGTGAAAAGCTTCAAAAACAACAAAATTTAACTGTACGTCAAATCTGCTCCATCTTGCAACAACACCGCTTACCTGCGCCAATCTTACGTCTTTATATTTCACTCCTACAGATGGCGGACAAAAGAGATCTTACAACGATGGAAGTGACAAATAATCCAAAACCATCCAACCTCAAAGACAAAGACTAAGGGATGAGTTCCGATCTTTCAAATCAGGCTACAGTGGCCGATCGAGACTTCATCTCGTCGATTTCGACACCAACTTTGACGAATATTAACCCACAACTCAAACACATGGCTGAGAGCTTTAGTAGTGCCAAAACTGTTGGGATTCCTGCCCAAACCGAATCGATAAATCCCGCAGTATCTTTTGATCAAACGGGTACAACTCAGAAGTCATATCCCAGAGTATCTGATTATCAAACGGGTGATATTAATGCATCAAACCCTGTAGTGTCTGATGACCAAACAAGTTGGAAACGAAGCGCAACACAGGTAATTGAGGTGGAAGCGTATTCACCAGAAAATAAAGCCAGCACGAGGCGACGCGCTTAAAGAGAACAATATAAACGATATAAAAATAGACATAGACACAGAGACAGCTGATGGTGATATTCTATCACCCAATTCTCGTTGGGAAGCCAGTGAAGAACTGTTTGCTCTGCTTGAAACAGCACCAAGAAACCACTGAGTAAATTTGATCGAAAAAGTTTAGTAAAGACGTCTCCTCGACCTGATGTTAATGCAGTATACACCTTCTATGGATGATTACCTAAAATGCTTTGTCCAGGGCATCACTCCCCCAAACAAACCCCTAGAAGAAATGCCAAAATCTTTTAGACATGACAGAGATTTCTGTTCGAGAGTCATCAAAATCCCTCGGTCTCCTAACTTCCTCCATTCAGGCCATTTTTCCGGCCCCTCTTCAGTACAGGCATCTTCAACAATTGAAGAACGCCACAGTGGCTGCAAAGTATTCATACGAGGCTCTATTGATACTAGCAAATAAGAAGGAAGTCCTGTGGTGGAGAAACCACTTCAAAAGGTGGAATGGCAGAGCATTATTCCATCAACCAGTAGACCTAATAATGGAGACAGATGCATCTCGAAGAGGTTGGGGGCCATATTGGGAGGGGGTCAGTATACTGGGGGCCCATGGTGCTCGAAGGAAGAAAATTAATTGACTCGAGCTGCTTGCAGGGACATTTTGCAATAAAAACATTTACAAAGACCAAAACATGTGCACATGTGAAACTCCTGATAGACAAAGCAGCGGCAGTTGCATATATAAACAAGATAAGGGCCGGGGTACTCGTTCAAATGCTTTGGCTAACCTAGCAATTACCCTGTGGGAATGGTGCCTCGAGAATCAGTTGACAGTATCAGCTCAATACCTCCCAGGAATACTAAACGCACGAAAAGACAGAGAATCGAGAGTTTTAACCAATTCAAGCGATTGGAAACCAAACCTGTGCCTGTTTCAAGCAATTTTGAGGACATGGTGATCACTAGAAGTCGATCTTTTTGCATTTCGTCTGACATACCAACTCCCTCAGTTTGTCAGTTGGAAGCCAGATCCCCTAGCCATACAGGCAGATGCATTCACAATGAATTGGCAGAACATTCGGGGATATGCCTTCCCAACATTTGCTTTAATTTGCCGATGTTTGCACCAGATAATATCTCAGAAATTTGAAATCTAGTTCTAATAACTCAAGTGTGGCTAATTCAACCTTGGTATCCATTAGTTCTCCAATTGTGTACGGATTATCCTCTGATATTTCCAATGTCAACAAATCTCTTAATAAAGGACAACCAACCGCATCCACAAACAACCTCCAGTGTGCTGGTTGGAAGATGTCAGCTGGTTACAAGATGTCAGCTGGTTGGAAGAGGTCAGCTGGTTGGAAGATTTCAGTCTCCAAACACTGAACTGAAGTTTCAAAATAAACTAGAGAGATTTTGTTGGCACCATGGAGACGAAACACCATCAACGCTTATGCCTCAGCTTGGAATAAATGGGTTTGCTGGTGTGGTGAACGGAAAATCAATCCCATTTCAGTATCTTTTAACGACCCTGTGTCCCCGAATGATCACTGGCGATCGAACAAGAGGGATTTTCGGACAGGCCGTTCGAATCACCGACCAAACAATTGGCACAAACACCTGCAATTAGTCAGCCAGATAACCAGAATGTAATATCCGACACGACACATATGCTCATTCCTCCCGAAGAATATTTCCATCAGTCAAATAATAACTTGATTAACCCATCAACACGGCAGAATAAAGTCAGCAAGCAAATCCCTATAGTTTCTTTACGACGCCCTGGTATATTATCTTACACTCATTCAAAAAAGAGAAACTTAAATAATCTAATCCCAATTCCTATGTCCAAAACTCAGTCACCAAGTTTATCAGGAATCCAGAATTCGAGGTATAACTTAAAAAACAACAGGCTTAAAGTGGCTCATTTAAACATCCGCTCGCTTAGGAACAATGTACATCTCACCGAAATGAGAGAACTGACGCGAAATGAAAAATTTGATATCTTAACAATATCAGAAACGTGGCTAAATACAAGTGTATCGTCTGCTGAAGTAAAAATAGAAGGTTTCAATCTTTTAAGATTAGACCGCCTTCACAAACGAGGGTGAGGGGTGTGCACGTATGTTCGTAAAGAACTTAAAGCATCTGTCATAAAGTCTCTGTCTTCTATCTCTGAAGACAACTTCCATCAACAATGGATAAATGTTCAGTATAAAAAATCCAAATCGTTTTTAATCTGTGTAACTTACAGGCCACCTGACTGTCCCTTGAACTGTTTGGAAGACGCTCTTAAGCCAAACTATATGGAAGCTTTATTATTAAACAAACCAATCCTGATCCTAGGAGACCTAAATTGTGATGTATTGAAGAGTGGTTGCGCAGAGTATAAATCTCTTGAAAAATTTTTAAATGAAATGAACCTTACCCAAATCATCGAAACCGCAACGAGGATCACGAATTCAACTTGTTCATTGCTAGATGTCATCATAGTGTCGTCGAAGTCGTTAGTTAGCCGAAGTGGGGTATTAAACGCATCTATAAGCGACCATTTGCCAGTGTACGCGGAACTCAAACTTAAACCTCCTAGACAAGCCACAAGATATATCACTACGCGTAGCTACAAAAACTATGTACCTAATGACTTCTTCACCGATCTAGCTAGAAAGTCAGACTCCCTCTTATCCGTTTTGGAAGAGGAAGATGTAAATAACAAACTCGATCGCTTTAACTATGTTGTGCAATCAACACTAGATGTTCACGCACCGATTAAAACAACAGCGATTCGTAACCGACCTTTTATCACACAAAATCTTAGAAACCAAATGAAAGAGAGAGACCGATTACACCATCAATTCCTAATTACGCGTGACGCTAAGGACTGGGAAAATTACAAGATCTACCGAAATAATATTAAAAAAGCTCTCAGGAAGGCAGAAAATGAACATAATTCTAATGAAGTACAGCAACACAAAGATAACCCGAGGTCTATCTGGAAAATAATAAACCGTCTGGTACCATCAAAGAGCCAAGAGAGACAAATTTACACCAAAGATCACAAATCTATCGCAAACGAATTCAATCAATTTTTTTCATCAGTTGGTGAAAATGCTGCAAAGAAATCTATTCATCTAGCAGCTGCTAATAACATCGCTCTGCAGGAACCCTATGAAAAAGTTTATATACCGGAAAACGATCAATTTTCGTTTAGGGCGGTATCTTGTTATGAAGTTCGTCGAGTGGTGTTATCTTTACCTAACAATAAATCTCCCGGCCCAGATTTAATTAACCCAAAGATAATAAAAGACTGTCTTCCAGTCATTTTGGGTCCTCTTACGGATATTATTAACTGTTCTTTCCGAACTTCTACCTTTCCACTGGCATGGAAAAAGGCAGAGCTCATTCCTATACATAAAGAAGGTGATCATGAACTACCCTTTAATAACCGACCAGTGTCACTACTAGCAGTAGCGTCGAAAGTGTGTGAAAAATTAGCTCTTGAACAATTGAATTCCTATTTAATCAACTACAAGCGATTAACTCCCCACCAAAGTGGAAACAAAACACTCCATTCGACGGAAACATTAAATATTTTCACCACTGACTCAATCTTAGATGCCATGGACAAAAAGAAGCTTACAGCGCTAGTGTTGCTGGATCTCTCAAAGGCGTTCGATAGTATAAATCACCAGAGGCTACTCCAAAAATTATTCAATGTCGGAGCTTCTAATTCCACAATAAATTGGTTTAGAAGTTACCTAACTGACCGCTCTCAAGTCACTCGTATTGATTCTACAATATCGGAGCCACTATTATTAACTCATGGGGTACCTCAGGGGGCCATTTTATCGCCACTGCTCTTCTGTATATACTTAAACGATTTACCCGCTACATCCTACAATGGCAATCTGGAATCATATGTAGATGATACAAAGTTACTGTTATCGTTTCCTCTATCAGAAGTTGACAACGCTGTAAAAACTTGGAACAAGATCTACATATGATCGCGACTTGGTGCTGCGAAAACAGTCTTCTGGTCAACCCAGACAAAACTAAATTTATGATTCTTGGAACAAGACAGTTGATAAGAGCTCGATGTTAATATCTCGGTTCCTTTCATGGGAAAACTTTTAGAACCTGTTGATTGGGCGAAAGATCTAGGAATGTTGATGGACAAACACCTAAGTTATGACAAACATATCTCTAAAGTAGTATCATCTTGCCTCCACAAATTGTGCCAGATAAACCGAGTTAAAAACAACTTCGATAAGAGCACACTCACCATGATAATATCCTCGTTAGTGATCAATAAAATGTTATATTGCTCCACAGTGTGGTCAAATACAACAAATGCTAACATGAAGAAACTTCAATCGGTTCAAAATTTTGCAAGTAAAATAATCACAGGATCTAAGAAATATGATCATGTAACCCCATTACTTAAAGATGTGGAGTGGCTGACTGTCGACAAATTGCTCTATTTCCGTGATGCGGTTATGACTTATAAATGTATGAACACTTTAGCGCCAAAATACCTCTGTGATATGTTCGAGAAGAGAACTTCTATTCATAATAGGTCAACTAGGTCTTGCAACTTAGTACAAATACCCCGGTTCAAAACAAGTACAGGTCAACGGTCATTTGCGTATAGAGGAGCTGTGATTTGGAACAACCTAGATAGTAAACTGAAGGAATGTACATCACTTAAGACTTTTAAAACTCATTTGAAAGATCATTTACTGTCATTTTAGCCTGTTTCGACATTGTAAATACTATTAGCTTTTTAACATTCTATTAAACATAGTTTAGTTTTAATTGTAAATTATCCAGTATAATATAATTATTTCTTAAATATTGTAAATAGGTTCTGAAAAACCCTTCTGGGAGAAACTATTAAAATTATCTATCTATCTATCTATCTTTGAATACTGTATTAGAAATTCTTAAAGATCAATTCAAAGAAAGAAAGACATTTAGAACAATTAATGTTTATCGTTCCGCGTTGTCGACAGTTTTACCTGAGATTGACTCTAGCAGGGTTGGGGCTCAGCCATTAATATCGCAATTATTAAAAGGGATTTTAAAATTAAGACCTCCAGAACCAAAATACTCACATACTTGGAGGGTATCACAAGTTTGAGCTTATATTAAATCTTTGGAGAGTAATGAAGGGTTGAGTCTTAAGGTTTTAACTCTCAAGTTGGTCACGTAACAGGCTCTATAGCACCAGGGGTCGGTTGTACTGCATGGCGCTATCCACTGGATAGTGATATTTTTAACCGTTTTAAAAATGCTCGAAAAGCGATAAAATTTGATCTTTGGGACTAACAATTTTTAAAGAGGACTCTTGATTTATGAACACTAAAATTTAATCAAAGTTATAGCAATCAACGGGCGATTTTAAAGCGATTGAGAAAACCATTATCGGGTGGATGGAGCTATCCGGCTTACATACAACCGGCCCCAGATAAATCTTCAGATCTTGCTAAAAAAGACATAAGATTTCAGGTATATCACGCTGAAGGTGTGTCCTTTAAGCTCCCTGACTTATCTGAAACATCTAAACCAGGAGACTCTCCAAAGTCTAGCTTTGGTTCATCGTTTGATGAAGACTAAGGACTTATGCCCTGTTAATTGCCTAAAGTGCTATGAGGATAACACTAAAGATTTCAGATCTAATGACATCAAGCAGAACAACAAGTTGTTCTTATCATATGTTAGTCCTCATAACCCAGTCACATCATCAACGTTGGCTAGATGGATTAAGAATATGCTGCAGTTATCAGGCATAGCTAGATACGGAATTGTTTTCTGTACATTCAATTAACGTAGGGAAGCTTCAACTTCTGAAGCGTGTATATTTTAGATATGGCAGATTGTTAACAAAAAATACTTTCTTTAAATTCTATTACAGACATAATTTAACGTTTCACCTAGCAGGGCAGTTTTATCATCGTTTAAATCTTGATTATATTGCTTTGAATCCGCATTGCATGTTAAATTGAAGTCGAGAATCTTGAAATATAATTTTAGATCATGCAAGTCTGTTTACAGATGTAGTATAATTAATATTACACTGCATTTGTAAGGTAATATTTTTATTTCCAAATTAATACAACACAAACCAAAAGTGACCGCTACTTGAAGCGACCATCGAGTTATCTTTTGGGGTTTAGATTTCAGTGATTTTGATCTACATTAATTTTAAGGAAATCTTGCTAATTTGGATCAAAAAATAGGCCAAAACATTTGGACCTCAATGCCAAAATGGAAACGCAATACCAAAGCTCTGTTTTTAAATTTTCACAATTAACAATTACTAATGAGTACTGTTACCTGGCGTTGGTGTCGTAAACGGTGGTCTGTAAGTCGCTGTGAAGAAACAAATTATAATTATTTTTCTTCATCAATCTATTTTCTTTGATATTATATACTATTTAATTATAGTTGCCAATGGAAATTATGGAATTTTTATGAGTCTAGTGACAATCATGCACCTCTGACCAAAGAAATGTTTCAGGATCCAAAATTGTATGATAAGTGAAGCAATCATCATAATTTATAAAACTATAAACAATGTCATATCATGTTATGGGCAAATCCCCCTAAGCTCCATTTCTTGCATTTCATTCATTCATATACTGTAAATGAAATTTTACTGTAGAGAATATAAAGAAAAAAGTAGGTATTTCTGGAGAATATAAAGAAAAAAGTAGATATTTCTGGCTTCCAGAAATCGCCGTTGCCATGAACATTTTGTGCCGAAAGTGATTGATTTTATAAGTTCGTCTAGAGCGAAAAATATTGCAATTAATTACAGAGTAACACACATTTCAATTTAAAACCATACCATTGCACGTCGACGATGCCATTTTTTGTGTCAAATTCGAAAGTTGACTAAAGTTGCCCAGCAGGAAAACATGATCTTCTGCAGGAGCGGAAGCCATTGTTTCCAGTTCGGATACATGAACTTCTGAACCAACTCCAACAGAGAATATGATGACTCCAATGTTTTTGAGTTGCTGTGATGGCTGGTAAACATTTCCGACACTTTGGCTGGCAGTTAGTACTATCAAAATTTGCTTTGCACCTAAAGATCCCGCATTGTGTATGTGAGGAGATGGATATTTTTCAGCGTTTGAACTAATTAATATAATTAGAAGGTTTCAAGAAATGAGAGCACTTCTTGACTATATGATTTTAAACTTTCCTAATATATGCTAAAGAGTAGTAATTAATTACAGAACCTCAGCATTGGGGTGGGGCTCATATTGGGATTGGACACTTTGTAATTTCGCATATGGAGTGTTCAGATGTTGATTCACTTGATTGAGATGATTTTGGCGCCTGAGACTATTCTGTAGGTGCATCTCCAGCGTTGGAGCTGCAGGAACTTATCAATAAATTGCAATACAATCCTTTTAATTAAAAATTACATCCTTTTTCTACCTTTTCCCTGCAGGACACCCGGCTCGGGGTCCCTGCAGATTCTGTGCTTCCCTATAGCTTTCTTTTATGGTTATACTACGTAATTCACTTCTTTAAAAAAATTGGAACTAAATTGCTGTTCACTTGGGAAAAAGAATAGAAATTCGATATTCTGCATATTTATCTTATGCATGCAAAATCCATAAAAAAATAGACAATAATTATGTCTCAAACAACAATGAAACTGCTGCAATATTAATTTTGACGAACGTTGGCAACGGGTCTTTAAATTCTGACTCTAAAATCTAAAGGAATGATTATCGATCTTTAAGATTTAGTATTTCCAAAGCAAACAATTTAATTTAATAAAATTACCTGAAATTCGGGCACCATTTGCTGCATGAAACATATGATAGTACGCTACTTGCAATGCAAAAGCTGTGTAAGTGCTAAATCCGCCGGCGTACGAAACGCTGTCTATTGCTGAATGAAGATCTCTTCTGGTCTCAAACACTCGGGAAAATGGAATATCAAATGTTATCTGTGACGCATATGAAATCACTGAAACTCTCGTCCCATTTTGTGTCACATTAAAGCGATCCGTAAGATCTTTGACGAAAGATTTCATTTTCGTAAAATTACTTCCAGTGGTACGCCAAGAGCTGTCCAACAAAAATCCAAGATCAATCGTTTTGTTGCAGGTTTCTACTTCTCTACCTGAAACATGATAAGAACAGCAATGGGCAAAGTGAATAGTAATCCTCATGACGAAATGGAAATTTAAAATTTTACGTACAGGCAAAGTTGAATATTTTTGGTAAATCTCAAAAGTGCCCAATATAACTAACAATATATATTGCGTATTGTAATCGACAATGGAGTGCAACAAAGTAACTCAGTTTTTTTGATTACTTAACAGGGCCTCTCTTAAGCAATCCGTTCAAGTGAGGGAGCGATTATACCAAAAGAAGACTTGTCACTGGCGCAACGGAGTATGAATACTGATCGCGGCCGAAGGATGTACTTTTGAAAATTTTAATTTGAAGAAATCAGTCGCGTGATATTCAAATAATATGCAAAATAATATGTATTCGCACTCGACAGATGATATAAGTAAAACTACATTCAGCAAATTTAAAGGTTGGCAGAATACAAAAATGAAAAGTTACAGAACACAAGTAAGATTGCTTTAGTTCGCGACATGTTTTTGCTCGATGTTTTTTAAACAGAGAATTTTTACCAGCGGTGGCGGTGGGGGTGGGGAAATGCTTAACTGGGGGGGAACATGGCGCTAAAGCCCGCTATAGTCTACAGGGTGTATCAAAAAAAGTGTCCCAAATGTAAAATTTTCGTTTTTTAGGATATTTTGCAGAATTTGGCAAATTTTTGTGTTCCTAGGGATTAGTTAAGACTTATCTGGTATACCTAGGCCAAGTTTGGTTTTTCATTAACAAAATTATGTTACCGGGGGGGTGTTCCTTTGCACTGATATCTAGAGGGCTTGCGCGCAAAAATGTGAAGCTGAAATTGAGATATGATTTAGCTGTCTAAAAGTAGGAAAGCTTTTTAATAAACTGTCAAAGTTTCAGGAAAAATAATGCATACTGGGAGCAACGTGCGACCCCTAAAGTTGACAAATATTTCATTGCGCGCAGTGGATTAAATGCATCGTTGATTTTAGCGTGACCGATCTCATGCAAGGCTGTATGAATAAATTAAAGCGAGAAACTGAACACAAAGACAAAGGGATTTATTCGTGATGTTAATCCTCAGCATGTCCACCATTTCATTCTAAGCAAACTGCAGCTCGTCTGAGCATAGTAAACACTGAACAGCGAACCATTTGTCTGTCCATTCGCCTAGATTTGCCGGTGGTAGCGTAGGCGATTTGCAAGAAAGAATTTCGAACGAAATGGAGAATTTGAGGCAGGACAGACAAAATGGTTCGCCGTTCAGTGTTTACCATGCTCAGACGAGCCGCAGTTTGCTTAGAAAGAAATAGTGGAAATATTGAGGATTAACATCACGAATAAAAATCTTGTTAATAAATCGCTTCGTCTTTTTGTTCAGTTTCTCGCTTTAATTTATTCATTTGCCCAACCTGCATGAGATCGGTCACGCTAAAATCAACGATGCATTTAATCCACTGCGCGCAATGAAATATTTGTCAATTTAAGGGGTCGCGCGTTGCTCCCAGTATGCATTATTTTTCCTGAAACTTTGACAGTTTGTTAAAAAGCTTTCCTACTTTAAAACAGCTAAATCATATCTCAATTTCAGCTTCACATTTTCGCGCGCAAGCTCATTCAATATCAGTGGAAAGGAACAACCCCCCCGGTAACATAATTTTGTTAATAAAAAACCAAACTTGGCCTAGTTATACCAGATAAGTCTTAACTATCCCTAGGAACGCAAAAATTTGGCAAATTCTGCAAAATATCCTGAAGAACGAAAATTTTACATTTGGGACATTTTTTTGATACACCCTGTATATGTTAAAAAAGGCCCTGTATGACTAGATTTCATCCTAGCAAATTAGGTATGAAGCCATTTTACATGCTATTCCATCTCCGCTGAAGCCAAAGTTGCAAGAACAGTCGAACGTCCCATTGGTATTGCGACATGATGCTTGAGAATGACAGTTATCAATTTCAAGTTCACATTCATTGATATCTAAGATATTACAATATCATACATCAATTCACATATTTTGAACGTTGAAATCTATATTTTATTAACTAAACAGAGGAAATTACATTGTATGGGAATTTTCAGTTTTCCTCGTCAATTTCTTTGCACAATGTATACTATCAAATACATAAAATTAATATATACCTGTACAGGTCACGCCATTTCCCGTATAACCGCTTTTACAAATGCAGTAAAACGATTCATCGGTATTCACACATGATGCCCCAATACTGCAGTTGTGAGTTCCAAGGTAACATTCATTTACATCTAAAATGTAATATTTTACATAGACATTTTTAGAATACTTCAATTTTACTGTCAGGCAGTTACTCAGACTCATACGCCTGTATACAAAAAGCTCACTCACACTCAGACTCATTGAGTATAAGAGATACAAATTTCACTTTTACTGATCAATGAAAAAGTTTTTTTCTTAACTATGCATTGCCGGAAACATTCAAGGTCTAACACTGAGAATTAAGCGTTTATTCGACTGCATGGAAATACCTCTTTGGAAACCCTATGAGAAGATTAAGATCGCCTACAATGAGTTTAAGTGAGAGTGAGCTTTTAGAATACAGGCGATAGTGTCTGTGTGTATTGTTTTTATGATCCTAATTTTCTTACAAGAGAAAATAGAACGGACTTTTGTAATCTTTAATATCATCTTGCAGATATATTTTTGAAACTTATTTCTTACCTAATGGGGTTGAATAGTTCAGAACAAATCCCGGTGCTGAAACAAGAAAATCCGAGTGAAACACGATGAAGAGTTTGAGTCCAGATGATACCAGGCTTCTTGGTAATTGATTTCCACAGAATCTGCCCAGTTTCGTCGCAGTCGCTGATTCTCCATCATAAACGTCCAAATAGTCAAAATAGCAACTAGAATGACTTTCCAGCTAAAACGTGATGCAATTTGTGTAAATAATTTGTCAATATCCTCCATGCGAATAATTCATTTCAATCTGAGGTTAAAACTAGTTATATATCATCTTACTGTCATAGACATGAATTCCTAGAATATCAATTTTTAAATAAAATCGTACCAATATAATAATTGACAAAATTATTATCCAACTTGACTGTCTAGCTTATAGCGCGTGCCATAAATATCTATAGGTCGCTGAATAGAATGTACCATAATGATAAAACTGTTTGTAAAATATTTTATAAAAATGGGTTTCACGAAAGAACATGTGCAAAATAATCCCAAAAGGTTAATAAGTGAACAGTCTTAAACAGGTATAAAAATATACCATTTAACATATAACATACAAAATTAAGTTAGTCATTTACTAAAAAAATTAGGATTTAACCAGATTTCAAAATTTGAAGAAAACATCTGAAAAACTTCTTAACCGATGGAACCTGTAAGTTTAATTTGAAAACACCGAAAAAAGCGAGAATCAGTCATTTTTTCCCGAAGTCTTTTTTCACCCAAAGTAACTTAACTCGCAACGTGGCTGTGGCATCAAAATTATATTTTTCACGAAAAAAGCGTTTTTTACTCCAGTCGCTATCATTGAAGAAGACAATACAGTCGTCCTGAAGGTAGCTACTTTTTGCTCAAAGATTTATGGCATCGATAGTTTAAAGAAACCTACCAAGAAAAACGAAAACTGCAGTAAAATATTCCTTCCACTGGTGCTGGAAACAGTCCAATTGCAATCCATGTTGTTAGGGTATAAAAAAGGAAAACGAGGACTTGTGAGATTTCCTGGTGGATAAAGTTGACTTCTTCCACATGAATCTGGAAAGATTATTTATACGAGCGTATTTAGGATCTTGAAGCACATATAACCCTAGTGCTTAACTAGGTACTTATAACGAAAGAAAACAATGTAACCCTAAAACATTATATATATATATATATATATATATATATATATATATATATATATATATATATTTATATATAACCCTATATATATATAATCCTAAGAGAGTTTTCAATGGCTTCAGTCCAAATGCGATTGTTATTAATATTTTGTACCATACTCGTATTTGCTTTTTGTTGTCCATTTGTATATCAAAACATGCCAATACATAGTTAAAAGCCCGATCGATTCGAATGTGCACAATTTATTTTATAGACTGTGTGGATCACGTAAAATAGCGTGATGAAGTTAAATTACATTTTTTTTATACGTCCAGGCCGTATTATTGTAATAGTGATTTGGAGTCGCCCAGGTCGCATTTATATAAGGGGTGACTCCGACTGAAGCACATTCAAACACAAATTTGCCTATTGTAAAAACTGACCTGATAGCCAGCTCACTGACATAAAGAAATATGTACCAAAGAATTTTTGGCTTTTTAATTATCATTTTACAAATTTGATGCAAATTTTTTACAAATACTGATATGCATCACGTGATGATTTCGAATAATCAAAAGTGAGAATATATTACCTGTATTATTCGTTTACGTCGTGGTGCCTGTAAAAGAGGAAAACAAAAATTTTCGATTGCCATTATGTATAATTGATAACGCGTAATAAGGACTGAATTCTTTTCTCTTTTTTCCTGGCAATGCCATATTATTTTCATATCCTGATATGTTAACGAACGTTTGAACAGCCAACTTAAAATCTTCCAGCAAAAGACGCCTCGAAGGTTTTGCATGGGCAATGAACTACATTATCTACAGTTTTGATCTACACGTCACATGTGCCATTAACCTTTTAGAATTGCTTCTAGTGAATAAAATAAGAATGAAAATTTGGTTGATGGAATCGATTACGAGTTTTAATTCAAGCCTAGTTATCTTGGCGTAATTTTCGTGGAATATTCATCATCGGCAGTCAATATAAAAATGTTGCGGGATCCCACTTGCGACGTATTTTGCTTATCCGTTGTCTTTCAAGATGTGACGGACCGTTAGCCTTCATTTTTTTGCAAAACAACGAAATTGGTTGTATTTTGTTACAAGTAGATAACGCTCTTTTCGAAACCATGTGCAAAGAGCCAAATGTTTTAATGCGTTCGTTACCATAACAACAGAGGCGGTTGGTGCGAACTTCTGAATAAACCTGGCGGCTCGTCCAATTTTGGTTAGATTTTCAAACTGATATCACTCTTACTATTAATCTCGAATTGTACTTGTAGTATCCGGTTCCGGTCCTAGGGACCATACGTCATGTAAATAGATATATAGGTAGGCGGGAAATAAACAACTATGGCCGAACTCTAATATAGACAGTTCAATAGGCGACGAGAACGGGATTAAAACAATAGCAAACAGAACAATGAGGAAGCAAGAGTAAACGAGAACACAAGACGAATAGCTTCCACGTTTGGAAGTCTGCGCAGGTTTCCTGCATGCAAGGAAGCCTACACAACCTGCGGAAATAGCGGAAATAGCGGTTAAAACATGGCAACGACGTTGCTAACGAGCATCAAATCATGCGTACAGAAGGTCAATACAAAGGAACTAACAGACGCGGGTAAAAATTTAGACAGATGTTGGAAAGAATGGCTTGAAAACTTCGAACTATATTACTAAATTTTGAAGGGGTAAGGAAAATCGAAGAAAAAAAACGGCTCTGCTCACGGCGACCTCGCATTTAAGGCAAAAACTGTGAATTTGAAAAAAATGACATCAAGGCAAAGCTGTCTAGGCTGGCGATGCTAGATCAAGCAATTAAACTGTTAGTCACTCTACACACACCATCTGACAAACTACAGCGGGACATCGTTGCAAAGGACATGGATTTAAAGACAGTTATAGACAGCGCCCGCGCACTAGAGCTCACACAACGGAAGTCCGCTACATGAAAAACACAACAATGGACTCTGCAGAACCAGAGATCAACAGTTTGTAAGAGTAATAGTCTCAATCAAAAAGTGACACCACAACAACTAGACGAACCGACGTCAACAAGGAAGCAGCATCACGGAAAATCGACAATTGAAGTATGCAAAATATACTGTGGCTATAAAAAGCACCACGTAAAGGAAAGTGCAAAGCCCGGGGAACAACATGCAATCATTGCAAGAAGAAAGGGCACTTCGCAGTTGTTTGTCAATCCAGATCATTTAAAACAGTTTTTAGAGCAACACCACAGTCAAAGCAGTCACGAAGACAACCCCAAGGCCTCCTACAAGTTCAACAAGGAAACATGGAAGCTAGAAAATGTTTCAACGAACACGTCACCACCACAGCAATCAGAGTACAATACCAATATTACCATAATGGTACACGACCAGCGACTGAGAGTCCAAGTGGATGGACTCTGGAGCAGAATTGAACATTATGGGTCACATCACATCACCAGAAAACCACCATTGCGGAACACTTGTACAAAATTGAAACCATATGTCAGTGTGTATTGTTCTTAACTGACCCTGAATTTCTTTCAAGCAGAAAATGGAACCGACTTTAATAATCTTTAATATAATCTTACAGATATAGCTTTGAAACTCATTTCTTACCTAAAGGGGTTGAATATTTCAGAGCAAATCCCGGTGCTGGCACACTATTATCCGAGTGAAACACGATGAAGAGTTTGAGTCCAGATGATACCAGGCTTCTTGGTAATTGGTCTCCACAGAATCTGCCCAATTTCGTCGCAGTCGCTGAGTCTCCATCATAAACTTCCAAATAGTCAAAATAACAACTAGAATGACTTTCCAGCTAAAACGTGATGCAATTTGTGTAAATCATTTGTCAATATCGTCCATGCGAATAATTTATTTCAATTCAATCCGAGGTTAAAACTAGCTATGCATATCATCTTACTGCCATAGACATGAATTCCTTGTAAATCCATTTTTACATAAACTTTTACCGATATAATAATTGACAAAATTATCATTCAACTTGACTGGAAAGGTTGTGTAGCTAGCTAATAGCACCGCAGTTATAGAAAAAAAAGTCGAGCGCGTGCTATAAATATCTATATGGGTTGCTAAATAAAATGTGCCATAATGATAAAAAGCCAGCTTAAATTTCGACATTCTACAAAAAATCTACATTGCTAAAAGTTTAGAAAATGAGAAAGCTTCCCTTTCTTAAGGATACCAGAAACAACATTGTAAAAGTCTAAGACATCGAATGAGAACTTAAACAAGTATAAAATGTACAATTTAATATATAACATATAAAATTAAGTTAGTCATTTACGAACAAATTAGGATTTAACCAGGCTTCAAAATTTTGAAGAAAGCACCTGAAATACTTCTTAATCGATGGAGCCTTGAAAGTTTGCTTTGAAATACAGAAAAAAGCGAGAATTGTTATACTTAGAATCAGCCATTTTTTCCCGATAACTTTTTCACAAAAAGTAACTTTAGTTAACTTACAATGTGGCTGTGGCATGAAAGATTTTTATGTTTTTCACGAAAAAAGAGTTTTTCACTACGCTTGCTAACATTGAGAAGACAATACAGTCGTCCTGAAGGTAGCTATACTTTTCGCTCAAAGATTTATGGCATCGATTAAAAGAAACCTACCAAGAAAAACGAAAACTGCAGTAAAATATTTCTTCCATTGGTGCTGGAAATGGTCCAACTACAATCCATGTTGTTAGGGTATGGAAGGGGATAAAGAGGGCTTGTGAGATTTCCTGGAGGATAAAGTTGACTTCTTCCACAAAAATCTGGAAAGATTATTCATACGAGCATATTGAGGATCTTCAAGCACATAAGATATACGACATGGGCGAAAGAAAACAAAGAAATTAGTAATACGTAAGTTTTGTCGTCTTAATAATTTTTCTTATTGCGACAATGAAAGGGAGTTGGAAATCATCGCCGACGGTTTGATTGATTCCTATAACTAATCCTCTTCTATAACTTTTTGTTAAAAAACGATTGAGAAAATTAATATAGCCTTCAGCAATTAATTCACGCACCGCGAACTATACTCCTTCGTTTTTCGTAAAAAAAGGACAGTGAATCAATCGCGAATTCAATGCATTAATTTACGATATTTGCGTTTATTATCTTTGCTTTTTATAATATACTTGCGTGAAAAGTTTCTGCACGATCCACTTCTTTTTAGTTGAATGGATTACTACTACTATTTTGATCCCAGAAAATTATATATACGCAAGACATTTCCGAGACTATGTGGTCTGTGCCTAAATTCGTTACTTGCATGTGTTATTAATATTTTACACACCCGGCCCTGTATTTTTGTATCAGCGATTTGGAGTCGCCCACGTCGCATTTGTATAAAGGGTGACTCTGTCTGAAGCACACTCAAAAGCAAATTTGCCTATTGTAAAAACTGACCTGATAGCCAGCTCACTGAGATAAAAAAAATATGTACCAAAGAGTTTTTGGCTTTTTAATTATTACTTTACAAATTTTCTGAAGTATTTTCAGTATTCAAATTTTCTGTATTTACTGATATGCATCACGTCATGATTTCAAATGATCAAAAATGAGAATATATTACCTGTATTATTCGTTGACGTCGTGGTGCCTGTAAAAGAAGAAAACAAAATATCTGATTTCTATCATGTATAATTGAAATCGCGTAATAAGGACAGATTTCTTTATTCTTAGTTCCTCGCAATGCCATGTTATTTTCATGCCCTGATATGTTAACGAACGTTTGAATTAACACAGCCAACTTAAAATCTTTCATTAAAAGACGCCTTAAAGGTTATGCATGGGTAATGAACGACATTATCTACAGTTTTTATCACCTCACATGCGCGATTAACTTTTTGGAATTGCTTCTAGTGAATAAAATAAGAATGAAAATTTGGTTCATAGAATCTATTTCTAGTTATCTTGAAAGAAAGTCTAGTTATCTTGGTGTAATTTTCGTGGCAAATTCATCATCGGCAGTCGAGATAAAAATGTTGCGTGATCCCACTTGTGACGTATCATGCATATAAAGCATGCATAGCATGCAAGCAACATAGTCTTCCAAGATGTGGCGGACCGTTAGCCTTCACTTTTTGCAGCCGAAATTAGTCAAATTTTAATTATTTTATTAAAAATAGATAAAAATCTTTTCGAAGATATGTGCCAAGAAACAAAATGTTTTAATGAAATTGTTGCCATAGCAACAGAGGCGATCGGTGTGCATGAACTTTTCCGAGCAAACTCGCTCCGGTGGCTCGTCCAATTTTTGCAAAATTTTCAAACATGACTCGCTCTTACTATTAATCCAGAATTGTACTCGCCATCGCATGATTACCGTACACTACTTCAGTTTAATTATCGATGAGTTAAGCTAACCATTATAAAGGCCGCGGTTTATGATCAACTTACCTAAATTAAACGCTAGGCAAAAGAGCAATTGAGTGACCTTTGAAAGAGACATCTCTAAAAAAATAAAGGGGGAATAAATACTTCCACTAAAGCTGTAATTATTTCAATGTTATATTTAGATGTCCAAGACCAAAATATAGAATTCCTATTATCGATCAACATCATTAAGACTTCATTCGTGCTTGTGAAAACAGGGCAGATGAAGCTGATCTATCAATTTGGGTTCTGGACTAAAACGTGGTAATAAAAGAAACTGGTTATTTGTTTAAAGCCTCTGATTAGCTAATAGCCATGTGTAAAGCCCCCTTGTAAAATACATACATACATATTTATTAGTTCTCGAAAATGAGCTTTTCATAACTAAATTACAAATGTTTTTATAACTAATTTACAAATGATTTCTAAAAGGAATTAAAACTATAAATTATACATGCAATAGTTAACAGGAAAGATTACAATCTAGGCACTATTTAGGAATATATTAAGAAATATTTCTTAAGATAATGTTTAAAATGTTTAATCGAGGACAACTGTTTGGCAGCTGGGCTGAGCGAATTCCAAATCGCCAACGCTTTACGAAAAAACGCGCCAAGCTATTACGTCATAACGTGTAGTAATTAATAAATAGAAAACATTTTCCGTTTTTTTCCATACAGTTATAGAAACACGCGTGGGAGCTTGTGAGAACGAGAAATATTCAGTGAGAAAACGATCGAGCCCGTAGAGCAAGTTTTTCCACGTTATTTCGAGTTCTTCAAAACTCCCGCAAGCAATTCTATAACTGTATAGAAACACAGGAAATTTTTTTTTCTATTTCTTTTATAATATAACTCAATAAAAAGATTTTGTACAAATATTATAATTCGATTCAGTTACAAATTCTCATTACATTTTTACTTCGCTTGTCAAGTTTGCGGGGAAAAGTCCCGTGTTTCTATGGAGTTATAGAAACACGCTTCTCCACCAATCAGCACGCGCGTACTATAAATGTTATATTATAAATAGTTTTATAAAAAAACATGTATATAACGTGTGAACCAAGGCAACTGAATCAGTCAATTAACGCCGCGACAAGTCCCTTGTCCGGTTGTCGTTGTTTTAACGTTTAATCTGTCGCTCTGATTGTGGCTGCAATCGACCCCCCGAGGGCAGTTTGTGTTTTTTGTGCTCTTGAATCGTGTGTCTGGATTGGGCAGATAGTTGTGACCAAATCAATGGATTAACGTCAGGTGTTTTCAGACCAAATCAATGGATTAACGTCAGGTGTTTTCAGACTTTCGATATTTCGAGGCTGCGGGTACAGCCCAAAGTTTTTCGCCGAGGCTTTTCTTTGAGCAAGCTTTACACAATGCCAGGTAGGCCAACATTTACAAGGCTCACCCGTCAGCTCATTGATCTTCAAATCAAGAGCAATATCGGTGAGAACATCTGACGTTGATTGTGTTTCTGTGAGTTTCAATACAGGAGCATCTAAAGACTCGTTATCTCCGTGATCTTCACGAATCTCGCCTTCCTCGAGGGCACCATTGTTGAAAGCCGTCTCCTCGTCAAGAAGGCTTTCTTTCCATCTCGCCATCGACATCCGCATCTTGCGAATGCATACCATCTTTGAGTTGTTTTATCTCTCTCATAAGATTAATAAACATTCCTGCTGTTTGCTCTCGTTCTGCTTGACTAGTTGCATTTGAGGACGAACTCATGTCATGACTATTTTGCCCACCCAAGCTGGCATTGGGTCGAACTATATTCCAAACACTATTTCGATTGGATTTGTCGAAGCCCGGGTTTGGATCGGGCCATCCAATCGGGAATTTAATTCGCTGATTGAAAACAAACTTGAAACACGTACTACCTTGTTGTTATTATTTGTATAAAACAATTGCCGTGTTTGGATGGGCTGATCCAAACATTCGGAATGTTCCTCGAGTTAAGAAAACTGAGCTCCAAAATCCTGTTTAGCGTGCTTTTCTTAACTCTCGCAACATTCGTGTGTATGTGCGTGTTTAGATCAAGCCATCAAAACACGGAAACCATTAAATAATTGTTTAGTATCCCACGTATGACGTCACACCAAAAGAGAAGATATCAAGGTGGGCGTTAAATCATATTAAAACTAAATGCTGCTTTCCACCTTGGGGTTTTTTGCACGTACGTACACGCACGTAAAAAGTTGTTGTATAATTAATATTTTGCTGGAAAAAAACACAGCGAATCATCTACTGAATTCAACCTTATTCATGTATGCAATCGTTCCTTACATATTTACCATATACAATATTTTAAACTTTTACGTGCGTATACGAACCTACAAAAACGCGGTTTGAACATTTTGACAGCTTGAAAAGCGCCCCAACCCTTGTCTCAACCACAAAAGGCTGATTGATCAAGAAAATACCCAAGGTTGTCTAAATACTTTTCAATTCGAGCACTGCCTCGAGTCGTATGCACATAAAGCTATTATATAACTACTGATGATCGACTAACCGTTTCAGTTGGATTTCGCCCCGGCCACTGTGAGAAGAAACGTCGCACTAAAAAAATTGTTTGATAATTATGCATGTGAGTCTTAGTGAATCGAATAACCAGAGCACTTTAATTCATCTAAAATAAATATATTATGAGTAATGCCAGTCTCAGCTAATTGAAAGCTATAATACCCTTTCAATATTACATGAAGCATGACAGCATGACATTGCTTAGCTTCTTCCATCGACAATTTCGTTATGCTCTACTATTGTCTGTATTATTATATATTATATACCGTCAAATAATAATATGTCACAAAATTAATACACTAAGAATGTTTAGAAAATGCTTTTTCACAGTTGTATTTAAAATTTTGCAACTGCGTGATGAGTGCAGCATGATTGTACAGCGCAAATTTTAATATTTTGTCCAAATTTATTATACTTCCATCCATGAGTAATGCATAAAGTTACCTCCTTTAAATTTACTTTTGCACTTGAAATGATTTTGATATGAATTATGGTGCAACAATTAATATGTTGACACCCTGATGAGTTGATTTACTCAATCCGTTTTTCGAATGAATAATATACCGCCAAATACTGCATTTCCATCGCTACACGAAACGTTCATCACAATATTATCTGTATGACAAAGTAACAACATTGACATGCAAACGGCATGCACTGAGCGAAGGAATATTTCTCTCTTATCAAAGCGCCAATCATTTTCAAGAGAGTATCGTTTTGTAGATCGGTAGCGATATTTTCTCGAACACAAACTAGCTACCTGCATGTGGTTTTATAATTGTTGGGTCATTTAGTTTGGCATCCAGAATATGTTCTTTTCTTCAGATTCATTTTCGTATGAGCCTCATATTGATAATTTACTGACAATGGTTTTATTGATTAAAGTTTAAATTAATTGACACACATGTGGTGGTAGGATACAAAAAAAATGTACGGATAACATTTTAAAATGCTAAATATAGTTACAGTTACAGCATAAAATTTCACTCGTACCAATTTTATATGTTCATTTTCAGTTTCGCTACAGATAAAATTGACATTGATGACATTTGAAATACCTGAAATTGATGGTTCAATTTTTCCTAGAACAAATTTAATCAGTACCAAAACTAATATCGTGCGCAATGGGGCTTTAAAAACACTCACGAGCGATTTTGATTGTGATTTTGGGTTTGACTTTCATCTTATGACAAAATAGTTGTGAATGCTTTGTGAATAATGTCCTTAGTCGTGTAGTCATCCCAACAATAGGGAGTTAACAACAATACGTAACAAAATATACAGGGGCGTAGGAAGCATCCAGAGATTGGGGGACAGCAGCTTCCTGGCAACTTTTGGTTAATAAAAAGGGCAAGTAAAAATATGTATATTGAGACGGTTTGATAGCCAAAGTTGCAAGGACGCCACTATAGTGTGGTGTATATTTATGCTCCACAAAAAGATTTATATAGGCATGTGTGAGTGAGCATACATATATGAAAAGGGCACTTTTGGTCCTTGCGGAAATTTTTTTCGGGGGGGACGCCCCAGACAAAATGTTAATGTTTATCGCGCAATATGAATTGGATTTTATACTTTTTGGAAATTACGTAATGGTTATAAAAAATTTACGCAATGATTACGGTTTCCAACCTATATATAGAGCCGTCACCACTACAAATAGCTTATCGATTAATAAAGTACTCAAATTGGCAATTGGTCGAATTCATTTCAAAGCACTAACAGAAATGGCATTTACTCGACTAACAAAGTGATTCTATACACGGACTTCTATGCTAGAAGATAATTACTAACCGTTTCGTTTGGACTTTCGCCCCACTGTGACAAGAACCCTCTTACTAAAAAGAAAAACGATTGAAAGACCGGTTTATATTATATTAAAACTAATGTCAGCCTCGATTAATTGAAAAGCTTTAATAGCTTGAGGGTCCCTTCAATATTATGTCAAGCATAACATCGCTTAGCTTCTCCATCGGCAATTTCATTAATCAGCTGTTGCTATATCTGTATATAAGACCGTCAAATATATATGTGACTTATAACGCTAAGGCTGGTTTACAGCTTTTGGAAAATTTAGTAGAATTGCTTTCAAAATTTGTAATCGGAATGATCAACCTCGGTTTATGATTACACGATGCAAATTTGACTATTTTAGTCTAAATTTATTTGTATTTCTATCAATGAGCACTGTGGTATAAGTTTTTTGCAGAGTAATAGTTGTTTGTACTTAATACCATACAAAAGTAAAAGTTACCTTCTTTAAATTTTCTTTCGTACTTGTTATGCTGTGGATAAAAAGTATGATGCTATCTTTATGCTGACAATCTGATGACTTAATTTAATTCTTGTTTTGAATTAATAATATACCGCCAGTTACGAAAAACTCACTGAACCCGAACTGCAGTTAAATTTAAATAACTTTCTTTGTACTCGATAAAATAATCTACCCATCGATTAACCTCAATCTCTACGCGGACGGTTTTTATTGAAACATAGATTACCAAGCAATAACTGGCAATTTCCACAATATACCGTCACATGCAAACTGTTTCCAAAC